AAATATAATTTGAGTGAAAGGTAGTGAAATTTGCCTTTCATTAAAAACATGAAGATACAGCCAAAGGTTAAAAAAATGCTGTTGTTTAAATGTTCATTAACAGCACAAAACGGAAACTATCAGAACCTTCGAGCCCCAGCTTCTTAATTAAACCTCATCTTTTTTTCCCATGGGACAAAGCCAGCAATAACAGAATGACTGACAAGTCAAGATTGAAAGAAAACCCTCTCACTGCTATAGCAAGCATTCAGACTAAAAAATAACTGCATTAAAAGCACAGCTGGGTGCTCGGGTGTGGGTATGTTGCTGCAGGTACTAGTGGGAAGATTAAATCTGTCTCAGTGTCATAATACACTGAGGAGATGTATTACAGCGGAAATGTTGTCAAAAAACAATCGTTTCTTTGGTGCTGTGGGCATTTCAAAGAAAGCTCCCACTCTATCTCCAGGTACATAGGTACTCCAGTACATAGTGCCACAGATAAACTTTAGCCAGCAGTCCTAAATGTTAGTTTCTCTGCTGCTCCACTGCATTTTCCCAGTGGAAAAGTTGCACTATTTGAAGTGCTAGTTTAGATCAAATAATGTCCATTAAGTTCATAAAGCATGTCAAATATGAGCAACAACTATCAACAATAAATGTGGCCCAAGGCTCATTTCCAAAACCAGACGTGTTCATTGTTGACGTGCTTACATAGAGAGCTCTCAGAAAATCATTTGGATAAAAGGCAGTGGGTTACAAAACTTACCAGAAAACCTATATTCTCTTTATATCTTACCTCTTCTGCTACATATATCTGCATTAATTTCAATATCATCAATACGTTTTCTTCCACAAACAGTTAAAACAGCATTGATTTATATTATCTTAGTTCACTCTCATGTATATCGTAAGGTCAGTACAATATGCGGCGACATTTTGAAAAACCCCGGTGTATTACTTCGGATGGTTTCTGATGCAGAGATCCATATCGTACTGTAACTTTTCTGTACTCACCATGTTTGATGACTCCAGTGGCTTCATAAGGTGGAGGCTGGTGCCTGAAAAAACATTATTGAAATATGAAATCAGGACACAGGATATTGAGCCTGGCTGACTGCATTTTAACACTACACATTCAGGAACCCCCTTAAACTGTATAGTCATGGAACAGAACCCCTACATCTATATAGTTCTTCCTTAAACCAAAACAGCTAGCTTCACTTAAAATATATACAAATATTCCATAAAAATATGCAATAACATATATTTGACCGAACCAACCTCGATTGAATTATACAGCTAGCTTAAAACCGATAAGTGACTCGACGGTAGTCACAAATTCGAGTTATCTCATTTGAGTTTGCCTAAGGCGCCAAACCATTGAGGCTAACGTCGATTAAAAACGTACCTTTTCTCCGACAAGAGTGTAGGAACACATTTGTTGCTCTCCAACAGGTTTCTTCTGTCCTTTCCATGTTTCCCTTTTTGTCAAATTGGCAAGGAATTTATGAAAAATATCAATAATTCAGCAGGTGAAGTTTAGCGCCAATGCGGACTAAACCATTCGGATCAGAGTGGGGTAGGACTGGTCTACCCAGATCCATAACAAGAAGTTATCCAATTAGGCTACATTTAAAATATATATATATATATATATATATATATATATATATATATATATATATATATATATATTTTAAGATGGGAAAAATGCAGACATGCAGTCAAGCATTAAAGAGTAGATTCTATTTTCAAGGGATTTTGGGCCCCATAACAAATATCATCACCACTTTGCCCCCTAAAATCACACCAACCAAGAGAGATTGGTCTGTGCAATAATCTGAATGTAATGTATATAAATGTTTAGGTGATTCACTATTTTGATTTGATTAATTCAACAGAAAGCAGTTTGCTTTAATTAATTTCTACTGAAACATCCTTGAGTGAGGCTGCTCAGATAAACAAACTCCTCCACTAACACCTACAACAAGCATGCCTCTGCCATTTCCCCTGGATGGCCCAGGTTTTTGAGTAAAAATACTAACTCACAGCTAACTTAAGGTTAAGTGTTTTTAAAATCTCACTTGCATACACAGTAAGATTTACAAAAGGTCACTAGTTTGATACAATTTACCAAAACAAACACAAAGTCCCCTGTGGATGAGAGGAGCTGTGTTTAAGTAGCCATTAGCGGGTGTTTGAACTCAAGAAGCCATTTACTAAAGCAGTGCCTTCGTGTGGTGTTTGCTCCAGCACTGCTTAAAGGCTGGCTAGTTAAACAGGCAAGGAAGGAAGGGTCAATATTTTCACAGGCAAGTCTGAGGGCACAAGTGCAGAGATTGGCTGATGGCTGTTTCCCACATTTTCAGCACTTCCAAGCAACACTCACACTGCCACAAGACAGGATGGACATCCTGGGGAGAGCACAAATCACCATTTGATCCTGCACAGGGTCAAATGACCAACCAACGATTGGCAGTTTTTCACTTGGAAGAGTTACATCAGCCCTGTCACCAGTAATTTCCATCTTACGCTGACTGTCAAATGCCATGTTATGAGAGGTTCACAGGTCTGTTAATTCAGTACTTGTTGAAGTGCACAACTAAATATTGGGCACAGTCAAATGTTGGTTTAAGAAAATAAAACACAGTTTGTCATTTTTTATGACTCACTGGGTTGTTTGTTTTATGAATTAAACCAATCAAATGTACCTCATTCAAATCATAGCCCTGAGAGTATTACTATGCTTTTGCAGAGGATGTCAGTTCCCTCATGACATTTGACCAGGACTTGCCAGGCCCCCATTACACTGTCACCTTTCATCAGACGATGTTCAAGTGAGCAGGCAGTGCATCTGACGTCATGCTTGGTGGCCCCTGAATAGAAAAAAATATAATAACAGCTCATTTTTGATCATCCAGTTCCAGTAACCTAATTGCCTTCCGTAGTCAATTAGCCAAGTGCATATTGCCCATTAGCACACATACTTTTCAGCTTCATTTACTGTGAAGCGAAAATGTGGTAATTTCAGCCTCAGGGAGACATTAATGACAGCTCATCATCCAGGCAGGAAGCAGTTCAGCAAATCAGTGACCTCATCATCCTAGTTGTCCGGGCAGTTACTGTGAAATGATAGCAGTGAGGCAGAAGGGCATTCTGGGAAACACAATCTGTCTCATGTCAGTGGCAGTAACTGAGTGGGCGGCATTTCACCTCTATGAAGAATGGTGATAAGTGTCACTCGATGAATCACTGAATGTTCTCAGACCTTGAAATACCTTGGATAAAGAACCTCATCGGTAATGTTGCTTTTTTAAATTATGATAAATATGAAAGTGTCTTTGCCAGGCTCAGCCTTGGAAAAGAAACCCTCAATTCATGCATGTGCAACAGACATTAGAAACTGTGCTTTTTCAAGGGATTTAGTTCCATCTGCTGTTCACATGGTAAACTACAAGTCTTCTATCCCCTCTGATAAATGCACTTCAGTCACCTACCCACAGAGCAGTATCAACTTTTTTTGTAATAGTCTAAGCACAGTAATAATCTGTATCATCTTTTAAACAGCATAACAAAGAACCTGCAGTCGTCATTAAGATGGAATTCTGAATTCACCTTTTTTCAGCAGAAGAGTCACATTTGATTCAACAAACGGCCTTCTGAGTTTTCATTCGAAGAACAGATCAATAAATTAGTTGAAGAGGGCGCTCAAGCATATCCAGCTACAAAGCAATTCCAGTAAAGAGGAGATAAAGATACATTTTTTAAAAATGGTTCTGCTTTAGCAAGACTATTAATGAAATTGTGCTTTGTGTCATATAAAGATAAACTATCACCAGAAGCTGACACAATCTGTGAACCAAAAGACGCCTCCGACTCAATCTTCCTCAGAGCATTTGAAACATGTTGGTGGAATGTCACACAACCAGAACGCAAGCAAAGAAACCCAGTCCACAGGATTTTCGTAGAGGTGAGAAAAAAAAGATATACAGACTCTCTAGTGTTTGCTTCTACCTGCATGTGTCGGTTTAGTTTGATATTTCTCACCTGTTGACAGGCCAAAAATGTTGCACAAATACATATGAAGTGTCCACTTGTCAAGGCAAACTGTGTGTTTAGCCCTCAAGAGAGCTGTTCATTGTGGCTTTGACATAAAGTTGGAGGGAGGTCTTGTGTTTGACCTCCCGTTGATGGAGTTCAGTCTGTCTCTGTTGAAATAAGTATTAAAAATCTTCACTAAAGGGGAAATTAAGTTCTTCATGCTATCCAATATCCCCAGAACTAGAGTTTCAAAATATGAGTGCTTCTTAAATCATTATTTAGATCAGTTAACAGTTAACACAAGCCCCCATCACACAAAATGAATTTCCTTTTCTCCCCATTAAGTTCATGAAAAAAAATCATCCAATACTAGAACTTTATCACACACTCAAAGCAGTTGTAAAATGAAATACAACAAACCCTTATCAGCTGGTAATGACCTAAAGTTTGGTTCTAGCTGAGAGTTGAAGACTTTTGTCTTTGTAAATGGAGACATCACTAAGACCACGTTTGTGCTCCAATAAATTTAATGCCACAAAAATAGTGTGCCACACATCTTGGGAGTTGGTTCCTCATACGAAAAGGTAAAAAAAGTGTTGTTACATATTTACAGTTAGAGATTGGTTTACAGCACTTTATATACAGCTGAAGTAAGACACTGTTATCCTAAAACAACTGTGTCCTGTAATACCCTTTTTCAGTGATCAGATATATGTAAGGTGTAACTTTCAATAACTAAATAATCCTTGAAAAAAAAAAGAAAAAAAAAGAAAGAAAAGCAGTGATGCTACAGGGTTTACAAAAATACACATTTTCTATTGTTCTAAAGCTCAAATATTCTATTCTTTGGGTAGCAACAAACTGCAGTGAAAGGATTACGCAACAACTGTTTTAATAAGCAATAAAACATTATACTTTTCAAGGAATATTGATATTGGTCTACTAAATAAGTCCATGTTTTTAAGTTTTAATAATGCCAGCATTCAAAAAAGAAAAAGCACACTAGTCCAGCATATATGTTCAGTTTTGATTAAGTTAGAATTGCACTCTAATAATTTGCAGTAAGAACAGATATAGTATAAAAAAAATGACTGACTCTCAAAAGGATGCATAGTCTCATATCTCATACGGTGGTCCCTTCAGTGATCCAACAGTCAGAGTCGAAAAAAATAATTCCTTCATATGTTCAGAGCAGGACCTCAAGGCTTTCTGCGTCTAAAAGAAGAAATACAAAGGTTCATACTAAATCCCAGGCAACAGCAGGAAAGAAGGGATAAATATAACATGGTTGATAGTGTACACATATTACAAACACATGCATGTTTCTTACTTCTGAAAGCCATAGCTTGTGACTGTGCTTGTTACTGGAGCCTAATAAAAAAAAAAACAAGGTTGGAAAATATTGACAAATTTCAAAGAAATTCACTAAAGCCACAATTCTGGGTCAAATGTGCAAAAGAATATTTTCAATCATGTTGTGTCTGAATCTGATAAAATGAAAAATAAACTGTTCCATTTTTAAATTTGTATGTTGAGTACAAGCTTACCCTGTTTTCTATGTCATCACTATTGGTGGATCCTTCTCCAGACCCGGATCGCCTCTTCCGACTGAAAAAGAGAGGTTGTCGTAAAGCTTAAGGAAATTTTCATTTTACGTCCAAATTTGACCTGATGTTATAAATTTGTTGGCATTAATAATGTTCCAAAACAGGTTGTCTTCAATCTAGTGTATGGTTTAAAAAAAAGGTTTCAAAGTACACAACTAGTGATTGCAAATAAACAGGCATGTAAATGTATGTAAGCGCATTTCCCCTCAATTTGTTCTCCTGCTCATAAAAACTATGCTTAGTCTCTGTAGCAGACTAATCAACCCTTAAGGTTATTGTTGCAAGGAATAACCTGCTGCTTAAATATTTAAATGCAAACCATAAGTTGTACAGAACAGTTGTACAAAAATCATGGATTTATTGTTTTGAATAATAAAGCAGCCATGTTGTGTCAGTATCTTACAATGTCACATTGCCTTGTACACAAATACAGAAACATCCCAAACCATAGCATTTAATCACTACCTTGGTGCTGTTGGACATTCTTGTTTCAGCGTCTCAATGTCAGTGAACTGCACAGCTTGTCCCCCACCTCTGGTCTTAAAAACATTGCCCTGCAGAAATAAATAAAAACTCACAAATGTCTTATGGATGAAAAAAAGAGGAGAAATACGTCCTGAAAGTGTTGACAAAATCAGAGGTAGTGTACAGGACCCCAAGTGGGAAATCAATGTATGATGAGTCAAAGTCAAGTTCATGCAGGATATAAAACAGTCAGAAGTCTGGATTAAACAATGATGTGATTTTACCTTGATCAATTTGGTCTCAATCTCCCCATCAGAGGCAAGCTCTTGATGTCGAAGCACGTATTTGTGGCATTTCGACAGAGCTTTCTCATTAGGGGTTGACACCGTGATTGCATTGGGTATGATTGGCTGCATGACAGTGTCTAGGTCCAAATTAGAAGCTGGTTTGTGGTCTACCCATTTCTCCCCACCCGCAGAGTGTGAGCGCCTGTGTGATGGACGAACCGGGGGGGCCGTCTGGTGATCCCGGTGTGAGAAAGACAAACCAAGTAATTATTCTCATGTGACACCAGCAGGATCATTTCAAACTTGTCTGGGTTAGTAGGTAGAAGGTTGATTGTTAGAGGGTCAACTTGAAATGAAGAAGGTGTACTTCTGGAAGTCCATGAGAGACAGAGATTTTACCAAATAGAGGATTTAAATGATTATTCTTACATTTCTGAGAAATAAAAACTCAAGAACTTGTAGCCCTCCACATATATTTTCACATCACATCTGAGACAAACAGTGCTCCGGCCTTCCAGCAGTACATATTCTCATTTAGCAATTACAGCCTGACTTGAGTGAGTAAGCGTGAGCATGCAAAGCAGTGCCAAAGGAGTGAGGAGATGGTGTTGCAATAAGACTGGATGCAAACAGAATGAAATATGGGTTGTAAATGCAGGTCATAGTTGTGTTTCAAAGCACAAGTGACTGACGTAGGTTTTATAAGATCCCTTTTTTTTTAAATGCAAAAAATGATACAGTGGAGTCTTAGATTCTATTCCAGTAGCAACATGATTGGGGTCAAAAAGCAAATTCAATGATACATTTTGGCTTTGAATCTATTCGAATGTTCCATTATGGATGTTAGATTTGTTTTCCACATGGTAGTCGTTAAAGTTAACCTCATAATCAGGTTGGATTACAGCTTTGTCTCACTGGATTTATTTCCATTTTTTTGAGTTGCTGGGAATAAATCATAAACTTTGGCAACAATTCACAAGTCTGGAACCAATTGAGGTAAAATTGCAAATTATAATATTACAAAGCAAATTGCAGAGTATGCAAAGGCACTGTCCAAAAGAACAAACAGATCCACATGTGCATATTTGGAGATAAAAGAAAATACATCTGTAATGAATGATAGATTTAAATCTGTTGATTCGGCCCCCATGTGTAAAGTCTAACTCTAGTCCAGAAGGTCAAAGTTATTGTTTCTTTCTACATTTAAAAAAAAAAGGACAGTCTGCATAGTGATACCTCTGTAAAAATAGATCTGGTAAGAAAATTTAGTTGTGGGGCACTCAAGATTTGTACTCAGAATGCAGTTTTAGCATTTTTAAGCAAAATCGTTATTTTTGTATTTACTTTGCAATTTATCATCAGTGTTGGAGAAAAAGGAATAGCGCGAGGGAAAACTGCAGTCTGCAGTTGGAACCTGAACAACAAACCCAGTGCAACTACTCATGAAGCTAAAGATGCAAGTCGAAAGAATGTACAAGCATGATAGACTAGTCTACCTTAAAATCTAGGGACAAGAAGAAACACCAGCTTTCAAATGATGCAGCACTTCTACTTGATGCATTTCTACAAAAGCAGGTATCTATGAAAAACACTGCAAGTAAAGTTCTACAAAGCAGCTAGGCTCAAACTACAAACACGCAGAACAAAACATAACCTTACAGACATCTAGGTCCTAACACACTAACCCTTTTGCCTGCTTCTAGGTCTAGCCCATTGACAAGAGTCGTAGAAGGGGCCTCAGACTCAGGGGCCCAGCGCTGGCCTCTCCTGCGACCAACGCTGCTGGTGCCTTGACAGGAGGCGGGAGTCCGGCTTCTGTATTGGGGAGTCTCAGCATGCCTTGCCCTGCTGTTTGAGTCTATAGGAAGCCTCTGCTCCCATTCAGATATGCAGGAAGCTACTGAGGGATAGGATGAGGAGGAGGTACTGGAGGTGGGGTAGTGATCCTGAGCTGCCCTAACATTGGCTCGATTTGGGTTGAAAGGAGTTTGGCTGTTGTCCTGGAAAGTGATGAGGGAGGGGGGCCAAGCATTGTGGGTGTTAGGGGCTCCAGAATAACAGACACACAAAACATGGTGGTACAAAAGAGAAGCTGCTGTGTACAATAACACAAATTTAAGTATCCACGTTAAGATGATCACAATAATAATTAATGACATGCACAATTTTCAAGGTTAGATCAAGTTGTTGCAGAAATGTATGTAAAGCCCACTGAAGGGAAAAAGGCTTCAGAGAGTAAATGACTCACAGGAAGGGGCGGTGGTGAGGCAGACCTCTTCTGGGCCATGTTGCGATCTCTCTCCCTTGATGGCCTGTCCGGCTTCTCTGGGCGCTCCACGACAAAGCCACTACCACTGCTGCTCTCTGTCACTATGGCCTTGAGCTGCTTCAGCTTCTCATCTTTCACCCACAACTTGTTCTGCATCTCCAGCTGCTTGGCGTTCACTCGCCTTTCCTATTTATGAAACATCAGCAGTTTTAGACAAAGATTTAGATTGATCTGATTTAGCTCACCATCAACCAGATGTTAGATGTCAAAGTACCAGATATAAGGTGGACACCAAGGCCCTGGTATTTTAGCTGCCTCATTAAACATTCATGTTCAGCTTCTCTGATCTCAATTTCATCCGCAGTATAGAAACCAGTTGTTACTTGATAAAAATACTCTTGTCAATGGTTCCACTTACACACTCTTTCTCCCACTTGAGTTTGGTGTCCGTCATCACGCCCTGCATGCGCTGCTCCATGCGCCTCCTCTCTGACAGCTCTCTGTGCAGCCTCTGCTCTCGTGTCTCCAGCTCCTGCTGAAGGGAGCGCTTATCCTGTTCGTACATGTCTGTGGTCTTCTGTAAGACGTCGACCTGAAGAGGACGCCCGGTAGTTTAAAAGGGGAAAAATTAAACTCACAAATCTTGACTTTATGAGCACATAAAAAAAAATAAGTAACAAATGTAACAACAGGTAATTGTATTTTCCTGTAAAGCGGACAATACCTTGTATTCTAATGTTTTGGATTTTTTCTCCAGTCGTTCCATCTCTGCTCTCTGGCTGATGATGACTTTGTCTTTCTCACTCAGTTTGTTTCTTTGATCGTGAAGGAAGGTATCCTTTGCATTAAGCTGGCCGTCAAACTGTTGAATCATGGACTTCAGTGTCATGGCTGCATTGGAAAAAAAACATAAATCTGTCAAACATTTACCTTTCTTATCATGAAGACACAAAAGAGCGCTCAGCAACCAAAACAAATCCCGTCACAGCTTTGAATAAGGGGTCATCTGGCACTAAGAGGAAGTACAGCCTGAAGGTGTCATCAAAAAAACATAAGTTTAAATCAGTGTTGCCTCTAAAGTTTACAAATGCATCAATGTTTCGTAAGATTCTTTTTGCTATAAATTCTGCACTCTATTCACATCAGACAAATATTTTGGCTGTCAAAAAAGTTCCTCACCAGTTTTGCTGAACTGCTCTGTCAACATCTGACGGATACGTTGCCTCCTTTCCAGGGCCTCAATCAGGCGGGGCAGCGTCTGATCATCAGCTGGGTCAACCAGCTCACAGGGAGGCAGGGCTGGAAGGCTTTCTATGAGCTGATTCAGCAAACCCGGATCATCTAATGCGGAAAAAAGAAGAAATGTTGCAGAGTTAGTAACCTATACCTTATATACTGCAAATTAGCTATAATTATATACTAAATATGTAACATGTGAGAGTACAGTCTCAGATGACCACGGTGAGCTAATAATACAAAATTTAAGGGTAATGTACCAGCATTGATTGGACCTCCTCGCTCCTCCAAACGACGTGACAGCTCATCTCTGAGCGCTTGATTTCTGTGTCTGCGTCCTGCAGCAAGGCCACAGATAGGCCGGTCAACTGGACGTGCAACCTCAACCTCCTGGGTCATCTCAGCAAAGCGCATCACCAACTGCCAGACAAGCAAATCATTGTCTCTTGAAATTCACAACATCCATCAAAACTCCTTCAGGCAGCTAGAAATGCTCCAAATCTTATTTTTACAGCAGAATGGTCAACAGTTAAAAAAATATCTAATCAGAAATAATTGCAAACATACAAGTCAAATAAAACACCTTACCATAGTTTCATCATAATCATCAGCCTTTGGGTTAACACACACAATCATCCTGACTTTGCCTTCTCCATCAAAGTAGTTTTTAAACAAATGCGTAATTTTGGAGTCTCTGTACGGCACCATCTGGAGGAAAATAAAGGCCATGTGAAACTGCACAAACTGGAACATCATTGCTGGTAAGAATTAAGGTTATTAGTAGCTCTTGGACATAAAATGATGACTGAGCAATGGTTTAAAATAGCGATGAAGAGATTTAAAGTTTTGAACCTTGTTGGTTCCACACATCTGGTTTTCTCGCAGGACCTCCATACATGTGCGCAGAGTCATCAAGGACTGGTTAATATTACCTGCAGGGAAGAGGGGAATCAGACATTTGACGACCAAAATTATATATTTAACTAAAACAATACAAATCTAGCAGATTGATGAAAAAAGCCCCCTATCCCACAGATATGAATTAACTGACCTGCTTCACGCAGTCGGTTTCCCTCTGCCCGGGTTCTGCTGGTACGTTCGCTTCCCGCTAGGTCAACCAGACACAGCTGGCTCACAGTGACCTGGTTTTTGTCCTGCAGTTTAAAACACAGTTAGTGTCATCCCTATGATACATGGTATGTTTGGATTTTTCTCTCTGCCTGCCAGGATTACATTGAAATGGATGATATATATTTAAAGAGAAAATCTTTGATCATATTTTAATGTTTTTATCCTGCACCTGTAGAATGTGGTCCCCATCAGCATCAAGAGGAGCCTGTGCCAGCTTCACTGTGAACACACTGTGAGAGCGGCTGGATTCCCGGTTCAGTTGTGTGTTGGCAATCCTCCTTTTCTTTTGTCCTGAAAATTAATACATCATGTGATAAGAGATGACATTACATCTTTTTATAGTCCACAGATTTTCTCTGTCCCATGTTGTTTGTAATTATGATTCATTTTCCCAATGTAGCCTGAAAACAGCCATATAGAGCAGAAAAAACTTTGATGCCTTCTCTTTGTTGCCGGTATTTAAAATCAATAAAGAGATCATATAATTATTGTAACTCACTCACCTTTCCAAAAGACTTCAAAAGCCTCCTCTGTAGATTTCACCTCAACCTCTGTGCAGCCAGCCACATACATGGTGTGATTCTGATCTTCACGGAGGATTTTAGACTGAGGTGGTCTGAAAATGTTGGTAAAAACAATCAATACAAATAATGCAACACAACAGTGTTTTGATTTAGTCATGGAAGCAGCAAAAGCAAAAGGATATTAGTGTCAACATTAAATTAAAATACATTCTGCAGAGACATACACACAAGGCCACAGACACATGCACACTCCATTTGCATATGAGCCATTCAGGGGATATTACGGGTCTCTACTCTTACATGAACAGCAGGGAGAAGTAAGTGAAGACAACAGCCACATGAATGTTATAGAGCTAATAAGCTACACCTATGCTACTGACTGAGCTTTGAAATAAAGGGGTGGGAATGCACTGATGACCTACACAACATAACAGCTACAGCCAAGTTGCCACCAACAGAATACTACAGGGTGTACTTTTACTGGCCACATACATGAACTCATTGCCGCGTACAGGCGTGCCTCCAGCGAGCCACCTATTGAGAACAGGATTTTTAAAGTGCACCTTTTCAAAATAAAACGACAAAGCAGAACCAGAAGAGATCCTTTCGACTGCACACAGGTACAGCGTTACTGTGTGGATCCAGGTGGTTAACTTTTCAATCTTTGTTTTTGAAGAGTACCATAAATTATGTCAAGACACACAAGCTTTGTCTAGAGAACACTTAACAAGTTAGAACTTCTCTCACTTACTTGGGTCTGATTGGGTCAAATGGAGCATCTTCAAGAAGATCATAGATGTAGTTGTTGTAGACCTCGATGTAGGACACAAAGACACTGTAACAGCAGTCTTCATCCACATTCTCAGATTTACATGCTTCCTCAGAGCTGATCATATCTGCAAACTCTGGATCAGCCTTCTGTCTGAAAACATAAACCACAAGAAAAATGTCAAAATTTTTCGCACTGTGAATGTACTGTGCAGGCAGTCTGTGATGCCTTCCTCCAGCACTTTGAACCATAACAAAAACAAAATGGGAGCTGAAAGTGAAACAGAACTGCTCATAACTACCTGGAAGATGGCGTTTTGGGCACAGACGGCTGACTTTCCCTCTTCTGTCTCTCAAGGAGAGCATCAACTTGATTCTGGATCTCCATCCCGTTTTTGTCATCTGGTTTGAACACCTAAGATTCAAAACATTTCAAACAAATGTCTCACCCCTCTATACTTGGAGAACGACAGCAGACAAACTTTATAGAATGAGAGACTCACAAATCGTTTGGCCTGAAAGGGCCCAATGCTGTTGAAGAGCATGTCTAGAGATCGAGGGAGGAGTCCACCCTCTCCAGGTGAGCCAGTCATGGTGAACGTCTTGCCACTTCCAGTAACACCGTATGTAAACAGCAGACCTAGCAATAATCGAATACCACAATTATATAAACATGCATTATGAAGAGTATTTAGACTTTTCTCTGTGAGACCAGAGGCAAAACAGTGGTTTGATGAAAACTCACATGTTCTTTTATTATAACCAGCAGTCCCAAAACTTACTATTATGCACATTATAAACTTTCATATTAATCAATAATCTAAGCAGTTTCATATCAATTAGGGATCAACAAGAAAATTCTAACCTGCCCCGGAAAGAATTACATTTTTGATGTTTGGCATCCTACCTTAGTGCACTTTATGAACTTTCCATGTCTAAAAAAAAAAACTATAACTGACTTACCATTCTTACAGTGAATGAGGTCTTCTACCAGTGGCTTGGCAACATCTTCAAATAGTTCAATTTGACTGGTATTTATACCAAATACTTTCTTAAAGGAGTACTGTGTCTGTGGGACAATAAGAGAAAACTTAGTTTATGTGAATAACATTCAAAAGAAATGGACAATAATAGCGGATTAATTTATAATGACCACCATTTTTAAACCTGACTGTCTCTAAGAATATCCCAGGTGTCTCATAAATACAACTATCACTGAACCACCTTTTTTGTCTCAATGAATGTTGAACAGTTATTTTTATGTGCTGTGTAAATAATCTTTTCAAATTAATGTTTTTCCAAAACTGTTGGCTGTTTTTTTTCTGGAGCTGAAATTTAAGAAAACAGAACAAATACAAAGATGTTGATGGTTTGGCTTTGTATGCTTAGAGGTAAGCAGCAACTGGCTTACCTCCTTGTATTCTCCATTGCGGTTTGCTTTAAGGCCATCAGGAGCGTGTAGCTGGATGGTAGAGCTACTGATCATCTCAACACAACATTCTTCACCCTCTGCTCCAAGTGGACGTATACGGCAGTAAACCTACAGGGAAGAACAGTTAGAGGAGATCTTATAACCGAGAGACCTAAGTTTGTGTTCACCTATGTCAAAGTTACATTCTGAGGACAAGACAGGCTTACAATACAAGACAGCAATTCCACAGTGGAAGATCTACGACTAACTCAGATGTTATTATGTTACATATGGAATCTCTCTATATTAGATCAATGTTAGTTAAAGGATAAGTTGTCTATTTTTACTGGGGTTTAAAACTACTACGAAATATTGTTAGTATTACTGTTACATGAAACTGTATTGGTTTGATTAGCATAAGCATTTACTTACTCCAACAGGGTCTTTATCGATACTGAGTGGTTTTTTTGGACCCGGCCGCCGGGGGGTCTTTCCTTTGCTGAAAGTGATAAAGCAAAAACAGAATCAAACTCAAATACTAGGCAGTACTGCACAGTTGCATGCAACACAATCATTTGCTGGCTTTCGCCTTCAATACTACAATGGAGTCCTGTTAAGGCTCAGTAGTAGATGCTGATACAGACTATGAGGCAGCTGTTGGGGGGTGGCAGATATACAATGTACAATATCACTTTATGGGCTTTTTTGTTTGTTGGTTGGTTGGTTAGTTTGTTTTTTGCATTTGACAAAATACAACAATTTAATGAGACTAACAAACAGGGGTGGGAGATTTTTTTTTAAATGTAAGAATAAACCTTAAAAACTGACTTACATGTGATGTTTAATTTTTGGGGAAATGTGGCTCCTTGAATAGTCAGTAAACAATCATTATCATTCAACTGTTTCATTGGTTTTACAAATGCAGACTAAACATCAAGAAATTAGACAATATCATGGAATTTAAACCGAATCGGCATCCAAAAAATCGTACGAGAATTGAATCGGAAAAAAGCATATCGTCCCAGCCCTACTAACAAAAAAATAACCATACCGCTGAACCTCAGTAAACATTTAATTAAGTAGATGTAGATAGAAACTATTTGGCTCACTTAAATATTGCTACAAAGGACTATTGGCTCTCTGTCAGGCTGTCTGAATTGTTAAGAAAGAAAAATAATCATGGCTGTCAATACTGAATATTACAATAAAATACGGAATTTAAACACTAGTCAATAACTGTCTTGGGTTAGATATGCTGCAAATGGATATTGGATATAAAAGATGTGTTATCATTTAGACAAGATAATGGCGCAGTTTATGTCAAAATGCCAATAACTACCAGGTTAAGTGGTCTATCCCTCATTATTATCATTATTGATGGTGACCTGGCATTCAAATCCTCACAAAGTTATCAGAATCTATAAAAAGAGATGAGTGGTGAGCAGAATCTAACCTTCTCCCAAACATTTCTGAATCCATTTCACTGACTGTACTCTGTCACCTTTACGTCGATTAAGGCTAACTAGCATAGTTAGCTCAGGTGTCACTTGTTAACGGCAAATCGCAGGTCACAGTCAAAAAATTCATGTGATATTACTTTTTTTCCGATTTAACGTTACAATTGTTTTTTAGTTGTATATTAAACGATAAAAATAATGTTTTTTGTTTGTTTTTATGTAGAAAAATTACTTCTTAACCGATACCAGAGAGGACTACTGTGCTCAATGTTGTCGACTGTTATGTACAACTGAGGGAAGTTAGTGTTTCCCACCTTCATATTACTGACAGACTGTGGCTTTAAAGTGTTTATTAAGTATCGTGTACATAAAGAAACGTAATACTCACCCCGGTCTCTGCATTGTTTGTGATAAAAATCTCCTCACAGCCGCAGACGAGTGCGCCTCAGTCCCAGATTTGAAATATCCCTCTTCCGAAACGTTTTTCCGATAACCAGATATATCAACCAATCAGAGTGAAGATCCTGCTGCAGTAGCGGAAGTCCCGCCTCCACCACAGAGCCCTTTTGTGTGAGCTTTCCAGATTCAGGTGGTGTGTTCATACTCTCGGAAAAATATGACTCCGACATAAAATGAAAAAGAATCTTCCTGAAACTGAAACAACAAACCAGAAAATCCAGGGGGAGATTTGATACCCCGATTATGCTCTTTATGTACACGGCCAGCTAGGGTTATATTTTGGCTTGATTTTCAAAATATGACAAGATTACATTTTGATTTGTTTCTTTAAATATCACTTTGCCCTGACTGATTATTGCTGACTACGTGGTGACTTACAAATTCTCTGAGCAAAAAATAGACAACACGTTTTATCACTATATCCTGTGATTTTTTTTCACTTTCATATCAAAAGGTGGCTGACAACAACTGAACAAATTGTAAAAAGGAACTATCCGAGGAACAAGTGAATGCAACACCAGCATAGGAAAGCTTAACGTCGTTAACGGTGGTAGACAAAGGGCCTGTTTTAAGCATTGTTTCCATTTTAACAGGCTGACTGCTGCAGACAAACCTATTATAAAAATACTCTTCTTAATATTTTAGAAAGAAATCTTACACTGATTATCTATTCTGAAAACATAATTAAGGTTATATCAAGGAAATTGATAAAGTTGTAATAATGTATGATTCATGTTTTCTGTTTGTGGCAGTGGACGATAAAATGTAAATTAATCTTAATTTCTTGCAAATTCTCATTAAAAACTCAAGGATCTCACAAGTAAACTGCAGCAAGCAAAGGAAGTATTGCCAGAAGTTATGGATAAATAAGTAAAGTTTGGCTTATAAATATTTACTGCCCGTTTTTGTTTTTTTGTTTTTTGTTTGTTTGTAGTATTTTCTGTCTTTTATCTCGTTATTGTTGTATTGTTACATAACTAAATGATAAATAAAGTTTGCATTGTTTGTTAGACACAGTAGTCCTTGAAAATTGTTTAAGTGAAGAAGTTGAACTATTTACTCTTTTTCTGATCAGACACAGACAGTTTGGGATGATAGTTTACTTGAAAAAAAGATCATAATAAATAGCATTGTACATAAATACTTTCAGTTTTACATCAAAGTAACAATGTGACATATCATGACAGACTAAGAGAACAGACACAGCAATCATACCGGGAAAACATATCTACTCATATTGACAAATCATACATTAACAGAACGTTAACTTTTCATTAAATAAATTGCTGTTTTCAGGCAGTGCAAACTCAAGAGTAGATATTTTTTTTCTTTCCTTGTCATAACTGTATCATTTGTCTTGACATGTTTAAGCAACTGTCCAAAAGACTGTCTAAAAGTTATCAAGTTATAAATATCAAAAGTTTTGATTTCAAATAGAAAACACCAGTAAAAACTTTCTTTTTGAAAGTAAAAAGTTTTTGTTCCCTGCGGCATATGGTCCCTTCATAACCCACATGTGTGGAAATCAGAGAACTGAATAAAAAATATAATTTTTTAAACAAATAAATAAGCATCACAAAGATTTAGCTCAGCTGTTGCTTTTATCAAACAAGAGCTTTTTCAGAAAAAAAAAAAATAGTGATTTTATGGTGACAAATAATTTGTTTAATTTTCTGTGTAACTTTTGCTCCTTTTCACTTTACCCATATATTTTACAGCAGACATGACAGAAATATCTGTGGGCCATTACCAGCATAAGTTCAGTGCAGACAGACAGTTTATTGGTCTTTGACAAAGGTCCTTACAGCCTAGGAGTGTTCTCTATTATAAATTTGTATAACTCACAATGTAATTTCTCCCCTGTGAATGCTTTGTTACTAGCTGGGACTCCTTAGCTCCATATCTAACAGCAGCGGCCGACCTTGGCTGAGGACTTTTTGGGACGTAGATCATGTTTCTTCTCTTTGCAGACTGGGCCAGACAGGAGTGGTAGACTGTAAAGGACGATGATAACCAGATTCAGTACAACACAAAATATCGCAGCACCCAGTGAGTTGGTGAAGGTGATGGGTAAAGAGTGTTCAAGCAGCCAGGGGCGCCTTATCATCATGTCTTGCTCTAAGGCTTTCATCTGGAAGTGGGTGCCAAGGATGCCACACACATGGAAGAGCTGATGGCTGTGACCTGCAGAGGGGGCAGAAAAGCTGTGTCTGAGTTTGGAGAGTTGAAATGTACTTTCCATCAAAAATCCTCTTTACATGAGTGTACTGAAATATTGTCAGTCAGAGTCATTTCAAAGTTAGTTACAATTACAAATACATATAAATGATCAGTAACAATGTTAGACAATATGTGAGCCGCAAAAACAGAAGCACTTAACAGAAAAACAAAGTAATTTCAAGCGTTTGTAGTTCATACCTGCTAAACAATTTTTTGGCCACTTGGGGGCAGTGTATAATAAGGTGTGAACAGAACCGATGTATTTATATTATTTAAATTATAGGTTCATTCAATGCATGATGAAAGTATTTGTTTCGTGGCCACCAAATGAGGAGAAATTTGAATAAAAAATCTACGAAGCAATTTGTCTTTTTTAGAGTCATGTTGGATTCTTCTGCTATAACAGTAAAAACTCCATCCTGTTAACTAAACTGTTAATCTTAAACTTTGTCAGTATGCCTGTTTGTGCCAGAGGGGTACTGTTTAAAGATGTTTGGGCTTAATCTTTCTTTTTGATTATTTATTTCTCAGGAAAAAAATGCTCTGCGAGAAAAAGGCTTATAAAACAAGAGGCTGAAACACTGTACAGCTGAGAGGAGCAGCAAACTCAGCAGAAATCTCTCTATTGTACTCCAGGGCGGTCAGATCAAGGGTTCATGCTAAAAACAAACAAAAAAAGACTGTGGTGGTCAGTTTTACCAATGTAGTCAAAGCTGCCAGGTGCCAGGCGCTCGGGTAAATGGGTGGCAAAAAGAAAGCCAGTGAGGAGAGCCAAGGAGATGTGGTAGAGGTGGAGGATGTTGGTTTCATTGTCTGTACAGCCTTCCCCTACACACAGAAACACCTGCAAATAAAAAGCATACAACGACACAAACGATTACATTGTGATTACAAAAAAAACCCTGCCTCTGGCACCTGTATCCATGTTCTCCCTTCCTGTCTAGATCCTTGCTTAGGTTATATTTATGCCTAAATGTGCAAATGAAATTGTGACACGGTAATGTTGAAGTGGAAGCCATATCATCACCTTCTTTATGGGGCATGGATCACTTCATAGGGTTTCAGTTAGCTGCTGTGTTATCAGCTACTGCTAATATGCAAGTTCAGTTGTCAAGTCAGTGGAAGTACGTATTTTAATCAAGGGTTTTGGTAAAAACAGCATATCTAGTGATTGTAAAAACATTACTTTTATAACCAAGTTAAGAAAAGCATAAGCCAAAATTATTCATTAACATTTTTTGCTGATATTCTCATATAAAAACAAGTTCTCACACTTCTCTGGTCATCTTCCTCATATTTACTCAGTACACTCCAAGCCCAGGACTCTATCCTGATATCCACATCCAGACCTGTCCTATTTAAAGAGACAGGTGCACCACATGCACAGGTGTGTTCCTACCCTGTAAAATAGAGGAATGTTGTCGAACAGGTAGGGGTAGGCAAAGGCCACAACACGCAGGTATTTGCTGAACTTGGGTCTCTGGAACTCGGGGAATCTGAAATAAAAGGATAACAACGTTTGTGTTTGTTTTCAAAACTGACACATGAAACTTCTATTGACTGTGAAATCCTCCTGGATAATTGGTGGATAAACAGCTGTGGAGGAAGCTGAGTGGAAACCTCTTGAAAGGGATAGCTGCAGCTACTGCCATAATTACACCACATTTGTTTATAATTCAATAACATTTTACTGAAACACTAAACTAACTCACAGATTATTAAAGCCATGGTTATCTAGGAACCTATATGAGCACAGCTGCAATGCCATTTCCCAAGCATGTCATATTTTTCTGCTTAAAACTGGGTGGTCAGTCTTTACTTTATTACAAGGTCAAAATCATAATAATTTCCTCTAAAAATACATTTACATGTAAAATTTGTAGCAAACCAGCTCTTTTTGGTGCTCTTACAGTTTGGTTGCCACAGAACATGTTAAACCACTTTTCTGTCATGTCTTCTAACCAGTTTGACTGAAACTCCGATCAGAGTAAATCACTGTTGGGGTTGGTCTCTATGCTCACGGTTGTGTAACACCAATTCAACAGTCACTTGCTTAACTCTGCCTGAAAAACTTTGCCAACACAAGGCTGTGGGATGAAGTCTGTTTGAAGACTTAAAGACATCATGATGACTCATTTGTCAAAGATGAGGTTGCAGTTGTTTAATGTGCGATTGCACAATCATCTAAAGCACAACAAGGTAAGGACAGAAGATGGAAACAAAAGGAAGAGCAGATTTCAGGCCAATGCCAAGTCTTTACCTCGTCACGGTGTCATGGTTATATTGCAGAAATGGCAAGCCAAGCCTTAGCAGAGGGGGAAGACGAGTGAAAGAACAACAATTAGCCACACCGAGCCGACATCAAAATACACAAAGATAAAACAGTGCTAACAGTGGCAAATCTGCGCAAGATGGCAGAAGTGTAACGATGCTGTCCTGACTCAGAGTGGGTATTACTGATTAAAAAGGTCCTGTTAAACTTCACTCTATTATCATTTATCATTACTGCAGTGAGTCATGAACACATACAGATTTGTATAATCAAAATGTCGTCATCAACAAAGATGTTAGTTTAGAGGTAAGTGATTATCTAATAGTTATACAAGTCAGTTAAGCTTTAATGTGATTGACACTGACGTAAGAAGAAATCTTGGAATAAAGCCACCAAATACGACACTTTTGTTAGTTACTTAGATGAGGGAAAACTGAGTAGGAACTTGATCCTTTTTCCATCTTTCACTTCAGCAGTAAGTAGAGTATCAAGTTAGAGAAAATCAGGGTTAGTGAGACATGTCATCACCAAACAACTAACTGCAAGAGTCGTCAATCATCGGATTTGTTTAACAAAAGAAATAATTTTTGCAATTGTTTGGGGAAGCAGTTAATAATTGCAGCCATTATCTGTCAAGAATTTCAAACATGCAGTGGTTCAAGCTTCTTGAATGTGAGGATTTCTCAATTTTTTATGCAATTTATGTGAAGAAAGTGTTGTTAAAACTGTGGATTAGATAAAAGATGTGATTTTAAAAACTTAATTATGAATCAGAGAAATTTCAATCAGTATTTCTCACTTCTTGTTAAATGTTTGATTGACCAAGTAAGTGAGAGTTAATGTTGAAACTGATCAGAACTGTCTGATGGTGAAATCATTGTTAGTTCTCTCCAACTTATTGGGCGTTAACATACTAAAATTTAACATGTCACTTTTGGCACTTGAAAATGATTATGTAAGCAACATGGCAGCTTTTGGCACATATGTTTTTTATGTTCTCATGACAACATTAAACAGGTCTAGACAGAAACTACTTGCTTGCAAACATGCATTTACTAATTTATGGAACTTAGTGTGATTGAAAATCTGAATATGAATCACTTTTTTATGGTTATTTACCACCATAATTTGATAAACAATTAGGTTTGCTAGAATCTTGAACATTAAGCGTTTAGCCTTCTTTGTCAGTCCGTATTCAAATTTAAGAAGTGTTAAAAATGTTGGGATAGTTAAGCAGATTTGATACCACTGCAAGTAAAGTTAAATTCTCCTGTTTTTCAATACACTGACAGGGTTTCACCTTTGAGAATAATTATTTAGCCCCCTATTGTTGAACCAAAGTTAGCCAAAATTAGGCTACCATCTGATTTGCAGCTTCTGATTCAGCTGCTGAAGCAAGAGTTAACAAAACCAGTTCCTGATGCAAAATCACTTCACCAAGTCTTGATCAATCAAATACTTTTAAGACCATGAATTTGGTAAAAGATGTGATTTTAAAAAGTTGATTATAATTCTGAGAATATTCAATCAGTATTTGTCACTCTTCAGTCTATTCAGTCTGGTCCAGAGGTGATAAAAGGAATTTAAAACAGAAGTTTTTGCATTTTTAAAAAAGCTTAAAAAAATAAAAATCAAAAATCAAAAAATCTGAAACTGTGTTTTAAAACGTGTGTAAACTCTCGAGAATAATCTAGTCCAGATCTGACAAATCTAAATTGTGGCTCAGAACCTGGTCTAATAGAGGTTCAAATATCTTCTTTTGGATATGGATGCTATCTGAGTTTTATCTGTTAAAACTGAATCATGTCACTGTACCTTGAGTAGCAGGACAGAGTAGTGCAGATGACAGTGTTGAGCACAGCGATAGGGACGTAGCTCCTGTGGAAAAGGCTGTTCACCCATTTATCCGGGAAAACATAAGCTGAATATGCAACGGCTGATCCTGCAGTAGGACACAACAACCACAGAGAAAATTATAAACTGATCAGACCTTCATTTTTTTTAGTCATTAGAAAAAGTATGCATAATATTCTGTCTTCATGTAGAGAGAAAGGGAGAGAAACAACAACTTTGAATTTCTGGTCAATAAATAAAACCCAAAATTTTAGAGTGTGGATCCCATCTAAAAGTCAAAGTGAACCACATACTCACCCAGACTGTAGAAACTGAGGGCTCCATAGTCAAAGAAGAAGCAGATGTGTCGAGCTCGGGCTGACATGGTGCTGAAGGTGTGAGCACAGCTGGATGCCAGCGGATAAATGCAGGAGGAGAGCAGGAAGATGAGCAGAGGCCAAGTGAAAGAGTCCTGCCATGCTCTCTGTATTAACACCACCGTCACTAGTTTCCATAAGAAGTACCTGTCAGAAAAGAAAGGTTGAAGATGGTAAATGAACAGTGTTTTAATCTATTTTCTCTAGGGTCCTGTCTGCTATGTAAAGAGCCCATCAGTTTTTGACAAACCCGATTCACACACCACTGGGGGTGGGTGGGGTCAAGTGACTTTCATACTTCTGCATTTGGACTGTAGGACGTGGATTTGAACCCCTGACCTTCCTACATGATGGAAGCATTAAATGAGCGTTGAAAAATGCAGATGAAATACACAATTAAGAAAAACCCCTGAGTAAATGGATGCGTAATGTCTAACAAGCAGAAAACCTGAGGGAGGCCTGACTAGTTAAAAAGGATTAAACTGTCGGACCGTGAATATTGCACTTCGGCCTTCACAGTCCTTTAGATATCAACCATAGTGGTTGAAGAATTTGTTATTTTCCTTCTTTGTTGAGAGCCTTAGAGTTAATCTTTACCGTGTTTCAAAGATTTCTCCTGTTAACTGATTGCTAAAGTTAAGGCCTGTCTCCTTCCTTTGGATTTACAAAAGTTCAAACATGCTTTTATAACATCTTGTCACAATTATGGTCAGTCTTTATATGTGAACTTAAAGCAGACATCTATTTGATACCCACAGCTATTCAAAGTGCAGCTGCTCACCTCCTGACAATAGAAGAAGAGTGACCACGACACACCTGTGCTGCTTGCTCTTTCTCTCTTCGGTCTATCACAGGATCATCAGTTTGGGAATTTCATTGTTGACCTTTGAGGCTCTAAACTGAATGGCACTGGTTTACTAAGGTTAACCAATCAGCTGCTTCTGGATATGCCTATGAAATCCAGGGGTGATCAAGCCTTTGCAGTAGCTATCCCTTACCCTTGGCATTGCTTAGTCAGGATCTCTTGAATATTTTAAAGCATTGTTGAAGACCTATCTCTTCTTTATTTACTTTCCTTTCAGAATAAGAGCATTGATATTCCAACAGGTTCACAATTTTCAACCTATACGATGTGTTGTGTGTGTTGTGTTATGTCTTTCTCATGTTTTTAAATGTTCTCTATGAATAAATCTGATTTTATTTTGTTTGCTTTACTGCCCTTGAACTACTCAGTGATGGAGGCCACACCAATTTGAAATAGTAAATACTGAACTTGTTTGATAGTGACAGGGGGAACCCTGAGGATGGCCAAGCACAAACTCTGTGGATTGTCAGTCGTAAAGTGAACTCAATGAAGAAGAAAACAAAACAACCAGCAGTGGCAACAAATGCAAACACAAAGCAAGAAGTTAGATGGACATAAAAAATAGAGGACCAACTTGTTGAAACAAGTGTTTACATTCAGTAAAATTTACCTCAGTGGAACTAAAAGGGAGAGGAGTTGAACAGAAAATACGACTAGATAGCTGAACAGTTCCCAAAGTTTGGCTCGACAACAGTCTTGTCGTCTGCCATGTTTGTTTACTCAAAAAATCATGTTTGACCACAAGAGATTTTGTGAAATTTCCTGTTTTGAGAGTCGGGACTAGCTGCTGGTAATTGTAATATGTGTGTGTTTTTAGCACACTTGTCATATTGCTGCACAACACACACTTCAACAACAAACCTGCTGAATCTGTCAACATCTGTCATCGTTAGTGGGTTTTAACGTTTTTAAACTGGGTTAAGATCTTAAAAAATCAGTGCCTGGCTTTATTGTCACTCACTTTGACTGACACCTGCCTCGTAGCTGTGGTTACAAATGATTAGAAATACAAAGAAAGACAACCTTCTGGTCAACCAAAACAAAGCAGACCATCTAAAGCTGCTTACTGTGAGGCAACAGACAACACTGAACCAAGCAGAGCGTGAGACTCTTTAATAAGATAAAACTCCAAAGGATGAAGAAAGAGAAAAACAAACACAGCTTCTTATAAAAATACGCTTTCTCTGTGGCATTCATCCACACACACGCTTCCTCTAGTATTTCCCACACTTTAACGACTGGGACTGATAATTAACCAAGTATCTTAATTCCCTATAAAAAGACTCATACTGGGCTCATCTTCCCGGATTGTCAGTACATGTCAATGAGGGTAAAACCAGGCTTAACGGCAACAGCAAACACAAAGAGCTCGGTCTTATCAGCCAAGTAGTTCACCTCGTGTGGAAGTGTATCTGTGTAACGGCCACAGTTTCCACGCGTTGGTGCACCTCATTAACAAATCAACATTATTTGTGCTTTTCCTCGTCAGTGAGCATTTAACTAATTGTGAAAGCCTTGAGCACAGCACTGCTCATTAGCGCCCAGCCTGTAGGTCTATGCTGAGCCCCATGACACAAACACCCATGTGGTCCTCAGTGTATCCTCAACACACATGTACACACACACACGTGCGCACACACTTTCTCCCCGGACCATGCAGTCAGAGCAACTGGCATCTCAATAGGGAGGAAGTGCAGAGTGGCTGGTGGGAGCGGGAACTACTGTAGTAGAAGTAAAACACAAACACATGCACACTAACAAAAGACTTAATAAGTTACAGAGTCGCTGCGAGCTTGTAAAGGGATTTCACCTGCATGCTTTTCCTGCTTCAGCGTTCACCTGTTCATCTGCACACACAGGTCCTATTAGATGATCTAAAACCTCATCTTTTTCATTTAAGACTTTACTGCAAACGGGAAGCAATCCAGAAATAAACTGCAGAGTATTTTTGGTGTTAAAACCACTCAGCAGACATGTATACAACACATGCATATTCTATTTTCTACATTTTCACATCACAATGAGTCATCTATGGTGGTTTTCTCAAGACTTTTAGTCACTTTGCCACAGCCAGACTCACTGTGAATGCTGGTTGATCAATATCCAAGAATCAAAAGGAAGTGGTGTGTTTAGAGGTGTTGCCTTTTCACTGTAACAGCCTGAGCATCAGAGTGTTTGGGCTCCTCTGACATACTGAGACTAATTCTCCAATTAGATATCTGTACCCTATAGTATCGTATTATAAGGATGCTTCGCCAAGGTTCACACTTTAAAGAATGGAAGGTCAACTGGCTAGTTTGACGAATTGGTTGCAAATCCACAAGTGTAACAAAGACTGGTCTGAGACTGTTCTGGTTTATATAGCCGACCACGTTTCCAAACATTCTGCTGCCATCGTGTTGACATGAAGGAGAGTCCATGTAGGGTAATAACAAAGCACAACGTAGCTTTGGAGCCTGAATGATGTTAAACAAGTGTAGAAGGTCCTCGTTTAGGATGGTTTTCGGAGGCCCATGGCTTCAGGAATCTTGCACCAAAATATCTGTGGTATTTGAGTTACACAGCTCCATCACCCGAAAAGCTGACAAGAAAATCATCCTAACACTCCTGTTTGAGGGCTGACCCTCACGGATATTTCTCTAAAATGCACCACTATGTAGCTCATGCATGAATATTTGAGGATCAGGTGTGCGTGGACTAATTTGTTGATTTCCACTTAGTGACTTTTGGTGTGGGCGATCACACGCTTGAGATGGCTCTGGTTGTGGTGATAATGTTTCATTTGCATACTGAGACTGTGCAGATCCTTGAGTGCTCATTTACGGGATCATGTCTGCTTGGTTTCCTCACAGTATGTCTTACAGGGACATATGGAAAATGTCAGTGAAGAGGTGGTCCTCATATTATAGAGCAGTGATTCCCAACCTCAGGGTGGTGACTCAAATCCTTTGTGATAGAAAATGACCAGATATAAATTTAACTTTTGCTCTCTGAGCGAGGAGACACTCCCTTGATGTCAAGGCTACTTTTGAAACCTGTTCATGCGCACCTGAGCCTTGAATACCCCCATGCCCAGGCCACATACAGTGCCTTAAATATACATCCATGTCAACTTCCCTTTGGGGATCAGTTCCTGTACTAAGAGAAAATTTAACGTTACGTCATATCAAATGATATGGACTTAGCAGGGCCCAACAAACCACGCAAGAGGTGACGTGTTAACGCTTCTGCCTGTACAACAATGCAAAGTAATCCAGCGGGATAAAGAAAGCAGCCCTGCCCTAAACTCAACAACAGCTACAGTGTAAAATCTGAGTCTGACATGTTTAAAATAACCCCCGAAGTGGACTCTTTAACTTCAGCATGCTTGATGTTCTTTATTCATCAGACCAGCATGATTCATCTGAGGCGCTTAGATACAACAAACCTCTATCACCACTTTCATCGAGTGATTAAAAAAAGGACAAAGTTTGGACAAAGTAGGATAGCTGCATGGATCGGAATAAATGAAAGCAAACTGTGAGGCAACTGAGGATCGTATTGAACTCAAAGCAAGCTGCACATGAAAGTCTGTTGGCTGAGCAGCACTGTGACTCTGCAGGAGGTCTTTGGTATCCACATGGTTGCTTGGATGTATGGCTTCAAAACAAATCTGTCTGTATGCACAATCCCTCTTATGTTATTTCAGTTAATGCAGATTAAAAGCAACAAGTCTGGTTGAAAGTTTTACAACTCTGCTGGTGACGGTCTATTGTACGCACAACAACCTTTTGACAAGTCTAATGATCTCCTGCTATTTATAGAAATATAGACATACTTGTTTTCATGGAGTTCAAACAAGAATCCTGAGCAGAAAGGTACTGTAACTCTGGATTTGTGCGGCAAAATCAATGACAGTCCCGTAACAGCGGTGTCTAATCGAATAAATCCTCTGTCTTTGTGAGGTAATAGCCAAAACCTTGACTCCAGAAAATGCCAAACTGTAAAACCTCACGATAAAACCCTATAAGGAAAATCTGGATTACTCCCTGACCTACCAGCTCCACAAGCCGTGCAAGATTCTTTGAACATGAGGAATTACTTTTTTACTGTCGTGAAAACTGAAGCCCCCTGCTTTGGTTTAGAGAGAATCTGAAGAATCCACAATCACTGAGGATGTCGGCTGTCATTACAGGTTGAAAACTCTGCAGCTTCACCTCAACCGTCGTACAAAAGTGACAATCATCCACCTGCCTGCAGAGCAGCAGTCTGTTGTGAATGTGCCCTCAGGTGTGTCACTTGTTGTAAGACTAACAAACACATTGCAGGTATGACATGCATTTTTAAGAAACCTCAAACAGAACCATTGTAGCCTACTGTGCAGAAGTGTTGTTAGTCATACCAGGTGGGCAGGAAGTGCGTCCAGATGTTGAGCGTCTCATTGGTCAGCTGGAAGAGGCTGAGGATGCAGTCAGTGGCAGAGCTGCGGGGGTGTCTGTAGCCCGAGATGATGCTGTCCTCATGGAAAACCTCCAGAGAAAAAAAAAGTTAGAGTTAGTCGAAAGGCAGTTTGGCAGTTTTTAACTTCGTATATAAGTTTCTCCAAGTTTGTTTCTTCTTGGATGGGGAAGGTGCATGGGTCAAAAGGAGAAGTGTGTCAAAAAAAGAAAAACCAAGATGTACTTTTGACTTGGTGGGAAATAAAAGTGCCTAAAGGCAAAAAGCCAATGTGTTGAAACCGACCCAGGTCTCCATCTGGGCCATTGAGTATTTTTACCCGTGCAACAAGCTTTATGATTGTTGCATGTTGCATGATGTTTGCCCAAGGCCTCAGGTTTCCAAAAAGCACCTGAATGTGATTGATGCTAAGGCCCAGCGGTGTTTCTACTTTTTTTGTTGAACATCGTGCAAAAAGTGTGCAAGTTTTCCACACCTTAATCAGTCTCCAGCAGTCACACAAACAGCTCTTCAACATGATCAGTGAACCTGCTGTCTAATCGCTTACCCTACTTTATCTCATATTTATACTGAAAGGCAACAAGGAACAATAATTATTCATAGGTTGACATTACACCAGATTTTGCTGATTATCTTTTGTCTAAATCAACTTTACACTACTCATGAGCAAGAAAGTTGGCTTAGCTGACTTTTTGTGCAGAGGCTGCAGTCTGAGTCACTCTGGTTTCAGGATTGATCCCAGATCCAGCAAGATTTGGTGAACATCATCCCTTCTTTGTCATCCTACAGCTCAGTATCTCTCGAGGTGTTTTGTTATTAAAGGCAAAAAGCCCAAAATAATCTTGATTAAAAGAAAGATACGAGCAAGAAAAGTGTTTGCAAGTAAGTCTCACAAAATATCTCTTTAGACTCGACATGTGCGGCAGTGCAGAAAGAAAACTTCTTCAGCTCTTAAGATGTAAAATACTGTGGAGGCAGTTTGGCTGAGTGGTTAAATTAAGCACTATATGTGAGGATGCTGTCATCTACAGAACAGGCAGCCCCGGCTAAAAGCAGGTTTCCCACTTCTCCAAATCCACATCAAATCCTCTAAATCAGGGAGTCAAAGCCAAAAACAAATACATGAAAAAATTTGATGTTTCTTCCAACAACACATGAAATGAAATTTTGCTTGTTTTATTGGCAGAAATCCTAATTTTCAATTCTAATATCTTGAAACAACGTATGGCAGAAACTATCAGTTAATTGTGGCCCATATTTGGTCTGATAAGATAATTTGAGAGCAGAAGTTTTGGCATGTTTTTGCAGTGTTCAGTTAAGTCACTCAGGTATAGTGAGTACTAATGACTCTGTGTTTAATGAGGTAGAACAGGAAAGAAAGTAGCACACTTCAGTACTCTTACTAACACTTGTGAATAAAAATTTGTCTTAAAAAAGTTGTTGAACACATTAGCTCAGTCCAAGAGGAGCTAAAACTTTCTAAAAGTTCAGTAAAGATTGAGAAAAGTTAAACTTACTTTGGGGACTTGATTGATGGTGAAGACTCGCGGTAGCTTGATGAGGCTGAGCATGACGGCTGCAGAAACCTGCTGCTGTCAGGTGTGGGAGCTAAAGTGAGGCCGCTGGCTGGGTGTGACTGGGTGTCTTTATGAGGTTTGTGTTGCCATGCTGTCCTCCAGGTTTCATCTCCTCCCTCCTTCAAACCCAGCGAGAATATCCAGTGTACCTGTGCCACTCCTCCTCCTACTCTGCTTCCTCCTCCTCCTGCTCCTCCTGCTGGCTCTGTCTCTCTGGGGGTGGAGGTCATGTACACACAGGTGTATTCTCACACACAGGTATGAGCACACACACACCGACTTTCTACAACACAACTGCTGTTTTGACACAGGAACATGAATCTTTTTTTGTACAGAAAACTAGTTTTTCAAGTTTTTACCTGAATAATGACCTCTGCTCAATTACAGCACATAAAAGAGAGCTGTTTCCAAACAAAGCTCTGTTTCTCTGCTTTCTGTTGTTGCATAACCTTCCCACAAAGAGATGGCAATCAGGCTGGTAAGGCAGGTTTCAGAATGCACCCTAAAACACAACCCAAAAGAGCTGTGATTGACATTACCAGCCCACAACTCAGTCTGATATTTCCAGCAATTTTCCACCAGAAACTGTCATCAAGTGCAGCAGACAAGCTCAACAAGTGCTCTCTGAAGATTCAGCCGTGGCAGATAAGACTGCCATCATGAATGAAGGGTGTGAATGGCTCGGGCAGAAAAGTCAACACTGCTCCTTTCATGCCACTCTCCTGCCTGTCTCACTGACATTTCACCGTCTGCCCTCAGAGTGCCGGCAGCCGTCACACCCAGCGGGGACGGCCGAGCCCAGCCTGAGCTCTGGGGACTGTTATCTTATTTAAACTGTGAGGCAATGAGAGCAAACAAGACACACATCCATCACAGAATTAAAGAGCAGAAAGAGGAGAAAGACTGAGTGATTCCTCTGACTTTCTGGTCATATTACAAAGAGAAAAACAGTAAAAATCACTGAAATATCTGCTGTATTTTGATTGTAGTGACCCTAATTTAGAGATGAAAAAATCTGTCTGGGTCTGAGGTCAGACGTCTGAAACAAACGTCACGCTTGCTTATGTTTGAGCACAAAGGATAAGTTAATATTTTATCTTACAGGCTTAATGGAAAACTAAAATTATTCCAGCTGTAAACGCCAAATCCTCCGCGAGCTTCTGTTTACAAGTGTCAAACGATTTAATACAAAGCGTATTTGTAGCACACAATTTTTTTCAACGCTCTTAGTTGAAATGTTTTCTTTCAACTATCCGCCTTTGCTTTCCTTCTCATTTTGTATTGTACGCTTGTGCCACAACAGCTCAGTGTGATGAAGCAACAAACGACCTGCAGCAAAGCACCCTGGGACCTCATTGTGCTCTCTCAGAGGAGTGGAGCTGCAGAAACACCGCAGGTGAAAAGCTCAAAAAAATACACAAACAAGGTTGGAATATCTGACTCCAAGTCAGTTTTGTGTCGTTGGAGTCAGTCAGTACAGTTAATGTGTGAGTTAATATGTGATTCATTGAGACGTTAAAAGGTAAAAGCCTAAAAAGAAAACCTGAGTACAGACAGTTCTGCTCTGAGGGAGCCAGAGGAAAGAAAACAAGGTCAAGAAACAGAAAAACAAAAATGTCTCCAGGAATATGGTGAAAATATCACAGCAGTTTGTAGAGATTTTGCTCATCGATTTAACCCCACTGACAAATTTATATTCTTTCTATTGTTTTAATATCAATATTTGAGCTGAAGACTTTGTTGTATTTTTTGCTGAGGCTACAACTTATAATAATTTGCACTTTAATTATTTTCATAAAAAAAAACACAGCTTAATCTACAAATAAAAACTGTGTGAAAATAGTCTTCATGTTTCCCAGACCGAAGCCCACACCTCATGTCCGCCCCGCAAACATCACTTGTGTTGCTCTGTGTTGACCCAGATCAGCAGCTTTGTGTAGCTCTGAAACAAAACACCAAACAACATGCGGGAACAATGTCGAATGATAAAAACGTATCTGAAATGGCCCGGAGCTTGAAGAAGAAAAAGTACTCCTGTGACCCTGTTACTGCGAGGCTAAGGTTGCTCTTAGTAGTCCTTACAGTTAAAAACACTTCTCTGTACTCTTTACAGCAGAGTACTGAAGCATCTCTTGTGAAGGAGCATCCTCTTTTAGTGTTATATATATATATATGTCCTATATTTGTTATGTGTTGTGATTTTCTCTAACAGCACATTTTGCAAATAAAAACTGTCTTTACGGTTCTAAGCTGGACAAGACCAAACAGACTGCATGTTGTTCCTCATGTTCAGGTTGTTAAACAGAGAACACACAGAGACCAAACACGGCCCCTGAGTGCATTTTATTATGTGTATTCCCTCAGCCTTTCTCTGCCTCTTTTCCTTTCCTTACATCTCTCCATGCATCTCCAGTGGGAAAGACCAAAACACAAGAAAAAAAGACATAACTGTGGGCTGCATGGATGCAATTTTAGAAAACAGAAATCCATTTACTCTCAGTCTGTTTCATCGAGGCCTGAAGGTTGATTATTAACAGAAGCATATTTTGAGTTCTTCTTTTTATTTTTGTTATTGTGAATAAATCTTTTAACTGGCCTAACCATCTACAGGGCAGGTAACAAAAGGCTAATAAAGACGTACTTTTGGAGTGATGTTTAAAGCTCCTGTGAAGAGTTTTAAGCTGGTTATGAAATAGACGGAAGATACAACTAATGCTCCATCTGACCTAGAAGAATAAAAAAAAGACCATTAACTACAAAACTGGTAATGTCTATGGAGTCTAGATGTTTCTGCTGCATGGGTGTCATATTAAGTTTGTTGCAGGAAGCTTTCCTTTCACTGACATTTTTAGTTGCAAGTATAAATATGACTTTAAAAAGAATAAATTTAATGATGTTACTTGACAAAAAGTTTTACACAAGCCCAGGACAAAATCAGGAAAAGGTGGATTTGTGGCACTTTGTCAGGGGCGCTAAAACGACCACAAACACTGTGCAGAGAGGCACAGATATAACACTTGTAGATGCTCGGATAACATGATGTGAATAAAATGTAACCTCAGTGAGTGTCTCTTGAAAGATTTCCTCTTAGTCAACTTGAAAAATCTTTTGCAAAGATTTGACTTAAAATGAGAAATCCCAAAAGTTTTTCTCTTTTTTTGTCACAAATCTAAGAAAGAGAATTACGGGCATATGAAGAGAAAAAAATAAAAACAGGAAAGAGATTAAAATTGAAATTTCGAGATTGAAGTTGAAATTCCAAACAGTCAAAATTTGGACTTTATTCATGTCGACTTTAATCGCGAAATTTCAACTTTATTCACAAAATTTTTTTTTTTTTAATCTCAAAATTTCGACATTATTCACAACAATTCGAAGTCTCAAAAATTCAACTTTAATCTCAAAATTTCAATTTTTAATCTCGAAATTTCAACCATAACCTTGAAATGGAAATGAGTAAAATTTCCCACCTCTAATTATTTTTTTCTGGTTTTGTGGCCCTAATCCTCTTTCATACATATCTGTATAACTGAATGTTGAATAAAAAAAAACAGACCCAATATAATCCATTTCTTTCTTGCACACAGCTGAAGTGTTTCCACTGCATGCTATCATTTACAACCAGTACTACCCCAACTCACCACGAGGTGTCAGTGCTCTGTAACAGAAGCTGCTCAGGTCAGGGTGTGAACAGTCCTGCAGCTGATATGAAGATGCAGCAAGAGGAAAATCACTGAAACCTCCGTGTTTGTGCAGGTTACCATCAGCCTAAAAATGAGTGTTTTTCTAAATCCGGACCTCAGTGTCCTCCAGCCTCAGGTTTGATGTTTTTGTTCTTGTTTTTCTCTCTTATTAATTCATTCATCACCGTGTGACCTCAGACCACAAAGCTACACTTTCTGAAACATCACCGGGAATTAAAGTGCATCACTGCAGGGACACAGAGGTCCAGGAACGCTGTGTGCTTTTTTTATTGACTGTTAATGAGAAAAAGTAACAAGTTTGCTTCAGGCCAAAGACCCCCTCCCCCTCCCCCTCACACACACACACACACACACACACACACACACACACACACACACACACACACACACACACACACACACACACACACACACACACACACACTCTCTCTCTCCCTCTCTCTTGTGCAGGCCAAGCTAACCTCCAGTGGCCCCGAATGTTTGTGTAACATCAGCACAACACTGAGCAGCTTCTCACATTAACGATTCATGGAGTCATTGTTGCTGATGCAACCATTAATGTTTTAATATCGAAAGAACTTTGTTTTTGTTTACTTCAGAGGAGGATAAGATGGTCCAGAGGCTTTTAACACAGACATTAAATTCCAACCACTTTACTAGGATTACAAAATGCGCCAAATATCCTTTTTTACCTACATACCTGCAGGGGTGTAGAGCAAAACTCTGTAGAGTAGAGTACTCTGGACAATGCTTGGTACACTGCAAGGAAAATACTTTAAAGTTCACAGCATTTAAAAAACAACTATTATAATTTATTCTGAGATTTTAAAACAAAAACCACACATAGAGCTGAGTTTGGTTTAAGTCCTTTCTGTAAAAATCTGATTGAGTTAAGAATATCTTTGTCCAATAAATGAAAGCAAAAGCATCTGTGCAAGGTCAGTTCTTGTTCACATCGATCAGGGGACATCTTTATTTGTTTTATTTTACATAATTTAACTTCATTTCATTCGACTTTATTCTACTTTTTTATAGGTGTAGTTGGGGTAACAGCTTGTCATCAGTCAGCTCTGTGTTTTCTCTGAAATTTACTCATATTCATCCTTAAAAATCTTTAAATCACAGGCATTATAATGACCGACAATTGCATGATACCTGTCTTCATATAAAGAGAATTAAAGCCCCTATGAGAGGCTTTTTTGCTGAAATCGTCATTGATGCCTTTATGTGTCCTAAACAAGCAAAAGAGGTTGTAGTTTTAATTTTAAAGTCTGCCACAGGGAAGGTGACAAAGATTCACAGGAGGTGACATGATTGTCTGTTATTAGACAGCAGAAAAAATAATAGATGTTCTTCCTTGAGCTGCGTCACCCCGCCTCAGTCGACGATGGACTGGTCGAGGTCTCGCTACTAACAAGTGGCTGCTGGAAGAGAGTAGGTGAGTTGTGTTTAGTCTCTTTGTTAAAGAAATCAGGCAAAGTTAAAAAGATGTAGTACTATGGCTGGGACCCTATATGTTCTGTTAATGAAGTTAGGTGCTGTTCTGAGCATTATTTGTGGCTATAGAGTGGCGTTTTGGTTGAGGTTTGTCCATGGTTTCATAGACTGCTGTGTATTGCTATCCTGCGGTCGTCACTAAAGTTGGTAAAACTAAAGAAGCCAGCGGTCGGCAACATTCATCTCTCGAGGGGGTGTCTAACTCGGTATTACGGTGTGTTTGACCCTAAATTAATTTTACGCCGGAATATCTATATACTACTATACTACTTGTTTTTGTTCAAGGCCGCACGTTGTAGGATGCAGTGACGACGTAGTGTTTATGTTTTATAGCTACATTGATTTAGGAATGTAAAATTATATATTTTTTCCTTCTCCTGCTCTCATATAACCCATGATTACAAGACACCAGTTAAAAGAAAACCACCTAAAGGAAGCAAAAACCCTTTTGCTTTCTAACCTTTTTTAACTGAGTTTAGAGTTTGAGTAAGTGCACATACTCCAGTTACATTTTCTTATTGCATAATAAGATCATAAATATAAGAAACTGCACCAGAAGCTGGAGCCTGCAGCACAGTAGAGCCTGAACACTGTATTATTTTCTAGCATTTGCTTCATTAAACAATAATTTCCTTCTTTACATTTTCCATTTTAAACACTAATAATATTACTGCTAATGATGTGTAGTCTGTGTAGTGCAGTGTTGTCGGGACAGATGGGTGGTAGACTTGACTGGAGCAGGCTGCTGTGCTGCAGCTGCTCACTGTGTTGGGGCCTCCCTGATGTTTTGGTTGATGAGGTGTAGTTTGTGTCTTCAAATGAGGAGTGCATGTGGCGGACGCCCCCCTGATACATTATTTATAGTTGTTACACTCCACAGGCTCCTATTTTCCTCTCCTTCTGCAGAGTTTCACAGATCTCTCACTTTCATTCAATCCAGGAATCTTCTAACCACAGACTCGCTCTGTCTCTCTACCTCTCTCCTGTACGTCTCTGTATTATCTCTATATGAACTTGACCCCCCACTGATGCTATGTCACCTCCTCCTCCTCCTCCTCCTCCTCCAGAGCCATCATCGTCTCTAACTCTGCTTCTCATTGCACTGCTGAGGACTTTCATCCTCTCTGAAACATTAACCAAATGATCCAGCTGCTCATGAATGAGCAAAAGAAAGCAGTTACCAGGTTTGGAAATGGAGAGCGGAGATTTATTTTATTGTGGTGTAATGGCTGATTCTCTGTCTCTGCTGTTCATTTAGAGAAGGAGAAAGAGACGGAGCTGAATTTCACAGCACTGTCAGCTCAGTCGCACCAATGAAAGAAGATAAGAGGTGAAGTTTGAAAACCGTTTGGCAGAGCACCAGGAGGAGAAACTTTTTCCTTCTTTTGATGAATTAGTCAAGTTTTGAGACACGCTGCCGAGGTAGATGCTAATTATATGAGACAGTATAAAGAGGAAGTCTGAAATTTAAAAAATATGCTTGTTCTTATTCTGTCAGGGTGTTGGATGAGGAGATCAATGCCAAGTCTCAATCATTTCTGTTCAATATGAAACTACAGCCAGCAGGTACTTCACTTTCCCTTGAAAAGTTTATCAAAATTCAGCCACCATCTCACATCAGGCGTCTTGAATCTCATTTTATCTGTTATTTTTTGAAAATCTGGACAAAACCAAAGTGTTAAAATTGACATTTCATCCAGCAGAAGTTTGAGGAGGTTTTTCTTCACATTATTGGTTGTGACTAGATGGGAAACCTACATTTTTATTCACCTGGCCAGGGGCAGATCAAAAGTGTACCCAGGGTGGCTCAGCCCTCATTGCTCTGAAAAGCCACCCTGATGGTTGAGGAATTCAAGTCTGCTTATCGCATCTCAAAAACTTGGGGGAAAAAGCCAAGATAATCTAGTGTCTTGCTTTTGTTTCATTAAAGTTGTCTTTCCTTATTATTTGACAGTAAATAAACCAACTATGTACTCTGTACCCTGGTTTGTACATTTATAGTGTCATATAAGCGCTGGTCTTTCAAATGCATGTTTAATACAATGGTGAATATTGCAGTCAGGCCAGCTTTGGCACCTCCTGGTGGATAAAAATCAGATAATCACTTTGCTGATCTTGTCCTGTACATGCAAAGGTGGTGTTTTAGCCCCAAAATGTCAATATAGAAATTGTCAGTTTCATTGCTGTTGGTTTTCTTTGTATTTGTGGGTCGTGCAGGACGAGTAAGTCAGTGAAGTTCATTTATGGGTAGGTGTCAGATGAGGCTTTGCATAGAAAACATACAACGGTGTCATTGTTAATATCAGTATGTTTAATAACCAGCTACAAATCTCTCAATACCTCAAACTAAGACTGACTATTCGCCTTGTCAGAAACATGATTTATATTGTTGGAAACTTTCTTGTCAGATATGATGATTTGCGATAGAAAGGATAAATAAATGGTGTGTTTTTGACCATGTACTTTAGGTCACCCTTGAATCAGTCTTGGCCCCAGTTGGGTCACCCCAGTCAATTAAGTCTGGATCGACCTCTTCATCCAGCAGACTGCTGTTTGGGTTCTGAGCTGGTTCAGCTTGAGAAGATTATTGGCAAAAAAAAAAAAAAAAAAGACACTCAGGTTTGGGGGAAAAATCATATTTTGATAAAATGATCGGCCAACACTAACTCTTAGTTCATAATAGACAAAAAGAGATGTGTTCTGGGGAGGAGTCTTTTGTTTGACCCCTACAACTACACTCTTTACAAGAACTTTGTCGAGTTTTATATTTGCACGACAGCAGAAAACTCACCTAATAAAGAGACACGATAAATCCCTGATTTGGAATTCTTATCGAATAAACAAAATGAAGTCGATATTTTGTGGCGAATCATTTAGGTCTTTGGAAAGTAACTGTGTAATAGGGGGATTATGTGCAGACAGTGGGTTGTTGAAGCGCAGTGACTGCCAACAGGCTGATGTAGGACCCCAGTGCAGACCATGTACATCATCTTTAATCTGATTAGTGTGTTTTAGTGAGGCTTGTCTCTCTACAAGGAGCCGGGCTCCTTATTTACTCTGTTTCAAGTCTTCTGCTAAGCCAAGCTGCTGAAGCCTTGGAAGTATATCTAATAGAGAGATATGAGAGAAGTATTGATTTTCTCATCTTTTACTTACTGCCAGAGGGCAAAAAAGTGAATTCCTCCAAATATCTGACTTTTTGCTTTTAGATTAAAACTCTGGGAGAAAGTTGCTCATCGAGGTGAACCTCAGACACTTTCTTGGATGTGAGTTTCCAAACTTCTCCCGTGAAGTTCAGCAGATTTAAAGAGTCTGTTTTCACTGGATGCTTCCACATGCAGTTTATCCTCCCCAACCTCCTCTGAGACCTCTACCAACACACAAACCAATCCAATAATACAGGGTTCAACGAAGTGTTAATTTCATCAAGTGAGTAAATTTATGGACACTGTGAAGCCCCTGGCCTCCAGACGCCGGGTAACCAAGGATCCACCGTAATGTTATCACAGCCATCTCATCTGAATGGCAGCAGCGGCCATGAAGAGACTCAGTTTGTGGGGTTTATGTTGGGCTAATTAACGGACTGGGAGACAGACTCTCTGTCAGAAGGGACGGTAATATCATTAGCGTGGAAGAAAGAGGCGGAATGAAAAGCGTGGGGTGAGTGTGCGGCTGTGTGGGAGAAATTATGGCTGGATTGTAGAAATGCCAGAAGGTAATGAAAAATGCAAGTGTGTGGCAGCAGACACAGTCCTACTCAGGTGTCTTCGCTCCTCGCTGGATCAGAATAGCCTAATTAGGATAAATTATTTATCAGGATTGTTTTTTTGCAGCAGCAGCTTCACAGAGAGGACGTTCAGTATGAGCAAACTGTTTCTCTACAGTGGAGTCAGAGAGGCTGAAAGAAAGTGCCACATCATAAAAAATTAACAGAAATACACTAACAACTTTAATATAATCATCTCAGTCACAGTGAAATGAACTTAAGAGCTTCATCCTCAAGGTGAAGGAGATGTAGCTTCGTGGATGTTCAGCTAATGCAGTTAAATGATTACTCCAGATGATCTACAAACTCAAGCTGGGTCAGGAGGCCGTCTGTGTTTACTGTGTTGTTGTTTAAAGTTTCTGCTGCACTGATAATCATTATCTTAAATCTGGAGTCAATAACTTGGTCTATTTTGAGCTATTTTGATTTGGGCTATCACTGTATCTCTCCGTCTGTCATCCCCTGTAGTGCAGTAGTTGTGAGTGACAGCTGGTATCAGTTATGAATGGCATACTTGTTTTGCCATTCACTGTCCCGTATAAACACCAACTTTCAACCATGAATGCAACACGATCTCACTATCTCAGGAAGTAAAAAACCTGGCCTTCTTTGGGTCAGCACAACAATTTAACCCTTTTTTGAAGCAACAGAAAAAAAAGAAAAAAGTCCAGAAGTTTAAGAAAAATGCTTTTATTTTGTACACCTTTAAAAAGCAAATTTTTAAAGCACAAAGATTTACTCTGTATATAAACACCTCTCTTCCTTAGACTAAAAAATGGTAGCATTTGCACATTGTGCTTGGATTGAAAAGTCTGTACAACCGCTCTGGGTCTCTTGTGGTGTCACAACCCCAGTAAACATTTTATTGCATAAATCACATTTGACCTCAGCGGTCATATGTTTTAGTCTTCAACAGAAAGTGGAAAAAAAAACAGTTGAAATGAGGAAACTGAAATTCTTATACCTGTGCCACAGTGAACAATAATAGCAGCTTCCTGAATGAAGGCGTTGCACATCTTTCTAAAAAACAAAGCAACCCCGCAGAAATGCAACCCAAATAATGTGACCGGAGAATGGCAGTTGTGCTTTCGCGACTATCTTGCAAATGATCTCACTCCTCTGAAAATTATTCCAACAAAAGATGGAGGAAATGCAAAATCTGAGAAGAAGAAACAAAACTTTGAAGGAGATTCGCAGCTATTGGCTCATTCAAACAGTAGCTGACTAAATGCTTTTCTCTAGTTGCACACTTCCCCTTTAACAAAAGCGAGTTTTACATCTCTTATTTCTACTAACATCTACTCAACCTACTTCTGAAAAACTAACATTTCTTAAAAAGGCAGTGTCTCTGTGACGTCGCCGAAACACTCAACGTCATTAAATGCTAAATGGAAATCAGTTTGCACAAAAATATACAAATTCAAATAGAGTTGAATCGATGACTTTGGTTTAAACAAAATGGACAATCACACTCAAAACTTCAATTCCTGAATGTTCCCTTTAAACTCCGTATTCTTACGTGTCCTGTGAAGTTAAAATCATGATTTTTGCAAGTATTCATGGGAAGAAAATGCTACCAGGAAATGAACAAAGCAAATCAAGCAAGTGCAAAAAATAAACCTCAGATCATCAAGATAAAAAGTACACTCAATACTCAACCATAACATTTTCTTTACTTAGACCCAGGGCTGCAATTATTCTCTCACTCTGATGTTCAACTTTTGTAATGGAAAGTCATTTCAAAGAAAATAAAATGATAAGAAAAGTATGAATAGACTTGTTGATAAGATTGAATGTGCATTTATCAGAAACAAGTGTATGAAACGGGACTTGAGTCATTTGAATTTAAAAGTGAAGCTTTTTAAGAGGGTACTGTCATGAACCATCGGGTGCTTCTTATTTAGAGTATTTCCTTGTGTTACAGCTCATATCTTCTGTTGCTCACTGTGAAATCAGTTGGTGAGTTTTGTGCTCTTGGATGTTTGTGTCTGGCTGACTTTGTTTTTGTATTTTCTCTTGTGTATTTGTTGTTGGGTGATGTATTTTAAAGCCAAGATATATGCAGGCATCGCAAACAAACTTGGGCTCTCAACGCTGTGACGTGCAGCACAAACATACACTAATTTATTTACTGGATTGAACGGTTAGAACGGTCTCAATATTGTGTTTTTATTCTGAGAATAATACAGCCTTTTTTCTCAATAATCTGTGTTTTTTTTATTTTTATTTAAGAGCGGCTCTAGTACTCTGCTCTAAATCCATCACTTCTGAATGATGCTGCAAATGAAGCTGAACGGTCAGGAAGAATCATCAATACTAAGTTTGTGCAAAAACAACTCAGCTGTCTCAGTAGCAGGCTTTTTTTTCCTGCATATTGAAGTGAAATACAAGCTTCTTGAATCCGTCTTTAAAAGTAGACCATGAGGGGGAAAAGTTCTCAAAGTTTTATGAAAATGGCTGAAGAAAATCCACCATCAACACCTTCAGAGGACCAAACCAGCCCCAGTCTCCTGCTTCCCATTAATAATCTTTAAGGTAGATCGATGAGAGCCTCATTAATGCTGAGGCCTCCACTTTGTTTTCTTTGCGGGTGCGATGCCAGTGGATGCTGACTCATCCTCAGACCGGGGACTGTGCTGTGTGCAGCCTCTCAGGCCTATTAGCCGGGTGAATTGTTAGTGTCTCTGCGAGGCCGTTTCTCCTCGCGTAGCGGTCAACAGGGCAGCACTCAGATTAAAAACGCTGAGTTCATGCACCCGCAGCAGCCGAGAGGAGCAATGAGAGTCTGCTGGGACTGACAGCCTCTTTGTGTTCGTGGAAACTTCACCCTCGACCTTCAGCACTCCTCGCATTGTCAATTTAAATGTTATAAATTGGCATGTTAGCGGGATGCAGCCTGAATGCACAACAGCTACACAATTTACACTTGATCCTGCAATTATTACATAGACGTACAGGGTTCGGGAAGAACTGTTTGCAGTAAACAAGTACATTAGAGGACAGAAACGAAGCATGGAGATGTATTAAATGAGGCAACAACTAATGATGCTGTCATTTAGACCCGGGAGCATAAACTTTTTATGAGTAACAGTCATGTCAGAGATTCATTTATAGTGAAAGTTTGGCACCGAAACAAAGTTCAACTGAAATATATTCTTTAGTTTGATGGTAAAACTGCAGTGAGGGCTCTGTTGGTTCCTCTATAAGGTTTCTTAAGGATTACTGACATTTCACCAAAGTCGACATAATTCACATTGTCGTGTGACACAGTTAAACATTGCTGACCTGTTTACATCTGCAGGCTTGAGACAGAGTGAATAAAGAATGATAATAAATTTGACCTTATCAAAGGAGACCAGGAAGTTACACTGAAATTTCTGCACGTTCACGTCTGGACAACCCGCTAAGAAATTTAAATATAAAATGTATTTATGCTGTTTCGAGCATTATCACAAACAGAGCAGAGGGGCTTAATCAGTGCGGCTCATTTCTGTGGTTGGTGATCAGCTGTGATGCTGAGCCGACCCGGCTGGCGTCACCATCCAGAATCTGAAATCGGGATTCAGAAACAACCCTGCAGCTTTGTTCTGCAAAGGCACATGCATTACTATGTTTTAATTTTATGACCAACTAATGGACTTCCACAGGTTTAGTTACAGCTGAGAGCGGCAGCACACACTCTGTCATCTTTAAAGCTCACATAAGAGGTACTAATGTTACAGGGATGTCCGGACTGGTGTCGAATAAGGATACGTTATTGATTAAGAGGTTGCTGTAGGGCTTAGATCTTACACAAATGCTTGTGTGTTCCTTTCTGTTTCATAAGAGGTCAGCTTGAGTTTCATGTAAGACCAATGATGAGCACAGGTTCTGACATAACGAGTTAAACACAGAGGAACTGTTGGGAGGAAGCGAGGAGACCTGCAGGAAGCGGCGCCGGTCTAACCACCTGAAGGTTTTGAGGTGTTTATTCCTCAGAGCAGCGTGACGAATATGTAATCTGTGACTGAATGAACATAACAAAGAGAAATGAGTATTTATGCGAAAATAAGCTTGCAAAAGACATAACAACATAATCCTCCTTCAAGTGTTTATCTGTGTCCTGGGGGGGAAATGAAGAGAGGAGAGAGGAAGCTGCCAGTAGTAAGCATAAAGTGAATGTGTAAAAACGGAATAAATTGATCTCCACTCTTTTCTTTTAAAAATCCTTTTACCGTTACATTTTTAAGCTTTGAGGTTTCAGGGCAGGAAAAATAAAAGCATCATGTTTCACCGTTTGATTGTGAGAGTTTTTTTTTTTTTTTGGCAACCTTTTACTCAAAATTATTTGTTTTTATAAAATCTGCGTAAATGTATGAATAAACTTTGTCTGAAATGGTTAAAAATAAACTGGAGGAGAGGCTTGTGGTGGATGCATAAAACAAATGTTGGAAACGTGTCTCAGTTTCTATAACTCAGAGTTTCATCTTCCTCTAGCATCATCATATAGTGTTACTCTAAACACTCGCATACACTCGCACAACACACACACGCGCGCACATACGCACTGAAACTAGGTCTGTGCATAATTACAAACACTAGCTCAAGGAAATAAAACCGGAGAGAAGAGCTACAGTCGATGTTGCAGAAGAGATAAAACCTGCAACAGAGCACACGAGAGAAACGTTTAGTGTTGAGCTGCAGCTGAATAAACTCGTCTTTCAGTTTATGAGCCCCATCCAAAACCGGGACGCACACACACGCACGCACAGACACACAAAGTGAGCACCACCTCACATTTATTCCTCCTCTCTCTTCTCAAATAAGAATATATTCAACTTTCAGGTATCATCTCTGTTGTCGACCATACACCGGTGTGTCACTTTTTCTAGTTGTGCTTGGCACGAATCCCTTTTAAGTAGTTTTTCCAGCGCTTAACCACATCCTTAAAGATGGGAGAGTTGTCTATAGATGCAATGAGCTGCAGCTGGTTAATGTGCGTGGTGTGATAGTCCCAGCGTGCCAGGTTGGGCGCAGTTCCCAACATGAAGTGACGCAGGTCGTAGATGCTCCCCGACCCTGTGTCAAACAGTGGCAGCATGGCCTTCAGAGACTCCATGCCGTGACTGAACAGCTGCCCCGCCTCCCTGCCCAGCTTCTCTCCTGCCGTCTCACTCAAATCAAAGAGTCCCAGCAGGGAGTAGATGAAGCCGTTGAGGACAAAGGAGCTGGGCGTGGTGGGATATTCTTCATACCAGTCATACTTGTTCATGAACACAGCTTTGACCCCGTGCTGCGCCGAAGGCACCTTGTAGGGTCCCACTGCCTTGAGGGCAGCGTTGAGGTACGCCTGATCCTTGGTGAGGAGGTACGCTCTCACCAGAGTGGACATGGCCTGGCCCTGAGCCATGGCTGAGTACCAGCCGGGCTCCAGCGGCCTGAAGCCTTCACCCAGTTTACGGGTGACCATGATGGGCCAGCCGCCTCGCTCGTCCTGGTTTCGCAGAAGCCAGTCGCTGGCAGCAAAGAAGGCGGCCATGTGTGACGTGGTGGAGATAGTGACGTTGTCAACAAAGCCACGCCCGTGTAGGACTAAACGCACAACCCGTCTGGGCATGATCTGACGAAGGAAGACAAGAGAATCGACGGCAAGAATAAACCTTTAAGATACTTTCCAGAGATCAAATACATACTGAGTTCAATTTCTCATTAGCTTTTATCTATAATAAATAAATGATATATTTACACATTTTGAAAAAAAAAAAAAAAAAGCTGACATCGTCACGTTTTTATAACTGATTTTAAACACTGACTGACGTACAGCTGTCTGATGTGGAATCAATCAAGATGAATGATTTACGGCCAAGCTTGAGGCTCCAACTAATGATTACTTTCCTAAAAGATCAGGTGGATATTTTTATTTTTTGACAATAAATGATTTAGTTTTTAAAATGTTAAAAATATCCATTTTGATCTTTCTTAGTCTGAAGTTTATATATTCAACTTTTTTTTTTTTTTTCCGAATCCAAATTTTTTTTAACACAAGATGCAAAAAAGCTGAAAACTTTGCAGTTTGTCAGCTGAAACATGAAAACATTTATATATCAGTTAACAAAATTGCTGTATTTTCACTCATCAAAAATCTGTTTATTGATCACTGAATTAATCGTTTCAGCTCCAGGTCATTTACATGATTTTAGCTTCTCGAAAGATGATTTTAGCAACAAACGTCTTAAACTCACCTTGGTGGCCTTCACAGCCTTAGTGTTGGACAGCCCCACGCCCTTCCTGAGGTCGGTGAGCAGGTCCCGGGTCAGAGTGCTCCAGGCAGTCCGGGGCCCGATCCCGTAGGTGATGTCACGGTCTTTGAAGGCGATGAGCTGCGTGTTGGTGACGTAGTGGATGGTGAAGGGAGGCCCCTTCTCTGTGGTCTCCAGGATCACAGACACGCTGCCGTTCGAGATGAACTTGATGTCCAAGCTGAGGATGAAGTCTTTGGAGTTGCCCAGCTGGAGGGACACGCCTTCTGACGACTCTGTGGAGGTGGTGGGATGAGGATGAGGAGGGTGGGTGCAGCAGATGAAAGTATGAACAGAAGAATTCAAATTGCTGGGGGATGTTTTTTTTAGAGCATTTCATGGAGCAAAGTCAGCAAGAAAAAATAAGTACGGTCTTCTGACTGTCTGACTGATTTAAAACTCTTCTGACAATTACTGGACAACGATGGACTATTTTAAGCAAAGTGACTGAAGCTTTTTACAGTGTGTCTGTCTCCTTTAACACTCTCTCTGTGATGGTGTGCTTCCTTTAAAGCTCGTCCTTTTGTTCCTACGATTCCCTCTGTAGTTACATCCTCTAATGATCAATAAGAGTCAAATAAATTCAGGGGAAAAAAAATCTGCAGTCAAGTCTTATTCTTCTCTTTAGCAATGTTATAGTCTGTGTGGAAAGAAAGCCTGGCTTTGTGTGTGTGTGAGTCTGAAACACACTCAGGGACACACTTCTCATGGGACTTTCAGAACAGATGTGTCACTGCACACTGGGCTTAATTAGGAGGAGAGCCGGACAGACGGGAGAAAAAGAACAAAGCAGAGAAAGTTGGAACAAGAGAGCCAGAGAGGAAGTTGATGCACTGCAGCAACTTTTCCATTTGCATCTCCACATCGCCTTCCCCCTCGAAAACTCAAAGATATGAACTCAAGATGATTTTCAGTTCCCGCACTGACACCACTCCTCTCCCATTTTATCAACTTTTTGCCAGTCAGCCACTTTACTCGCTCTTCTGAATTCATTTCATCCCCCTACAGAACCAACAGCTTCTGGAGTGATCTCTCTCATTTGGCCTTGTTACTGTGTCTGCACAGCTCACACAAAAGAAAAAAAATAACCCACACGAAAACCCCCTTTTCTCATCAGGGTGCCTCAAAGGAAGAAGACAGGAGAGAGTAGGAGTCAACAAAACAAAGGGTAATGGAATAATGGGTCACACAAGTGCCCTTAAAGCTGGCCCGAGACTGGAGAGGGTGAAAATGAGCCAATAGTGAGAAGACAATCGAGAATCGGAGAGAGAGAGAGAGAGAGAGAGGGAGGGAGATCTCGCATGACATGAGCTGAGAAAGCAGAAGCGGATGAGACACAAAGACAGTCGATCAGCAGGAGGACGAGGGAGAGAGAGCCAGTCTGGCAGGGGCCTCTGGATGACTACGGCTCTTTAATGCACTCATAAATCCATTACTTAAGGCAATGCAGAGAGTAAGTGGATTTGTACTCTGGCCCCGTGATTACTCTGGCATCAATAAAGGATGGGAAGGGAATATAGACGAGAATCCACCTCCTCCGCTCCACTCTCAGGCTGTTTAGCAATACGGCAGGAGTCAGAGATGACATGCAGCTGGGAGGCTGATGGCGTGAGAGCATGCTCGTATATATGACTGAGAGCGTTGAAGGAACACTTAGAAACACATGTACAGAACGTGTCTTGCATACGATCGAAGCAACATAACAACTGTCAGCGCTTGAATAATTATTCCTATAGATCTTCCTGTGGCTACAACAGTGTGTTCACACAGGACATGCAGCGCATCCAACAAGTATCAAACACCCTGGGGAGCTTTGATGTATTCAGGGCTGGAGAAAAAGATTTTTTTCTTGATTTACTGACCAATTATTTTCCAAAATAACATGTTGGAAAACTGGTTAATATATAGTTTTGATTTCCCAAGGTTGAGTATGTCTAAACTAAACCTGCTTGTTTCATGCAACTAACACACCAGACCTACAATGATGAGTTTCACTACCTCAGAGGGCGAGGAATAACATTAAAACATTAAATTCAGATGAATGACTGATTTCTTTGCATTTTTGATTAAATGATGCAAAAATAGTTCAGGGTTATCAAAAGAGTCCCTGATTAGCAGTCTTCTGATTGAACAATCAGTCTAGAGCTGAATATGTTTCCCCTTTAAACCCCTAAGAATGTTGGATTAGGTTGAACTCTGACCAGAGTCTTTTATTAGGGACCGGAGATCTCCAGCTTCAGTTTCCTGCTGTCTGTGTCGCATTACTGTCCATCCTGTTAGAAACTTTTGCTTATCACTGTCTGTCAAGGGCAGCGATTTGACTGCAGGAACTTTCCCCAGGAACTAGGAACCTTTTCAGGAACTCTGTATGTTTTGACCCCAGGAACTAGGGTACAAATTTAGTTATGGGGTAAAAGATCTATTGTACTTTCCAATGACCCATGGATTTCATTTACATTAAAATAACGGTATTGTTATTTTCTTTCTCACTTTATTCTCCTTTCAGAGGATCTGGGAACATGGGGTGGTGAGAGAGGGTCTGGGGAGATTTATTCTGTACATTTATTCAACATGTGATTTGTTTATGTTCAAACTGAAAAATGCCAATAAACAGATAATTAAAAAAAATAAATAACAGTATTGTAATTCACATAAAAAATACTGGTATCTATGTGCCCTGAAGAGAGATACTGGATTATATCCGCATAACCTCATATTATCTGATCAGTAAAACTATGATTTTTGCATGAATTCTGACTGTTTATGTACTTTTTTCCATCTCAGAGAATGCTTTTGGGTGTTATGGGTGCGAGTTTCAAAGGTCAGTCTAATCAGGAAACAATCCTCTTTAAAATAAAGGCTGGTACCCTTGCAATTTACACACTGATAGTTAAACAGGTATGGGTACCACAAGGGCAAATTTTTCCAGTAAACTGATATTATTTAATAATCAATGAAGCTTGCCTGCAGCTAACGTGACTTAAAACAGCAGAGACTCCAGTTAGGAGCTGTGCAAGTAGCTTGATTTCCCCCTACCATCCCTGGATGTCATTGGCCTGATTTGCATTATTTTACCCAGGGCTTCAGACCCCTGGTAGAAACACAGACGACAATAGGCCAAAGGAACCATGAAGTTCCCTGGAACGTAGAGTTGTGACTCTAGAAACAGTCGCCAACTTATCTGTTATTCTAGTGAAGACAATATTCAATGACTCCAAGCAAAGACCTCCTTTTAAATAGGGTGTTAACATCCACAAACTAACTCCCTTCATTTCTGACCCAATTACATCCCTTGAGTAGTGCCTGTTTATCTGTTTTGAGGCGTTCTCAGTAGCCAGCATGTTCCACTGATGCCTCACTGACTTATTTCAGCTGTTTGAGCCCAGAAAAGAAACATTTCCTCAACACTAGAATTTACAGGTCGAATGCAGAAATTTTAAAAATGCAAACTCTGTCAGTAAGAGAGAAGAAAAGACTTTCAAAGAGGTTATTAGTTAAATGGAGGTCTGATCAATCATTTCTGATTCATAACAGGGAGTTGGGAAATGTAACTGCTTATTAGCTTTTACATCACAGCATCTGGCAGGTCTGTCAGTCAAGTTTGAATTTTTGATTAAATTTTCTGAGCGTGGATTGTTAGCCGCCTTTGCCTGTCGGTGTGTGTTAATGGAGATAAAGAAATCATCAGATTATCACAGATAGGAGCCAAGATGTCGACATGGTGGATTGTGAACTGCCTTCACAGACGGTTTTCCTGCACACACCAAAGTCTGGTCAATGCTACACAGACAGATTCTACATTTTTTTTAAATGTGCATAAAACCTTTTTATTAACGATACTGCAAATATAACACACTCTTCAGCTGTGTTACTTTAAAGGCAGATGGGGAGGCTTTTATTGTGAAGGAATCTCTGGAAATATGTTTTTGTCTCAGTGGTGAACAGCAACGTGAGAATGACAAAAATGCATCTGCAGAAAGAACTTTGGATCATTTTGACAGCAAGTTTGCAAAGAGATTAGAAACAGAAGCCAAAATAATCTGTTTGAATGAGGCTGTAGGGAGCCCACCTCCACTATCTCAGAAGGTTAAAGAACCTCAACGTCCTTGGCTGAAATTGAATCACGTTTTCAATTAAAACTGACGGACATCTTTATTAAAATAAAGTATGTTTGTTTGGTCAGGATGTAAAAAAGATACACAAGCTGCTGTTCCTCTGATCCTAAAAGGAGTTGGTGGTTTAACATATTGAATATGGACTAATTATACCTGTCTTGGACTTGAGTACTTATTTTTACTCATTGTTTTTACCTCCATGTCTTATTGTCATATGACTGTATCTAGATTTTGCCTTTTCTATTTTTTTAGTTTTTTTTTTTTTAGCTTGGTCTTTCATAAAAAAAATTAAAAAAAACTCAGTAAAAGTTAAATCATAAAAAAATAAATAAATAAAAGGAGTAGGTGTAAAAGTGGTGAAATATTAAACCACAGTTGATGCAATCTCAGGTGTCACTGAAGCTAGAAGAACTGAATTCTTAAAATTTATGACCTGAAAGTGTTTTTTTTTTCTGTTCTCAGATGTCAAAAAAAAGACCACTTTCACACCACTTTTGAGTCAGCACTCAGAGAATAAAACACAAAATTTCCCCAAGTTTTAAAACACTTTTTCAAAGAGCAGAAGTTGCTGACAGCTGTAACTCTGTACTCAGATCACTTCTCAGTTTCTGGCAGGGTTTGGTTTGAGCAAACGGCATTTCTGAGCTATCAAGGAACACAGAGAAATTCAGACAATAAAGGCACTCAGTGGTGGACAGTTTCCGTGCAGGATTGTGCAGATGGTAGATGGTAGGTTATTATCACGGGACAGACGATTGATCCACTTGTCAGAGGATTTGAGAGGCTGTTCAACACCGCTGCCCTAGATACAGTAAGGAGGAAAAAAAAGACCCAAACAGAGCGAGGGGAGGAAGAGTAGGGAGGCAAAGACAAAAAGAGAAGCTGACAGCAGAGACAAGAAAGTTTGGATGAACGAGCAGCAACCGCGGTAAAACGGATAGAGGGAATATGATTGCAACATTTAGGAAGCACAAAAAGGCTGAGGGGTGATACAAAGGTGGAAATGAGTAAATAGAGGTGGAAACTGACTGGAACTGGGGATAGAAAGAGGAAGATTAATGGAGGGAGAGAAGTGCTGAGGGAGGGCTGAGGACTGATGATGAAAACATGATGATGTGGAGGAAAGAGAGAGCTATGATGGTGAGCTGAAGCTGTAAGCTGAGGTGTGCGGGGAGTAGAGCGAGAGAGGGAGAGGGAGAGGGAGAGGGGGGAAAAGTGGAGGGTGGTGGAATGAAAAGAAATTGTTGATGATGAGAGGTTGAAAGTGGAGGAATTAGAAGGAGGTGAAAATTACAGTCGAGGCAGCAGCTCACAGAGGACACACAGACACTCAGAGGGAGAGTGTCCTGGAAATATCAGCAGGAGATCAAAAGAGAAGAAAAGACAGCTCGCAGTCAGCACCGGGTAAAAGATTTTGACTTCTCCTGGTCCAAAAATAACTCAAGCACCAAGCAGCTCTCAGCCTTGGTCATTTTACAGCTGCAAAAACTAGGCCAGAATTCAGATTTCTATTCTAATGAGGAGAGATTTTATTTATACTTTACATACGTCCTCTATTCACCGCTGAGCACAACGGCTGCTGTTCTTGTGTTTCACTATCTAACAACACTACAGAACACAATCTGCTCATCACCCTGAGGTGGTACAAGATAAGGAAAGTATCTAATTACACTTTTCCTGACCAACATTATTTATATAGTTGGAGCAGCTTTAGCCATGGGCTGGTGTTTCTGCTCTACACGGTTATTAAGACAATATCACACGCATTATCACCAACTTTGGTTCTACACCAAATGATTAATAACATGCTGGTTTCTTTTTTTAGTTGCGGTCTGCAGATATGTAAATAATGTAAAGGAAAATTTATCTTCATGGGAAAACGTTGGATGCAACATGCAAAGAAAGTTCTCTTTATGCAGATGATGAGCTTGAATCTGGTGTTGCCCGTGCAGATGAACATCCTGAGGGAGGTAGGGGAGATACTCTGGTAGCACAGGTTGATCCTTTATAACAACTAATGAACCAGCAATAACTCATTAAATTAAGTCACATCAGAGTATCTTAAGTAAAAGGGACAACTACATTTTGAATCTTGTCATGGATGCAAGTAAAAAAAAGCAGTTATAAGATGCTGGCATCAGAAGAAACTTCCCTCACTCAGCCCCTTGTGGTCATAATTAACTTAAGTAATGAAATGGAGAAAATGATATTTGCTCTTCAACCCAAAAGGAGGCAGATCAATACTAGAATTACTGCAAACATATAGAGTCTGAGATACTTAATTCTCCACATCTATATGACTTTGTTTACCTTGTGTACAGTCTCCATTAAATTGTCAGTGTCCTCACTCGGCCCACCTTCATGTAAAACCAATATTAAAAAACAAAAGTTGGAAATAAAGTAACATAAAAGGATTTGTTAGGATTATTTTTTCATGTCTCTATCGAAGGGACAGGACAGTGGATCAAGTGAGAAAGTAGGTGATGGAAAATGACATTAAATTTGAGGTCTACAGCCTCCCCAGGTGTTTTATTAGTAACACACAAGGATTACTAATACAGCTGAAGGTTGTGCAGCAGTCTATAGCTTGGTCCTGAGGAGTCCAGTTCGGAAAGATAGCAATGAGGATGGACAGATTTAATGGAGAAATCGGCAGAAATTGGAATTAAAAAACTAAGATTAAATCAATTGTTTTATTGCTGTAAAAACTGGTCTACTTATTACCATATTCTGAAAAAATTGGAAAGTAATTTAGTTGTTTTTGAGACATGAGGCTATGAATGATAATTACATGAAATGCTAGACGAAGGTGTGAAAAGTTTTTTGTAAGATCTTTGGAGGACCGTGTTAGTCTGAAGTCAAACTGGGATTTATAAAACCCAAGCTCTCTTTTAAGCTTCAACTGATGAGCTTCATTCTAAGATCACCAAAATCACAAATAAAATACCTGCCATTCTGTTTTTCTTTTACGATCAGCAATATTACAGACTTGTTTCTTTGACTTTTGAAACCGTGGTGTTTTCTCTTCAACAACATGCTCTCTGGCTCGGTGTAAATCCATAAACACCAGCATACAGAGAGTGAGCATATTAACCATGCAGCAGCTGTTATTTCATCTTCCTTGTTTTGCCATCTCCCAGAATGAACATTAATGGACAAAAGCTGAGTACATTTGCAAAAGACAGTCGTCATTAGAGCGAGCGAAACCAGCGATCACCACATGAAATTTTAATTGCATTCTTTCAAATTGTATCACTCCAAACCAAACACTGCGGCTCTGAAAACAGTTCAGTTTGCTGCATAATGAAAAGGATGATAGGTGTGAAGAGGGAGATGGTTTTTTCTTTTTCAAAATTCCACTCTTTATAGATCAATTTTTAGATGCATGAATAAGAGCTGTACACAATGAACTGAGAATGCAGAGTCTGAGGGAGGCTGGAGTAGATTTCCCCAAGAATCCTACCAGCCATGAATACAAAGACAGACGAATCCTTGAAGTTTGAAACGCTTCAGTCTATCCATAAAAAAAAAGCAAAAATGTTGATTTTCTGAAGGCGTTCTACGCTCTGATGGAGGATTAAACATTTAGCATGGCAAAGGTTGATGTATTTCGACAAGTTTACAAAAGTTCTTACTAAAAAGTTTAAGTATCTTTAAATCTCTGAAGGAAGAGCAACAACACAAGAATGTAGTGACATTTCTGGGATGCAAACTTTCTGTGTGACTCATCAGAGAGTTTAATGTCAGTTAACAAACTCTGCCATAACACTGCTTAGATTTTCCCTTTCAACTGAAAATGGGAAGATTAACAGAGTTAGAAGGTTCATTTAATGCAAAACATCTGGTAGAAGAGATAAAATCACAGACACATCACTTCTGATGACGCCAAAGCTTAAGATATCTGACTGAAGACGACAACACAGCACAATTGTTTTTCAACAATCACAAACACATGAGGGGAGGGTGGCGGATATCTGTACCAGGCAGCACTCATCAGGAAGCTCAGTATCATGCAGATGTTTTCTTTCAGCCAGTCAGGCAGTTAAAGGTGTTTAAAAAGTAATCATAACACAAGATGTGTATCCTTCAGCAGGTGAAAACAGTTTTTAAAAAAGTCCTAAATAATTGTTTCATGCACTTAAGTGATCTAAAATGATGTAAAATCGTGATTTCACACTGCACTCTACATCCACTTATCTATGATCCACGCTGCTTGTCCTCTTCAGGGTCACAGGCAGGACTGTCATTGGTTGAGAGGTGAGGTACACCCTGGACATGCTGCCAGTTAATTACTGAGCTTACGAACATAACCAATATTCATGCACGCGCACACCTCCAGTAAGCCAAAGAAGCACGGTTTTGCACTGTGGGAGGAAGCCGGAGTACACTGGGAGCACCTACGCATGCACTGGGAGAACATGGGAATGCAACACGGAAAAGCTTCTGAGAGGCTGGGGATCAAACCAGGAAGCCCTTTGTCGTGAGAACAATCGTGCTAACCACTTCACCACCTTTGAGTTTAATTGTCTGCAGTTACGCTCTTTTGTTTGAGTTGTTTCGTACAGTTTATGCTCACGGCTGAATGCACTCTGGATGACCCAGCAGCAAGGTGAACAAAAGTGAAACGAAACTGCAGCTGTTTTATCTAACTTCAGTTGTACGTGTCCCTGTTTTTTGGGTTTTTTTTTTTTTACTTGAGTCATAAACTTGTTTCTATGCTTGAAAAAGTTTTCACAAAGACCCTGGACTCACTTTAAACCTCTGAACAATTTAAATGCAGTAGTTAGGAGCCTTTAATTAAAGCCCAAATGGTGTGTGGAGTAATTTTTAAAGAGTAACCTAATCAGACAACAGCCCAAAGCATCATTTTGTCCTTCGCCAGACAAACAATATGGAGGTCAATAGTCTACGGCTAATCAAATTTGGAGATGAACATTATCATTTTAACCACTGATATTCATGCTCTGGATAAACAGAAGCGGTCCGCAGAGAAAATGTAGTGTTCAAGTACTCCTGTTTGCAGCTTTTTCACACAATGCAGCATGTATGTGACAGAGTCTGACTCAGTGAAGAGGATGAAATGTGTGATATTGTGTCTGCTGCTTTTTAAATCATCATAATTTTAAGGAATCTGTTATTATGTTTTTGGGTTCACTGCCAACCGGCTCACTCTGCCAGTTGTCTCTCTCCCTCTCTCTCTCTCTCTCTGGCTGTGACTCACCGCAGACTATCATCCTGTCCTGAGGGCGAAGTTGCATATCGAGCCTCCTACAGCCAGAGTTAACAGGAGATAAGCTCCTTGCCCTGAGGCTGTCTGCGCTCATGGAGGGCTAACATACCTGGGGCACTGAACTGACGCACAGAGGTAGCCCGGCTCTTGTCATGGAGGCGGCTCAGACCGCAGCCTTTCGGCACACTCCAGGGCGCCGAGCTGGCCCGGCTGTCTCTCTCCTCTGCGGTGTCGTAGACCTCCACGTGGGGAGGGCGCTCGGTCAAGTTCTTGCTGTAGTGGCTCAAGCCGTACTGAGCGATCTGGATGGCGTAGAAGTAGCCTTGAGGGCCCCACTGAGTGGACAGAGGTACGCCTGAGTGGGGGAAAAAGGAGGAGGGAGAAAAGAGAGACAAGGACAATGATGTTAAATGAAAATAGAAGATGATTTACTTATGTGCAAGACACAGGAGACAGTGCATTGTTATGCCTTTGTTTGAGGTTGTTACTTTTAGGATGTTTTGAAGTGCTAATAAATCTGGAACTTGGATCTTCTTCTTGTTTATCTGGAGTTTGTTTTTTTTCCCTCTCGGCAAATCTTCACTTTCTGACACTTTTCACATTTGTTTTTTTACTCCAGCAGTGTCACTCAAAGTTCATAACCCCAGCCTTATAAATAAAACTAGTACAAAATTAATTATTGATATTAAACATTCAAGTATTAAAGCCTTCCAGTGACTAAACAAGGCCGACTTTGACAGTAAAGAAGCTTTGAACTCGAAAATTTATGAAAACACACATCCATAAGAAAGCAGTCGCCACAGAAAATAGTTCGAAAATAAACTCTACCACTAGTAGCTTCGGCAAATGATTGGTCGGTGCGGCGAAATTCAACCTGAGATACTGAATTTCACCAGAGGCGAGCTTCTCTGCCCGGGCAGCCAGAAATAGCTCAGGCAGAAAAATCACTCTGATTAACAGATAGTTCACATAAAGACCTTGTGACAGAGAGAGCACAAATGCAACCCAAACCCCATCACTCTAAAGAGAAGAATAACACAGCATACTCGGATCCTGGCCGGGTGATAATGTTCCTCCTTCTCTAAGACTAATCACCTCTGCACGCACAGCTGATCACTCAGGCTCTACTTTCCTTATCCCCAGTTGTGCTGGAATCCTAACCAGAGGTAACCTTACACAATAGCCCCCCACTTTTTATGTCTTCTGATGTTTAACCTTGAAACGTAAACCAGAGAGCATCAAACTGTTTTTACTGTGTCAGACGTTAATGGCGGTAATTATTATCTTTAACTTTATTTACGTTGCACCTTTCATACACGTGGCTTGAGGTGAAGCTCAAAGCGCTTTACTAAAAAAAAAAAGAAAATAAGAGGCAGCATGAGCAATAATTAAAATGGTAATGTTTGATAATTAATGCCAACAAACATTTGAATACCTCTTGATTGTGAGACAAACACAAACACATACGGACTCAAAAGCTTGCAGGTTAAAAAATATGAAATGCATCTTTCAGTTCTTATATTTCCATATTATATATTCAGTGAAGGAGCCCATTAAACTTCCTACTTACTTTTCAAATTACTCCCTTACTTTTGATAGTCAGGTACAAATATGACTTGACCCCAAAATTCTAATAAAGTTCCTCAGCTGTTTTTTTATAGTATTAGTTGTCCTTAATAACATACTAAAAGTTTATAAAAGTTTGACCACTAGAAATGTGTCATTTTCAAGATGGCGTCCATGATGACTAGGAAGCCCGGGGCGACACTCCAGGTGAATGGGGTAAAATGTTGAACTAACAGAAATCACCAAGAAACTTCCCAAGTTTATAACTTAGATTAAGACAAATACTTTTTTGTATTACAAGTTTTGTCAAATGTTATGAATGTGTAAATGAGGCACTATCTAATTAAATATGCACTAATTTGAATGCATTTACTGTACCGAAAACTGAACAAGGGATAAAGCCCCTTTCAAAATTCTTGTTTTATTTTTTTTTAACAGTTGAGAAACCTTTTGTTAGAATTTTTTTAGGGTTCGGTGTTTTTTATCATATATGCACGGGCCTTTGAAGCATTTCAGGACATGAAATGATACCTTTCTCTTATACTCTTGTTTATAAAATAACTGGTTTTAACTAAACCGCCCTTTTCTTGCACAACTGTCCAGCAATAGTTGTGCTATTTTGATAGATGTAAAAGATCTGGATGCAATAATATTTCAAATAAAAGAACGAAAGTCAGAGATCTCATATGTATAACACACATATTTATGTGCTGACTGTTTTCTTTTTCAAAGTCATACTGACTGATATTCTGCGTTAAGCAGAGCTGAGGTTTAGACCAAAAATCTCAAAGTGATCCATCAGAATGTATTTTCCTCAGTTTCATCCCCTTTGCTAACAAGGTGTGCATTCATGATCCATTTTCAGGTTTATTTTTAAAGGCACCATCACAGAGATTGAATCAATGTTACTGAAAAAAGAAAAAGAAAAAAAAAAGTCCTGATTGAGAACCAATGTAGGTTTTTGATTTATGGGCTCACAAAAAAGCCCCAAAAATAGAGACATGAACACACATACACTCACATATACCCATACACTAATACACACACTCTCCAGTCCCTAGCCAGACTTTGCTTCATGCTTGTCTTGTTACTGGCATCTCCCTTGACAACTTAAGTCAAATGACTGTCAAAATCCTAACACTGTAGCGCTGTGCTCCTCGCTGAAAACACTAAGTAATCCATGTGGAATTGACTGTTAAGCCTTCTCATATTTTCGTGACTCCAGAGAGCTGACTTTTCTAGAAATCTGGAGAACCAAGTCTTCTGCCAATTATAGTCGTCTGCAAGCTTGCTGAAGTTAATGCAGCAGAACGAGACCTCCACCATCTTTATGTTTTCTAATATCACCAGCTGCGTTTTAATCCTTTGTTAGCGGGGACGTTGGGATGAATGGGAGCAAACATTTAAGCTCCTACAAGCCATGTTTGATATCAACATTGAACCAAAAGGCTGTAAAGTGTTGTGTGAAAGGGCTGACTGATCTGCCAGACCCACAGAGAATAAAGACCCAATTGAGAAGTTCTTGGCAGCGTTTAGCCTCGTTTAGAAAAGTTTTCTGCACCAACAACATCTAACAATCCAACTGTGGAGAGCCAGAGTAAACTTATGGACAAAGCTTAGCGTGCTGCAACAAACATCAAACATCATTTTAAATTTTCCCTCGGGGATCAATAAAGTTCTTATCTTATCTTTTTTTCCTCTGTAGTTTGAGAGGACCAACATATGGCAAAAAACTAATGAAGGGTAGGGGTCAGAAACTTGATTTTCATGTAATTGTCTGTTAGATGTATGAGATGGACTGAGTAAATGTTTGCAAGCATATTTAACTAAAATATCTTGAAATTTTCAAACACTATCAGCCGTTCTGCCTCTTAATGACAGTCACAGCTGAATGAGGCTTTAACAGTGGCAGCACATATGGGTGCTTTCAGGGGAAAAACACATTTGTTTAACTGGTTGTACCACATTCGCTGCAAAAGCCCAATTTAAATGGATTTGCCTGTTGTGCAGATTTGACGCCTCCACCTGTAAAACACATGGTGGTTTAATAATGGGGCAAAATCATTCCAGCACTCATCAGCCAGCACTGGAGGTGGTAACAGAGGTGTGACAGGAGGAAACAGTATCAACGTTAACAGCCTGTGTGTCTATGTGTGTGTGTGTGTGTGCGCACATGTATCTGAGTGCATATGTGGACATGAACCTCCTAATACCCTGCTAAAGCAATACCATGCTGTTGTGGGTTCAGTGGCACAGCTTCCTAACAGCACTGGAATCTCAGTGTAAAATACGCTTCGAGGTTTCACAGAGACCAATCAGTGCAGTGTAACATAGTCGTTCATGAAGAATGACCCCATTATTGGTGGGCCAATTAATTTGATAGTATAATTGTAATAATAATTGGTGTCAAATAAACTAATAAAGCACTGATGAAAATAGTAACAAAATCTTTTTTTTTTTAATGTGGTGTAGCTTACTGTAACTAAAAACAGAATGCTGCTTATTTGAACCAATTTGTGATTCAGAGTCACAGCCTTGCTCTAACCACGATGCTTTGCAACAGTGTCCTAAATTGAACTCAAAGACAATCTATTGCAGCCAAAATACACAGACTGTTCAGGTCTTCAATCATACTTAAAAACAAATACAACATAATTTCCTATATTTTAATAATCATTGTATTTCAGAATTTTGTAATTTTACCAGATCCTTTTTTATTTAACCTTCTTGGCACAAACCCTAATCTGATAAGTGTTATGTCATGCACTTATAAATTAAAGAACAAATGCTTTAGGATCGAGGGTATTTGTTAGTGGTCTTCAACAGAGGGATAGGAAGAACACAGGTGATCTGACTAAGGAGGAAAACAAGCCAGTAACAGCACATCAAAGTCCTTGTCTGATTTTGTCTTATGATAAAATATTATAAGCATAAATGTGTGGTGTATAACTGGTTGTTAATTTAAACCTTTATGATCAGAAATGCTTTTAAACGATATCACACTAATATCAGAGTATTACACTCGAGCTTCAGACACCAAGTGGGCTTGTCAGTCGACTCCAGTTATATCCCACATGAATACACAAGCAGCTCGATGATATAAAGGAACCAACCAACATTTAATGAATATAGCTGAGGGTCCTATTAAAGGGCTTTTCACCAGAACAGGGTGTATTGAGAGAGAAATGCTCCCATGACCTTGTGTAAGCCCCGTGGTTTCAAGGACTGTGACAGGCTAATTAATGAACTGCTATTTTCACCTATAAAAATATGCTAAGTTGAAGAGAGGTGTGTGCTTGTGCGTGTGGAGTGCTAAGTAGCAAGGAGCCTTGGGTTTAATTAATGGACAGTAAACTGTGTGTGCATGAGTCTGTGGGTACGGTGGTGGAGATGTGTTTCCTCCATTTTGTACTGAAGAGAAACAGTGTGTAGGAAACCAGAGAGTGAGAATAACTCGGCTCCCTGCTGCTCAGCCCAGAGGTACTAACAGACTTGGCTAGATTCCTGTCTGACCCATTTTTCCTTAAACATATTTCTTTCCACGTGTGTGGAGAAGTGGGGCAAAATTATGGTAAAGGAAGAATGCTTTATCTCTTAAAACAGGGCTGCAGAAAGTTATGAGAACCTAAAATGTGAAATGATTAAATTATAGCTGAAAATATACCAAGCTGTGGAGCTAGTCTGCTTAAAGAAATGATTTATTTTTCTGCACCGATATGTATAACAGCTTCCTTGCAGATTTAAACATAAAAAAAATGAGTGTGTGCTGCTCTGTAAGTGAGATGATCAGAAAAACACAATGGTATCAGCGCGTGGAAGAACAAATGCCTATATGTGAACCTGCACGATCTATCACAGTAAAAATACCAATTTACTGTTGGTAAATTGCTCTCTCAGACACTGGCTATCATTACTCATCAAGCTAAGCTCAGCGACTGATGCTCTGCCAGTAAATATATCATCTGTTATTACATCTCCCCACTAAAAACAAAAGCTCACTTCTCAAAGGGCAAAAGCACACAGCTATGGCAGAGATGTCTACACAAATCGCTCTTCCTCTGTTGTTTTCGTTCATGAAAAAAAAGCTATATTTGGATAAATAAGAGTAAAATTTGACCCTCGATACTTCCAGTTCTCGCTGTATTAGTGTCTCTTTTGTTTCACTGCCGGCTCTTGCATTTTGACATTACAGGAGGAGACAATAAATATCTATTTTGGAATTTGAGGCAAACGCACAAAGCCACTTCTTCAAGTGAGCAGGGTGCTGACGGTTATTGATGACAATGTGGTTTGAACTAATAGCTTTTTAAAATGAGCTATTGATCCTCCATGGTAATTACTTTAAAGGGAACCTTAAAAAGAAAACAACTTTGAAGACGGGGACAAAGTGTGAAGGAAGAAGGAGGGGGTGAAGTCACTTTACAGACATCCAGGAAGCTCTACAAAGAAACGCTGACAGTGTCTGAATGAAGAAGAGATTGAGTTTTAATTGACTCGACACAAATGAAGTTTGATAGTGTTGGTGTTTAAGAAAGACTAACAGAGTCTGGGAATGGGTGGCACAGATTGAGTAGGTGCTTTTGAAATCAGATCCTTCCTGTTAATCAAGTCCTCATTTACTTTCTCACTGATCAAACAGAGAATTTATCTCCATGGCTTAGCAGAATAACACCTCATTAAGTAAAGCACACATATCCAATGGTACGTGGTAAATGTAATAAAGGCTAATAACTGATATTAAGACTGTACACATTTGCCATTCATGGGCTGATTAAGAGCATCTATATTTGCTCTTTGCAATTCATGGAGGAACTAATCATAACTTCCCCTGCAGCGTTTTAATTTTCAAGTTCGACCCTTGTTCCATCTGTTAAGTTGTAGGAGGCGGGTCTTCAGATTTACGCTGCTGTCAATCAACTGGGGAGGGGGTGCTCTGAACGTTTTGGCAGTCATGCTGTCCATGCTCTTATACAGTCAATTGCAACAGCTTATAAGGATTTCTAGACAGAGGCTTGAGGTGTCTTACTATATTAGAGGAATATTTCGACATTTTGAGCAAAGATTCTCATTTATGGGAGAGAGTGTTTTATCACTGCCATCACTGCATGATTTTCTACGTGGTCAGCAGCTGTTTGTCTCATCTAAAAATAGAGACTGGAAACCTGGAAAAACAGTCGACAGCTATTTAACATATATTTAAATTTCTTGTTTGACCCGTGTTCCATCTGTTACGATATGATTCGATATTTAAGTGTTTATCTTTTGTATGTAGCCCAAGAGGCATCCACCTATTGCAAGGACGATCTGTAGTGAAAATCTGACCAGGAAAGTGTCACCGTTTCAACACTCTGTCAGATCTCCAAAATAAATCAAAATGATATATTTTGCATCATAACACCGTCTTTTGGCTCTGTCAGCATATTTTTCTCCTCTGGGATAAAACTGCTGATCTTGGCTCCACACAGATGAAAAAAATTGTTTAAAAGCCAACAGTCAAAACCACTTACCTCTCACACAATAGTCTCCAGGGAACCAACAGAGGAAGTAGAATACTCTTAAAAATTCTGATAATCATATGTTTACTTTGAATTTGTGTTCCTCGAGCTGCACGTGAACTTTAATTGAAAAGTCTTACCTTCTACTCCACTTATACACTTGACACGATCCCGGACCTCCACGTTGTAACCTTCGAATGACATGAAGACTCCGTCAGGGTGGTAGGGCTCTCGCTGGGTGTAAACCTTCGAGTAGCTGTGCTGGAACTCAAACCGATCGTAGCCGTCATACTGCACCACTTTGCCATAAACCTCGAAGTATTTCTCCACCCAGCTGAAGGGCAGGTAGACGTCTCCCCCCTCTCTCCGGCCTTTGATAGTAGATTCATCATTAATCAAGCAGTCGATTTCTTCGTACTTGATCCCGCCAACACCCCCGACAACAGGCGGGGGCTCAGGAGGTTGTGGGGGGTGCTGCTGGCTGCTGATGCTGGCATCACCAACCTTGGGACTCGGGGCCACCAAGGCAGCTCGGGGCAGGAAGCGCAAGGTGGTGTTGCTGGAGCAGCGGTTCCATAGCAGAACAGTGATGAGTGTGAAGAGGGCGCAGATGACAATGAGGGTCTTGTAGTTCACCCGAGCAGCCAGGCAGCGCATGGTCACAACTTGCCTGCATGACACAAACACGAGATACAATTGGAGCTTCACTAATTAACAGTTATTGGAGAGACTTTCAGACTAAGAGGCTGAATTAAACAGAAAGGCGAGTGAAGACATTTACACAATATAACTCCAAGTGATGTTGACTAATGGCTCACTATTAAATATGATATGACAGACTTTAAAGTATTGACTCAACATTTGCTAATACATCAAAGGGGGGTGAGGAATCAGGTTATGATGGTTTTAGTCATTATGTTTTTATTTCTGAGCATTTAAACTGACAGTGCACCAAGAAAAACACAGTGTGAGCATTCTATTCAACAAGAGCATGCAGATTTTACAAATGTTTGGAGGTGAAAACTGAGTTTTCTAGGCTTGAGAGGCTATTTAGTGTCAGCTCGACTTTGAGAAAGTTATTGGGATTGACAGAAAAAAGATATTTGCTTTCATTCTGCTTCAACCCTTCTTTGTCACACACACACACACACAATCAAAATCAGAAATACTAAATAAGACCAAATATCAGCTTTGGCGAGACTCCATAGTTTACATGGCGTCTGAAAAGATTGCTAGTAAAAGACGTGTGGGAACAAAAGAGTTAAAAACAATGCAAAATAGCTACATGCCAACTTGCAATGTGTAGCTCCACTGGAGTCCATAGTACAAGAGTTATCCCGTGTTTTCTCATTCATTCATGAGACACTCCGTAAACTCAAGAGAATTCAGTTCAGAACATCTTTCCCTAAATAGATGACAAGTTGTAATTTGTGTCAAACCCACTTTTCTGCCATCAAGGAGATCAGTCGGATGCTCGTGAGGACAGAGAAGGTAGAAAACAGTCTGTTGGAGATCAAACTTCTCACAAATCAGACTTGTCTGTGGTCACACACATGAGCCAGTTAGGACTAATAAGAGGCTCTGGATTGTGCTTTGAGTTTATTTGTTTGATTTTTAAACCTTTTATAGTTTGCAATTCAGCATTAGATCCATGGTGAATTTATGTTTTTTTCCACTACGCTTGTGTGCCCATATGCTGAACTCCACAAGTGATGTTTGACAGTGTTGGTGTAGAATTGGTCCTCCAGAGTATAAATACATGTTGCAATTCTATGTTGCAGAAGCACAAGAGGTACGCCATGCAGACGCACAGTGGGAGCTCCGTAAGCACGCATACTCAAAGGTATGCAAAAACAAGCTGCGCTGTTCTGCCTTGCTGGCCCCAATGCTACACATCAACTCCGCTTCCCCCTCCCATTACTTCCCTCTGTTACTGCCGCTGAGGGAGGATCAGAGGTGGAAAATCTTTATGCATTCCCACTTCATCTCTGTGCATTATAGATTGCATACAAGGAGTAACAGTTGCATCATTATCCCAACATGCAATATCAGCATGCAAGAGTCATCATTTACAACCTACTCCAGCCATCCAATACATGCAATATTTTGATGTCCATCTGATTCCTAAAACTTCCCAAAATTTCTTGGGAAGTCTGCATGTGTGAGTAAAAAAAGTTGACTCTTGATTTACATGGAATTTTTACAGCCAAAATCTCTGATAAAATTCCTGTAAGAAGTCAGGAAGAGCTGATGAGAGTGTGCAGCTAGAAATATTGGAGGAAATTCACCATGTACAAGTAGACAGGCGTATTGTTTTTATTATGCAACTGCTGTAAACCAGGAAGCGGGATGCATAACAGGCTGTGAAGAAGTAGTAGGTTCCTTTTCAAGACCAGACAAGCAAAAGTGTTTGCACATCTTTCCACTTAATATAGAATTCATGTAAACAGTAAAATGGCACCATCCTGCAAACCGTACAATAGGGGTGGGAGAAAAAAAAAATCGATTTCGCATAGTATCACGATATTTTGTCTGGTGATATTACATATCGTCTCGTTTACCAAGTCTTGATTTTTCAAATTAATTGCTAATATGAAGTCAAATCTATGATAATGGAAAAATAAAATCAACTGTTTGTCCAGAGAAGTTGGCAGAGGTGACAACACAGAGCAGGAGAAAGTTAGTTCAACAAATATAGCACCACCTGGGGACAGACATTAGGAATGCAAGCAGGGCAAAAATGAGATGGACCTGACACATAAGGTTAACATACATACAAACATAAAGGAAAGACATGTGCTAAATTACCTAAACAGATGAAAAAATGTTTAAAATCACAATAATATTGTATCATTGCCCAAGTAGCGTGATAATATCGTATCGTGGGGCCACTAGTGATTCCCACCCCTACCGTACACTTCTCCTTCCACAGCTTCTGTATAGCTGTGGCCTTTGATGTAATATCCTGCTCCCCTTGATTCACCTCCCATCCATCCCCCACCCACAATTTACTTATTTGAAGCAATGAATTCAAATGTAGTAATCAAAAAGTCAATTTTTCATATGTTGCCTTTGGCTAACTCCAGTGAATACCCCTACCACCATGAATATCCTTCCAACAATGCAGCACTCAAATCAGACACGTTACAGGATCAGTCAGTCTTGATCCATGTTTTCATGTCCTCAGTGTTCCTCTGGCATTTTCACCAAGCCAGCAAGAAATCAATACGCATACCGAGGCCTCCTCCTCCACACTAATTGCAGCTTACTGCTCAAAGAATTTACAATTACAGTGACGACAGAGTTCGGTCCCCTGATGACTGAGGAGGGGGAGGAGGAGAATCCTTACCCCACAGGTTTATTTCAATACTTGGGCTTCGACAAGAAACTCCGAAAGGTCAGCTCAATTAAAGCGCTGTAATTGGACAGTAGCACTGAGCTACAGCTTTGTAGATTGTTAGCACCTCAGTACAAAGTTAATGTGAAAGTTGTAGAAGATGAAGAAAAGCTCCCTCTAAATGAAGGCTTAGAGGTTAAACTGTTAAAGCCACACGCTGCATTTAGGCTTTGCTCTGTGTAATAAAAGGGTTGAGATGTGACCACGCAGCGCATCTTTTTCTCCAGCACACGGCTGAATCATTTATGCTCCACAAGAAAAAGAAGAAAAGGCGTTCCAACTTTTCTTTTTTTGAGTTCTGAAACTTTTTGCTGTTGTCTTCCAGTTAGCACAAGGTAAAAAAAAAGCTGTGGTGTATATCTGTGCCTGATAAATTATTGCCACACATAAAAACTATCATTGATATTTGGAGAAATGTCAGCCTGGTGCAGTGATGAAAGATCAGGCCGTCTGGGGAGCTCTGACAATGCTGAAAATGTGAGGCGGAAGGCCTGGGGACTGCACCCTGAAAGATAAGTGAGGCCGGCCTGTCAGGGAGCCGACTATAAATAATTGGCTCTTTTTATAGTGATTCGTCGCTGGTGTTGAGCTCGAGCTCAAGGTGGATAGACAAAGGCTTAAGCACTGCAGCAGGAGGAGTACTGCAGCCTGCCAAAAAGGCAGTGGAGTTAATATCACAGGTGAGCAAATTATAAGAGTAGTTTGCTCAAGGATCAGAAATTATGAGTACTCTAATTCAGATAATATTACACTCCACCGTTCAGAGTTTCCCTATTTCCTCTGCATCTGAAACTAGAGTTTAAACCAGACAGAAACTTGCTGCAGGGACAGAAGCTTCTTGCAGATACAAAAACAAGAAACCTAGATCGAGAGGGTACAGAATTGAAGTAAAATGAAGAAGAAGCTGCTTTGTTCCATTTTTTATTACGATAAATTAACAATAGTTGCAACATTAAATAAGAATAAGGAGATGGTGCACTTTATTTTCACTTGACAGAGAGTGACTTATTACCGCAAAGAGGGTGAAAATGAAGCACGCTTTGTTGGAGTCACACGGGGAAAGAGTTAAAGAACTCAAAGAGAGGTTGATCTTTCCACATTAAAGGTGTTGAAAGGACTGGGTCAAAAGAGCTATTCTCAGATGTGACCTAATCCAGTCCTCCATGAATAAGTATTGGCTTCTAATCAACGGGCTGCACGCAGACTCGCTTTACTAATTCACAGGAGTTCGTGCACCACGCTGTTCGTCATGAAAAGTGGTGTGTTGCTCTCATTTAAAGACATGTCCTATAAATAGAGTTTCTTATAGAAAAACTAATCAAAACATTGTTTTCCAAACTGTTTCCACCGGCGCCTCGTTAAAAGAGACATGTGTGCTGCTGCCTGTGAGTTAATAACAAAGCAGACAAACAACATTTCACCACTTTTTCAGACAGGAGCGGTTTGTCTCTCTTGTACTTTGAGTCCGGTTCACTTACGTCTATAAGGAGTCTCTGCAAAACAGAAAAACAAACACACCTCATGCATATTCAGAGGCTTGGGTTCACTTTAGTTTAGATTTCCAGAATAAATGACCTCTTCAGCTGTCAAATAATGATGGTCTTTGTTCATAAGCAAGTAAACAAGTCGTGTGTGTGTGTGCGGTACCAACCTGTGAATATACAGCCTCAATTCATTTAGAGCTGAGATGCTGCGTAACATGTTGATAAAACAGAGTCTGATGTTTTGCCTAAATTTAATTAAAAATTGGGCAAGGTCAACTCATCTGGTCTTGACACTGAGAAATGTTGCTTTAATGAAAAACATGCACTTATTTTGAAGGTGATGCAGGAAACACGTTTCAAAAGAGTTGGACTCGGTCTCAGCTCGAGCCTCCAGTAGACACCTCTGGGCATTTCTGAATCATGTTTAGAAATGTTTTCCTCTTTGCTCGGCACAGTTTGAAACTGCTTATGTGGATGCAGAGACAAACTGTTTCCACAGACAACAGTGATTTCCACTCCAGAATCATGTATTTTTTAATGCCGTGCTGCCTGATGGATGAAATCAAATAACAAACTAATTATTCTACAGCTAATAAACCGATGCATCATTTTCGTTCTTCTGTCAAAAAGCATCACAAATGCTGGTTACAGCCTCATGTTGACAAAAGTGAGACACTTTATCTTTTATCTGCTTTTGAACTTAAAATGAATGATTTATTAGTCATTAGTTGGACAACAACAAAACAATTACAGATGTCTCACCAACACTTTTCTGTTTCCTGAATATCAAAGACCCAGTGATGAATCATTTGATAAAATAACCACCAAAATATCAGTAATGACAACAGCCCATGGTTGCAGCCCCAATAGTCCAAATAAAATCACTGAATACTGGTCGTTTTCAGGATCTCTCTCAGAGATTGAAAAATGCTCCGTGTGATAATCAAAACTTACACCCAAATTTTTAACTGAGAGGATGTTCAACATGACTAACTAACTAATTCCTATCCAACTTTGTAAATGAAATGTTTATAATCTTTGTCTGACAGGCATCTCCAAGTGAGAAAACGTCAGCTTCACACTCTGACAGAGGAGTGTCTCCACTCCCTGCTGGCCCGGGGTCCCATGGGCACTCACATGTCTGATGATACACAGCCCTTCTGCTGCTTTTGCAGATCATCAAGAGGCTTCTCACTTTGATTGTGAGCTTTCGCCTTTTATCTGTGCTGGACCGAGACGTATGAGGGACCTCTGGGTGCCCTGATAGTTGCCTCATCAAATGCAGCGAGTGAACCTGTGGCTTAAAACTAAAACGTCTGCCTGACATAGACAACAACTTTCATACTTTTCCTCCAACATGTGCTAATATTTGGATATCTGTATCCCCTAGATCCCAAGTAAGAAGGCCAGGGGAGGTCTCACAAGAGTCTCATGAATATCAACTCTTTCACAGAAAAAAAAAAATCAAGTAACGCGACTTTGTTAAACATACATCATATCCAACTAGCTGCTAATCTGTGTCCTGGTCCCTAGCCAAAAAGTAAAACATTTACAACATGTCAAAACTGCAGCAGCAGTGGGCATAGAGATGGCTGAATGAAGTTGTTTTTCTTCTCCTGCTGTCCTCCGGCGTAAAAATCACAAGCAGTCATCTCTGCAATAAAAGCAGAGTGCTCATGAGCCACCCTTTGGGAGCTATTGAAGCAGAAGCCCCGGTGTATGCATGAGGTGTAGGTGTTGTAGCCTTAACTAAACTCCTGACATTTTCACTGCTCTCCTCCACGGCTGGACTGCCTGTAAATTATCAGCTTATGCTGAAGCTGGGAGGCATGTTAGCTCCTGTGGAGATGGGATGCTGCGTGTGTGTGTGTGAGTGTGTGTGCATGTGTGTGTGTGTGTGTGTGTGTGTGTGTGTGCATGTGTGTGTGTGTGTGTGTGTGTGTGTGTGTGTGTGTGTGTGTGTGTGTGTGTGTGTGTGCGTGTTGTTGCAGTCTGTTGCAGTTCACAGCCTGATTATGATACTGTGCAGGCATCAGGGTGAATTCAAGGCAACAACTGACAGGATCTTCATGCTGAAACCATGAGATTATGCAAGAGGGAAGATAACGAGAAATGTTTTCTTTTTCTGACCTGTTGCAACTTCCACATTTGAATACATTAAAAGCTGTAAAATCATAAACAAATAAAATCATCACAGCTTTTAAATTTCCTTTGTGTCTAAAGTACAGATCTGCACTGATTGGAGGTACGGTACTGAGTCATTATCTTCAAAATGAAGATGTATCAAAAAATATGATTTTCACAGGGTATTGCAAAACGTTCCAGTTGTCAAGAGCAACACAATGTTAAAAACACCAACCAATTGGTTAAGTATATTCAATGACTGGAACAGTGTAGCCGTCACAATCTAGAAAATGCTACCTGTGCCAGCCTGGCTGCTATATCTGCAGACCCTCTCTCCTCTTTCTCTTCCTGTCTCTTTTCTGTGACTGCAGTCGAAAGCAAAGAGCTGCAGACACAGCGAGCAGAGGGGTCTGCATATTCATGATGAAGCACTGGGGACTCACTTCAAGGAAAACTGTCGGCTGCGCTGTCACTTACATCTGCCTGACAGCGACAACTTTTGTTGTTTGGGGTAAGTTCTAAAATTAAGTAGCCAAAAGGGTCCTGGAGTGACAAAAAATAGTGACAACAAGGCAGCACGAAACAGTCGTTTTATCATAAATTAACCATTGGCCTAGCTCCCTGATTGGTTAATACATTTTTTGGTTCAAATGATACCAGTAAATGAAAATTATCACTCTTTACTTGAGCTCTTCCAGCATGAGAATAAGAAAAAAATCCACTCTGAAACACAACTGCTATGCTGAAAACACTGAAAACACTGAAAAGAAAACTGGTTCTTATTCATCTTCTATTAATACAGTATTTGTTGTAGCCTTGAGTGACACAGTTACAGATCTGGTAACACCACCAAACTGAAAAACTTGCACTTCATCAGACAAAAAGCTTGGTGTTGCTCCAAGTCTGCACACGACATATGGTCACTTTTCCTTATGCGTCACTGATAACAATAGCAGATGCTCAGCTAACAAACCTACACCAACACAACAGACCAAGAAGTAAAGTTGCTGCAGAGCTCAGTAATAAAGCTTTGTTTAAGGGCAGCTTAGAGGAGAGTAAACTGCTTTGAAGTTAATGCGACTGTGTGCTTTATCTCCTGTAGGAGGATTAAGCAGGTCATAACCAAAAAGCTTATAACTGAGCCCTACTGAGGGATTAAGCTAACTCCTAATCAAATGGAGGAGAGACAAGAGAGAAATGCATAAACAACTTTATGCAGGTCATGCCAGCTGCTTGTCCTAACACAACATGGAAAGACAGATCTGAAAAACAGGAAGTGATAAAGAATACTTAGTACTAAGGAACAAATCAGGCTGTGATAGGATTTACTGCAAAATACCCCGACAAGAAAGAGGTCTAGACCGAAATGTTTAATGGAAAAGAATGGGAATAGATCTTAGTATACAGTCCCTGAGCGCAAACTTTTCTGTTCATTACTGAAGAAATAAAATGCTTTGCAATTACCTTTTATATGCACAAAAGGTTTTAGCAATGTTTTCCAAAGTGGGAATCAGAGCACTCAATATTCATAAAAATGTATTTTTGCATGATAAGAATTGGAGTGTTAAAAGGCCACACACCCACTCACAAAAAGCGACCTAAGCTTAATACAAATGCATTCTTGTATTCCCTGCATAACCAGTAAAGTTTTCTGAGTGAAACTTCTGGTGTATCTATCCTTTTGATCTGACAAATCACTGGTGGGTGGTGAATTTCAGAAACCCAGAAATTGTTTCTGAGTAAATTACTGACAGACTTATAATGGAGCCGAGCTAAGAAAATGACCAACTTATCAAAAGAGGCATTTTGATCATTTGAGGATCCATCAGATGCCTGGAAGCACCACTCAAACTGCTTCAAGGCCCATTCCAATCATGTTTTTTATTGTCTACATGCTCATATGGTATTTTTCTGATGCTACAGAACCTGTCATGACAAAAATAAGGGCGAAATTGCAATTCTAATTATTTCTGCATTCAAATCGCTGTGAATCTCTGGCAGACCAGAACGACAGGCTCAGATACAGTAAGATTTCCTATGCCACAACTCCAAGCTCCGCCCCCAGAGCCCTGTAAAAATCTTTGTTTTCATATCTTTAAAAAAGGTAAGAATTACAAAAAAAAGTCATAATGTGTGTACAAATAGAGAAACTAACGATTTAGGTTAAAAATGTTTTTGTACAAATGTGTTAATTCTGCTGTGAAAGTGGCAAAATCATTGCAAGTGTTGGGGGGGGTCCTTTCCTTCTGAAGTCACCCTCAAGAGGAAACACACTTTTTAACACTTCCACATTGGCTTCATTTTTAACCCCAGAGGTTGCTGCTTAATGAAAATGTTCAATATGCATAACTTTATCAGATGTCAACAAAATGTTTCGATTTGTGGATTAAGACAAGAAACCGACAGGAGGGTTGTTTAGGTATGCGGATTCAAACTGTGCCAAGTTATTACCATTGCAAAGAGTGTTAATTTCAATGGATATGCAACCAAACTTCTTTAAGAAAATCTAAGTTTTAGGCTTTTGGCATTTTAGCTTTGGATACATTAAGTTCAGTCCACTGTGTCTGCAGTTACCACTCAAACATTAAGGTGTCAGTGGAGCTTCAATGACACTTGTGTTATCTTTTTGTGTGACTTGTGTTATTGAAAGTAATGAAGAGATTTTAAAAGTAAATACCAAATTAGTTGTTTTCTACATTTTCCTCTCCCCTCTATCCCTGCTTTTAAAAACTCTAATGACACTGAAACACATTATTTTCTTTCAGCTAATGAAGCTAAAATCAAGCCCGCAGCCTCTTCCTTTCAGGACTTTTAATTATTCTGTTTGACAAAAAACAAAAGACAATAAAATACGACTTGAGGTTCTTCCATATTGGAAGCAATTTTGATGCTTAAATTCTATTATTTCTTTCACTCTGTCGGAGGTATAAGGGTGCCAAGCTTCATTAAGCATAAGCTGTCTATTCACAGCTTTTCACTGCTTTTGCACCTGTAAACGTCTGCTTTTGTGCCAATTTAGAGCAGAAAATCTCCATGGCTTTTCTGCTCTAAACAGCTCATCTAATTTAGCTTCATATTTGCCAATCAACTAAGAAATCTACTGAGTTCTGTGACGAGCGTCGTGTCATTATTAGCCCCACTGAAAACTTGCATAAATATCAAGGGCAAAGCCTTTGAAATGAGATTATCTAACAAATAATGTGTATACCCCTGCCTTTGTATGATCACATCAGGCTCATATCAATAACAAGTCTTCCTCAATGACATATTGATTGCTTATTAAGTGTACAAATATAATTGCAAAACATCTACCATGTGACTAAACTGTCTCAAATCGAAGCTGTGATGGAGTGTGTTTTGTCCTTCATCCAGAGATTATAATGATGCTTCAGGGGAGTGTGTGTCAGTGTCTCAAGTCCAGCAGTTTCTCCTCACGCAGACACACAATTACCCGTGTTATGCAAGCTAATGAAGCCACAGTTAGTTCAAAGAGCTCCATCTCTCCTTACGCTATCAAAGATGATTCACTGATGACAAGAGGACGGATGCAGGGCTTAAGGGGATCTATAACAGCTCTGCTTAATCATTTCATCATACAAGCAAGACCGGGCTATCTCTCACAACGGATAGTGGCGCATGCCTCAGTTTGGGATTTAATTTGTCCATGTAATGAAGCAGAGGACAAATTGGCATGCAAAAGAGGTTGTACTGCATATAGAGTGAGTTATTTAGCTCCACACGCGGTGAGTGAGTTCATTTCATAAAACAAATTTACCCAGTGCTAGGTCATAATAAAAGGGTGTGCATGAGCAAAATGTCAGCACTTAATGATGTCTAAGTAATAATTTTCATCCAGCAAGTGCTGAATGGGACCTTGATTGTGAATGTTTGTATACCTGAATTAGTGATATGGCTGATATTTATACTGACCTCTAATCCATTCACAAAGAAAAGGTCAGCTCATTGGGCATCCTGTCGACATTCACCACCGAGTCTTCCCACAGCTGGTACGTCTGGAAATTTCTGCTCAGCACCTGAATATAAGAGAGGAGAAGATGAATACTGAGTGTTGTGGCTGACCAGAGTTAAATCTAAAAGATACACACAGACAATTCTGTTATTTGACATACTTGACGTGAAGAGGGTCAAAGTGCAGATAAGTAGTATAGATGAGATGTACAATGACAGATACAGACACAAACATATTTAAGATATTTTTGTCCTCTAGTTTTGTTCAAGCTGAAAATGATTATTTTCTCCTTTGTGAACAATGTGCATCATTAATCATGCATCCATGAAACTTTGATCTAAATGGATGACATTAATCAGCTTTATCACTGTCAGACTAAAGCCTTGAAGTCCCAGTCAAAGGCTCCTGAGACAGGGCTTCTTAAGATCTGAAGTTTGAAGCCATATTAATGTTTCCCCTTTGTCACAAGTTACGTGATAACAAGCTTGGAGCTGCAGGGTCATGTCCCCTCCTCGTGTTGATTAAATCGAGAATAAAAAGACACTATGTTCATAACGATAAAAGTCAACAGAAATGTAAGACAATGAAAAACACAAAATAAGCTCCTCTCAAGACGTTTAAGCTGGATATCAGATGGAGAGAAAAACTTCTAGAAAAACTTGAAACCATAACAAGGAGAGTGGAAATGTCTGTATTTTATTTCCAAGGTCTGAAACGGCTGGAGAGGGTCGGTGTTGGACAGAGTAATGAACTGCACACTGCTGATGCAGCCCTCTTTATAGGTTGTGATGCAGAGGATCTCAAGAAAGACACACATTCCACAAAAAAAGGAGAAAAACACTATTTAATCATGTACAGGACAAAATCATAAAAGACAACTTTGCCCACAGGGGGCGCAAAAATCAAAAAACTCCTCCTGTGCATCGAGAGCCTTCAGGTGTTTGTTGGTTAATAACATGTTACATATTCTCATGCCTGACATGACTGTATGAGTTACTGTTACAGAGCAGATCAGCTGATAAAAGCAGAGGACTGAATTCCTCTGTTTCTCTGTCTGAACAGGCTCTACATTCTCAACACGCAGCCCCTTAACAGGCTGAGTGTTTCCGGTGGTAAATTATGATTGATTGCACCTTTCTGCTAATCAGCTTTTCAATACTAACTTTTCTAAAGGAAAATAAAATTATGAACTGACAAAATTCCCTTTTCACCGTGGCTAATTATAACCTTAAATCAATGCCACACCGACTCTGACAGGTATGCTCAATAAATTAAGATGAGGAAACAAATACATATTTGTAATTGCTGCCATGATGAATTTATAGTCCTGCCGACAGCAGGGTCATTAACGTACAACCACTCTGTCAGGACAAATATGCACAGAGTGACATGGATACTTTACTCTGCAATTAATCTCACCAATGTATTTCTAGCCCCAGCTGAAACAGGCTATTAAACTTAAGAAGGAGCTAAATTGCCACGTCAAGGAGAGCATATTGATCTTTTCACGGAATGTGCTTATTGACAAAGCACTTAAATTAGATATTGTGGAAATAAAACCAGCTGGGCTCCTCCTGGCAGAGCATGGCCCCCTGCAGTTTCAAAGTACTCGAGGAGAAAATAGAGAACAGATTGAGAAGGCCAAAAACAACGGAGAGTGAAATGGATAATACAGAGGGAGCACTTCAGTGGAGTGAACTACTGAGAAATAAGGTGCATTAGGGCTGGGCGATATAGGAAAAGTTTATCAGGATATATTTTTTTCATATCAGTAGATATCGATGTATATCAGAATATTAAAAAAATGAAATTTAACAGTGCTAGTTGGTAGCATGTCTTTTGCAATATAGTAAGTTCCTGCATCTGTGAGGTCTTTGTTACTTGGTTCTAATTCAGCTCATGATTGGTTCAGCGTGAAGTAGACCCATAGCAACTCCCCTTTTCATTGGCTATTCCTATAGTCTACCAAAACATGGCAGAATGCCTGTTAAAAAGCGCATGTTGTTTAGGTGTTTTCTAGTAATATTGTGTTTTACGTTGAGTTTTCATTTATCCTATATACATGAATGCACCACAGGCATTCCGACGCGATTAAACACACTGCACCTGTGTGTAAGATGCTGCAGCTGCAAAAGTTTAGTTTTCCTCTTACCTGTTTTTCAGAAGTGAGTTTTATGATGTTTCACTGTCCAAGTTAGATCCTATATTGCGTTAATGTATTGTTTACCATGAATATGGCTAATGCTATCTCATGCTACTCAATGTTCAGCTAATAAACTAATTCTTACCATGGCTGACGTGACCCTCCTGTGAGATAATTTGTTTACAATAAATGAGTCACATATCATATGATTGATTGCTGAATACATTCCTTTATATTCAGAGAGTTATATTATATATGTGTGTTATATGGTGTGAGTTGTACTGATTGTTGCTGTGTATCTGTATCTGCAAAACCACAGTTAAATAAATCCACCACTAAACTGGACATCTGTATCTTTCAACGGGGACACACACCACACACCTTGCCGCTCTAAACCCAACTAAATCCTAGAGAACGCCCTTTTCTCCTTTTTTAATGCAGACTATCGAAAAAGCATATTGACCATGCTTTACATTGATACTGAGGGAAATTCATTTTCGATACATATGGTTATCGTTTTATCGCCCAGTACTGAGGTGAAAACGTAAAAATGGTACGCTTAATCGCTGTTATAAATTACTCTGCATCTACAGTCAGCCTTCAGTGTGTTTTTGTTGGAGAAAATTTAACTCGTGGAAAAACAGAGTCACATCTGTGACCCATCAAAAACACTGCAGCATGCCTGTTAAAAATAAAACATCACAGGAAACAGAGGCAAAAATCTCAGCCTGTTTTGACTAAAACAAAGATTTTCAAAAACTGTATTTAAATTGCAAACCTGTAGCTGTGCTCTTTCTCTGAGACGCTCACTGATGAAAAAGTTTGAACTCTGAATTTCTAGTCTCATCATGCTCTGATGACACAAAGGGCAATGTGCGTGTGTGCGTGTGTGTGTGTGTGTGTGTGTGTGTGTGTGTGTGTGTGTGTGTGTGTGTGTGTAGCCTTCATCTGAGAGATGGCACACCTTGTATCCAGCCGGTGAAAAGGAAGTAGAAATGTCAGCAGTCTTAATCAATAGTCCTGGGTTACTGTAAGGGAGTACTGATTCTTTTTTGAGGCAGGTGTGCTGCAGGCAGATGGTGAGAAGAAGTAGAAAATGAGAGTAAACGCCAGCCTAGAGCTGCTCATTCCTCCAGGAGCTTATCCTGCACCACTCCTGCCATCTCCGCATTTTCTCCACCGCCTTCATTCACATCAACTATCTTGAACATCTGGATGTAGTCTTGCTCGGCTGACGGGGGCATCTCAGTAGAAGACTGACTGCACACACACAACCACTTCTAAAGGCGCTACGATCAGATGGTGCAGAACAACGTACCAATTTATACATACCGTTGTGTGTAGAGCTGAACCAAAAAGCCCATCTTAAAGGCAGCACAATCTGCTCATCATCCTTCAAGGTTGTGTGGATGCAGATGTGCCGAAGGAGGTCTTCATAAGGAAATTCTCCTCACTAATCCATGCATGCAAAACTGCTCTTACAGCATGTTTCTACTAAAATGAGATTTTAATAGCCTACTGGTGCCTACAAATGCCTTTAGGGGGATTAAATGATCATGCCCCTTTATTTTTGAGTATTTGTTGTCGCTCTACCTGAGCTTACATGAGGACAATCAAGGTAAGCTAAGATGCCATTTAGTGAGGTAAACCTAACGTAAACTAATGCTAGCTCTTTGCAGGACTGAATATATACTTATAAGTCCTCAGATTTCATATCGCCTATAAGACAAAAATAGTTTTCTTTAGATATTACTTCCAGTTGTGGGAGTGTGTGATTCACAGCGGAAATAATTTGAGGATTAACTTTAAGTGAAAAAATCTAACCCTTTCAGGCATGAGTTTGTAGATCACAAAATAACCTTTTTAATATCTCAATTTGGAGGAGTGACATTTGTAGATTTGGTTTTAAAAAGGCTATTTTGTGGAGCTTAAATCTGGTCTAAAATTAATATTTTTTAAAACAGATTTAGGTATAAATGATACGGATACACAAAAACATGTTATTCAGTCAAAGTGACATCTTCACAGCTTACTGCATTAAATCAATCAAAACAAGCATCCGTCTTGATGTGTGCATGTTTGTTTTTCACTACATATTCGATGCAATCACACACGCGCGCGCGCACGCACACACACACACACACACACACACACACACACACACACACACACACACACACACACACACACACACACACACACACACGTTCTCTAGGGTCTGCACTCTTAGATGACTGAATACATAAATATAGAGAGTAAGCATTAAAATAAATGGCAAAATTTGCATATTATCTAATGATGCAATCAAAATAAACTATCAATGTTGTGATTATGTGAAATTAAATAAAAAACATACAAGATACAATGGAGCTTGAATATTGGCTGAGTGGGCATAAGATATGACCTCAACAAATAACCTTTAGTGCACAACATCCACTCAAATTAATCGATGTGGTTTCAAGAAAGAAATGAACAGAAATATCTGATCAAAATCTGCACAACAGTATCTCCATTTTTCCAAATATTCACCTTATCTGAAACCCACCTGTTCAGATTAGCACACTCCTTATACTTTATCTTGTCATGATTCTGTTTGTTTTATTTATAAATAAATATATATATATACTTATTTTGTTTGTATTGTTTTCTCAATTGCCTTCATCCTGCTGTTTTTACTCTGTAAAGTGTCCTTGAGTGTCCAGAAAGGCGCATATAAATAAAATGTATTATTATTTAGTTGAAAAAAAAACCTTTCCTCTTATCTTGTTGAATAAATACAAAAGGATTGAGCACACTGAGCATTGTTTTGCATCTCAAAATGACAAACGGGTACAGGGACTGTAATTGTATAGAATTGTAGACAAATGTTTGGATGAGGACTTCCTGAAGGTTGTTACATGGTGCTCGTTGAAAATGGCCTCTACATTTCTGTCCATTGAAGGGTTGGCTGGTCTTAGCTCTATTTCTATTCTATTCAACTCGAGATGTATGAGGAGTGGAGTGGAGCGGAGGAGCTCACAACCAGCAAAACTAACCTTGTGAGGGTTGGAGTTTTTGCAGGACTGCAGTTTAATAAGCATACCAAGCCTCGGGGTAAATAATCGTTGCCATGAAATAACACTAAGGCAGTGTATTTAATGAAAGAGAAGATTCTCATCTTTTAACTACAGTATGTGGTGCAGGATGTGACTTATTTAGCTCAGCAGGTGATAGATACTCTCATCACCCTCCTTTGTCCTGATAGAAATGCTGCTTGAAGACAGATCTGAAAATTAAATAGCTGAAATGAATATTTTGTCAGTGCACTGACTGTAGTAAACATAACTCAAAAGTTGTTCCTGTCTGTTTTTGTTTGATTCAAAAACTTACACAATTTCATAGAAATGGGGGTTGAAGGACAGTGTTTGGTTGAAAAGGTTCGAGACCTTGGCATCAGTCGTACAGACAATTACTGCACGGAAAACAAAACAACCAATTTGTGAACACAAAGAAGCTTTTTACGCACTGGGAGGATAATGAAGGGCTCCTCTGAGATTTTGATATTTGAACCTCTAAAGCATTTCATTTTAAAGTTCAGCAATTAAATTATGAGTTGGAGGAAAGATCACTTAGGAGCGTGAAACTAAAGGGTATGAAAGCGGGAAACTCCAGCTCCTCTTTCAGACGGCTTAGCATGTGGCCCTCAAATCTTAGCCTAGTGCTGACACCTTTTTCATAGCCTTTACATATTGTCCTATTCAATCGACCTTTCTTAAGCAAGTGGTTGACACCTTGCATATGAATCATGAACATCAACTTTATGGCTCTCTCCTGTGAATACATTTTGAACATTAAGCAGAGGATATGTCTTTTACTGCTGCTGGACTCACAGTGATATTAGGCCATTAATTATTTTAGTCGCTCCTCATTTGCAGCCATCCTGACATAAGCAGCCATCTATCAGGGCTTGTAGTTGGTGCAAAAAAAGAGAGGGGGGACCCATCTGTTGGGCGTTCATAATCCATCCATTTTCTCTAGGGAGTCAATGGCTGGCCAAACTTTGAATGATCGCACCACTGATGCCACCGCAGTGCCAGCCATCACTGACCATCTGATGCCCAGAGCAATATCCAACAGCTCTGAGTCTGCAAAGTGAGGAGCTTGTTAAATTGAGATTTCAGCTTGACGCGCTGGAGCCAAAATGATTTCATGTGATCACGTTTTATCAGAGATTCCATCAACTTCGTCTATAAATGATCACACACACACACACACAAGCACACTAACACGTGCAAAGTGATAAAAATTTTCAAGTAACTCCCAAAACCACATTTTTTCAGCTCAGGCTGGTGTCCCATGTGCTGAGTCACAGACGTTTTTGCCCTGTCTTATCGGCTGGACTGGGTTGTTTTGACACTTTTTCCTGGAAAAACTTACTTTAAATGTTTTTTATTATAATCCCAATTTGATAAGAGTTGGAACACTGAGTTGATGAGAACAGAATTTGATGTTTTGCTAATCATTAAAATCCTATTTCTGATTGGAAACAGTACAACGAAAACTAATCAATATGTTGATTCTACATGTGATGCCTATTAAGACTTATCTCATTTTTTCAAATCAGTCCAGGCAGGGACAATAAAACACTGACATATCTGTGAGGGTTAAAAAAAAAAACACCTGGCGGAACGTTTCCCGAACAATGATATGAATTTGTTACAGCTCTTTGAAACATGATACAAGCACTCTAGAGGGGCTGAGTCTCTCAGGAATAAGTTGGGAAGAGGTTCACAACTCTGTGGAGGCTGTGTGAGCTAACAGTTCAGCAATTACCAAAGTTCCTGGCTGTTAAAATCCCCCCAAAATTGAGGATTTCATCAAAATATCTTACAGAGATTCACTGAATCTTTTTATAAAAGGGACAAGGTCCAAAATCAATACTGGACGGCTGTGACCTTTGGGCTTTTAGACAGCACTGAGCTCAAAACAAACATGACTTTATAGTGGAAATCGCTGCATAGGATCAACTCGCATCTAAAAACCTTCACTGCCTAAAAAGAAAAGTAAAAATGAAAATCTGAGGTTCAAACTCTTGCTCAGCACTTATTCAAATCCACCTTTCAAAAGCATTTAAATGAGTGCATCTGGGTAACAACTTATGGAAAGCTGTGAGAGGGAGAGCACAATGTCAATGTCAGGCTTATAATATCACTGTTTAGAATTCACAAAAATCTGCATAGAACAATAAGTCAAGATTCTGCCAAAGAAGATCGTCCTTCACCTCAAGCCCCAATCACCGCTCCAAAAACCTCTTACTGCATCAAATGTGATTCAGAGTATAATTAATGAGCCCACTTTAAAACAAACCTCGGGGCCTGAGCGAGTCACCAATGCTGTTCAACCTCTCCCGAAGCATGGGGCCCATGCCAACCTCTCCCAACTCTCAAAACATTAGGGTAATTTTCACACTGGATTAACCAGACAAAGAGGGTTTCAGTGGGCCTATATCACATGCTGCGAGATGCGTTGTGGCTGTCACAAGTGTTCAGGGATGTAGACAGTAAATTCTGATGTTATTTAGTGGTGCTTTGCATATATTTAAAGGCTCTGCCGCTCCCTTTATGTGCCTGTGAAAAAATGCGGGTATTCTGCCGCATTTACACCCTGACTGCGTGCAGCTGTTCACCCTCTCTTTGAGCTTCGTTTTTTTTTTCACCAGGGGAAATCTCCATTCGAGAATTCTCACACAAACATTTCCACATTTCACCTTTACCATCATGAGCTAGTTGCGCTTTAAACAAACAATCAAAGGTACTTTCTGAATTCAGTCATCAGATCATTGTAATAACAGCACAAGAGTGTCACAGTTGGAGGCTGATGCAACAGGCTAAAACAGGCTCTGGGGATGCGGGTGGAGTCAGCGCGCAAACACAGTTCAAAACAGAGAAACTCCAAAACTGAAGAGTCCCGGAGAGCCACTCCTACTTAGCACTCGAGCTCTAAACGGAAGAAACAGGATGAGAGGATAAGGCTTGGAGTGGGAGGCAGCAAAGACAAGCCTGCGAGAGGAAGCCAAGATGAAAGTAAATAAGAATTTGGAAGTTTTTGGAAGCTGAGTAAATACCCGTGGTGCCTGTCAGGCCTCTGTGGTGCTCTCAGCAGTAAACTCTGTTTTTTTCATCCTTGTAGGAAAAAAAGCTGGCGATAAAAGACTTTACCATCAGACTCAAATGATAAGTCACAGAAGCAGCAAATAAATATACACGCACACCAAACTCTGTGCAAAGAAAAAAAAATAGTTATAGCCCAGGAATTATTCATTATCTCATTAAGTATGCGAAAGCTGGTATTTAAGACTCGCTGCCACCAAAGTAGTGTTCATTTACTTCAGATTTTTTTATTTTGGCACAGGCTTAGACTGTAAGCATGATTGATAATATTTTTAAAGACAGTAGTGCTGCAACTTATAGCTTTTTAAATTACTGCTTTTTCTGTGCATTATCTCTCTGTAGGATTGTTCAAGCATTTGTTCTATGAGTGTAGAAAAATAAGGTTTAACAGAAAAGTGCTTCATTGACATATCAGTAACGTGTGTGTGCTGTTCACAAACATGCAGACAGTAATACATTAACCAAATTAAACTATTTCACAATGCTCTCAGAATTTCCTCGACTGTATGGAGCAGAGTAAAACAGCTGAGCAAACAGCTGTCAGCACTGGTGTTGGTTGATATTGTACAGTTAGTAAAAAATTATGTATAGTTAGCCATCAGTTATTATAAAGGGAACCCCTACAGGACCTTAATGTGAAACCGAGGGGTTTTGTCTCCCCCTGTTGAGTCTATTCCACATTACCAGCCGACTAAATTATCCTGCATAATATCTGGCTGCCAAGTAACACTACAAAAAAGTAAACATTTAGTATCAGTAGGGCTGGGCGATATGGGAAAAAGTTTAACACAATATTTTTTTCATATCAGTTGATACCGATATGTATCACAATATAAAAAATGAAATGTAACGATGTTTATTGGTAGCAAGTCTTTCGTAATACAATAAGCTACTGCATCTGTGAGGTCTTTGTGTCTCTTTGACGTTTTGTCTGAAGGCGTTGCACAAGAGAAAGCGGACTGAATGGTCGGTTCGGCGCAGAGCGGACCCAGAATGGCAGAATGCCTGCTATCCAAAAGCATATTGGGCATGTTTCATATCGATAGAGGGAAATAAATTTTAGACATATTATTATCGTTTTATCACCCAGCCCTGAGTATTAGTAAAGAGTTGTATTACAAAAAATATCAACCATGTTGTTCTGAGTATTATAGGACGCTATCAAACAATAACATTTAAGGAGGATAGAACTGTGTACTACACATACTGTAACTCTTTCTTTCGATGGATTGATTTGATACGATGTGCTTTTTCACAACCATTGACCAATTAGAAACCATTGTTCAGGGGTTTGGACCAATTACAATTAAGTATTATCCATAGCTAGGTAGTTCGTAAAAGAACCAGGTAAGGCTTCTTATTGAGAAAACATTTGCTGTTGTGATCTGCATAGTGGGAGCATTAGGTTACAGTCCTAAAATGGAGTAGATCCTCACAATCAAATACTTTTTTAATGCACCAAAACAAAAACAAGGATTACTTCCTGACTCCCCTGACCCAGTAAATAATGTGCCACACCCACACTGAAGGGGGAACATATCATGTCTTTGAAGGGACAGAGGACAGGCACTCTTGCAGACAAAGTACAAGAAGACATCTGACACAAGAACATGTCCTACCGGCCTCTGTGTTTCTCCCGAACAGCTTTGAACTTGTTAGTCGCGCAGACATCTCGGTGTGAGCTCTGAAAAAGCAGAGGGCTGTGCCCCAGCTGCCTCTCACATGAAGACAAGACTTGCATCTTCAGAACCTTGTTAGTTCTCTGAAAAGGCCACCGACTAGTTTGGAATATTAAGCAGCTCATGCTGTCGGAAATCAAAAGGATTTTGGAGGAGAGTGGGAAGCTTCAAAACGGCTTTGATGGTATATATCGCTCAATCTCCAGCAGATATGACAGAATGAAGAAGTAAAGACAGGGGAACAAAGAGCATGGCAGAGAGGAGGGTGGGAGAGGTTATTCTTCCCCTCTCTGAATTCTGCATATACATGTATCCTTATTCATCAATCAGACAGACCTGCTCTTAAAATGTCAAGACTTTGGACTGAGAGGGACGGTTGGCACGAGAAAGACAGAAATAGAAAAAGGAGAGGAAAGTGGGACACGTTCAGGTCATTTATCATCGCAGTACACTCAAGTAAGCCAAACTCTCAGTTTCAGTAATGTTCAAACACAGACCACATTTATGCCATTAATAAGTCAGTTATAGTCCCACACTGCTCTGTGCTATATATACCCACACACCACTGTCTCTTTACACTACAGGAAAAAGGAAGCATCTGTTCACACGGAAACCCAAAAGTGCAGGAATTTTGTGTGATATGTGATTCACTTCTTTACAGAAAAGGGGAAGGCTATGGAGGTATAAGGATGGACAGATACAGTTTCCTGATGAGGAAGAAGAGGGGGGTAGAGGTAGAAAGCAGATAGGAGTCCCTGCTATGATTTCAGTTTGAGAGAGGAAGCGTTTATTCAATTCCCTCAAGAGGAATCTAAGGTCAGGTTCCCTAATGAAATGATTAGATCACCAGCAGTCTTTGCAGGAATAATTACAGAAACAGAGACCACTGAAGGATTGAAAGAAATGAAGCCACACTGTGTTTTTCTTGGTGAGGGTCTTCGGCAAACACATTGATCTAATAATAGCAGTCTTGCCACGGTGAGAAAATTAACCATCACTTTGCAAAGAGATTAGATTTGGCCTGATAACACGTCTCTGGTGATAAGTCGACCCCCCTTCAGTCACAGACAAAAGGTTGTTGGCATTGAGAGAGGCTTTCAGTCAGTCTTTGGTTTAAACATCTCAGCTTTCCTTATTCAACTTAACAAATACAAGATCTCAAGAGTCTGAGCATAAATAACTGAGAGTCTGTTGTTCGAGCTAAACTGTGAATCACCTTGCTTCTCTGGGTTTAAGAATTTAGCAGAAATATCAGGAGTCTGTAGGCCATCCAGTGACAAGGTTGGACATGCCTGACGAAGAGAGAGGTAAAAAGCCTTTAGGTGATAGGAAAAGGGGCTCTCTTCTAGCAGATCTTCTGACGGGTTGACTATAAGTGGCCTTTCCAAGCAAATTATTACTCCAGTGAGGGCGGCGGTGTCCTGTCAATCTCCTGTTTTCTATCTTCCCTGTAATTGCTCTCAGATAAATCCTACAATCTCTCCCTGCAGCTCTCAGGTCATTTTCCTCTTTTTCAGACCATTCTGACACCATCTGTGTTTATATGGCCACACAGGAACATGCTACGGGCATTAAAACTATTACACTACTGTTAGCTTGTAGTTAGATGATTAAGGAATGTAATCCTCTAGTTTTACAGAGTGTACAACAAGGCCATGCCAAGTCTTTGACACTGCTCACAAGTCTGTGAGAGCTGGAAACTTGGTTTGTAACCCAGAATGTCCATGTGGCTTGGCTGTGACACTTTCCAAATGGAAAGTCCAAATGTCCACTGGAAGTGTTTCAGAAGAAAGAGCCCGAAGACGCTTCTTTCTCTCTCAGTGTAATTAAAAACTATAATTAGTTACCACCAATGTCATCGTAGGCAGGGAAACGTTGGATGAAATGTTCTTTGTTCTCACTGAGAGGTGTGAGCCAAACAGGTGATCACATCAAACTGTAGGTTGACTGAAATGCTTTAATTATGCAGGCTTCTCTTGGGTCAAAATCACTCATTATGAAACTGTTCAGACAACTCAGATCCTGATTCCAATAATTACACACTCTTAAATCAACATGGCTGCATGATTTACCTATCATTTATTTGATTGCTGGAGCAAAAAGAGTTCATTTTCCTTAATTGTTTTGCACTGGACAGGTTCTATAATTATGCCAGCGCGGTTACCAACATGTGATAACGCTGTGTTTTGTAGCATCTGCATTATTGCACATGTTCTTTAAATTACCCCAGGCACCTCTCAACAGTTATAATGTGTGACATCTTGAATTTTAAATGTATTCAGTGACTCAGTTTAGAGAGTTCATGCCTTAACACATCTGAGATGTTGCTTCACCTTACCATTATTGTCTGTTTGCAGCCTGTTTTTAAATGTATTATTTATGTAGTGAAGGGTGTGTAAATGTTTTAGGCATTGTATATACAGCCATGTCTCCTGCTATTTGGGCATGGCTCTTTGGTTGATGGGCACTGACACATGGGAAAGGGTTGTTTACAACTTAATTTTAAAGTTCAGCCCTTAAGTGCTACTGAAAGACACCAGCACTCAGCAGAAAGACAGAGAATCACGTCATAATTTACGACCAAAAGAAGTTTCTGACAGCTATACACTCTTTCTCTGCAGTGCCATGAAATCCATTTAATTTGTACAATTACTTTCCTCTAAAAGGTGCCACTTTTATTGACATTACCAGAGAGGTGTGACATTTGAACATCATTAGATATTGCATTTAGATTTAAACATTCAAACAAAGAGAGAAATGTTGCATTACAATCCTTCCTAACTAGCCCCTCGGAGATGAACAAACTGATTTGAAATACACTATTTCCACCAAGTCAACAAAAACGAACATTTTGAATATTGCAAAGGGTACAAAAGGCTTGAGTTTGACATTTGTCTGTTACCATCTAGACAGAAATGACCTTTTTTTGATTGGAAGATTGACACCCAAGGGATAAAAATTCAGTGAATTAAATTAGATGCCGCCTGAACCCTGCTGGAGGCCCCCTTCTGTCACTTGTCCATGCCCTTAATGAAAAGTGCTGTAGGCCAAAAATTTAAACTGTTAAATAAAAAATTAGACTGGTAAAGTTGTCGTGAGAAAAGCAGAAAAAGCTACAGAATCCAAAACTGTTTCTAGCTGTGAATATGATCATTTTAGCTTCAAAGTTTCACGCACTAACATGGAGGTCTATGGGAACTGACTTACTGTAAGAGCCGTCCTAAAGTGGTCATTTGAAGAACTGCGATGTTGAACTTTCATACATGAGCTTCCTCCATCAACCCCAGAGGCTCCTGCTTGGTTAATACTTGAAAATGTGCATTCAAAAGCTGACAAATTTATGTCTTAAAGATATAGCAAGAACGCATGTATGAAAAACAAAAAATTATGTTATTGATCATTGTACTCAGAGATGCTAAATTTATAGTCACTATCTTTCAGTAATTATGCAAAAAAGCTGTTATAAATCTCAGTTCAATGCTCGGTACAGACTAATCCACTGGTTTTATATTTTGGTAGAGGACTTCAACTGTGAAGGTCTTTCTTTACTGTAGATGGAAAACTTGAAATGACCTCATTCCCAACATGGAGACAAACCTCCATCTGTTTCACTCACTGATGCTGAACCAAAAGAATGAGACCAAGGTCCATTAAACAGAGAACAAAACACAGCTTGAAACATATTAACTGACAACTGCACTTGATAACTTATTTATAGGTACCAATATCTGTAACAACCTGTCTTTGTACATGTACCATACCATCCTCTTAGACAAAAGGCTCCTCCCTTGGTAGCGGGTGTGCTTGCTGTAGATGGATAGACTTGGTTGGAGATATGACATTGAAAAAGCTATCCTCCATCAAATTCGTCATTGCTAACAGGGTTGCTGTCAGAGCTGAGCTGAATAGCAAATGTATATCTCAGGCACGAGGAACCAGTATGCAGTAGGGTATAGAAAAGCAGAGAAGAGACATGTCTTTACTTTGATGGAACAGAAAAGCCTATTTACTCAGCTGCGCTTCTTCATATGTTGAGCTCTACAGAGACAGCACATTCACTCCCCTCTCTGCAGTAAGCATTCCCACAGCTTATAGACTTCAGCAGCATTCAACACAATGAGGTTGATACTGAGGGATGTGCAAGGGAAAAAAATATCCTTTTACTTCAATGCAAGACATAAAATATTAACCCAATCTCAACACATAAATGTGACATAAGAGAGAGAGGGGATTTAAGATGATTATATTTATAATGTAATAAAAGGAATCATTAAAAGAGAAAATGTACAAGCTTAAACTTTCTCATTTGTTATTATATATTGTAAAACATTCACTTAACTTCACAAGTAACTTAAATTAGACTCTATTATTGCCAACAACAAACAAAGTTGAGAAAAACGTCATCTTCTGACCGTTAAGTCAAAGAATTTCAAAAACCTCTCAGTCGAACACTCTTCATAAATTCATCTCTTTTGAAGCCCATCTCTTTGTTTTCTTTGTTCAACTAAAGCCCTCTCAAACTTCAAGAACAGACACATTTAACATCCGAGCTCTAATGCCGACCTCAATTCTAACACACACTGGCCAACAGTGATTTACAACATTCATCTGGGACTCTGCTGAGACTTGCAAGGACAATAACACTTTAATAAGTCATTCAATGTGAGGAGCATTTATGAGAAATAGAGCTCACAGTTGATCTAACCTGCATGTCTTTGGATTGTGGGTGGAAACCAGAGCACTTAGAGGAGACGGACCCATGGGGACAAGAAGAATACTCGGCACAGAAAGGCCAGCAGATTTCAGCCTCCTCGCTGTGAGGTAACGGCGCAGCAACAGTGAGCCATTGTGTTTCCCTGTGGTGTTGTAAATGGCATTTTAATTTGTGGTAATTTTTGAACACAATTATCTGAATTCATCTGGTTGGCTGAAACCTAAATCCTCTTTGACCTGCTGGTTTGAGCAGGAGCTCGTTAGCAGAGAGGGTGTGTGAATAGCAGAATACGTCCAGTTTATTTGTTTGAATTACATAAGCAAACATGAAGCTAATGTGCTGTTGCAAAGGACAAACTAAAATGACTCTAAACCTTTTAGAGACAGAACAGATACTCAAGCTAAGAATGCTTCTTTTGGTGTAATTGACAATCTCAAGAGCTGTTAAAATTTTTCAAATCAAGTAAACTAGTTTCAACAGGATCAAAAATTAAATCATATTTTTCTTCCTTTTTCTCTTTAAACACAGTCTGAGGAGGACTTCAGGTTTACTGGAGAGCGGTAATTCAGACATCTGTCTGACTTTGGCTCAAAATCATAATTATCCAGACATGATGCAGATGCTAAGAGACCACATAGCTCCTCTATTTTTCATCTCTCTTATTATGAACAGGACCTACCCATGCATATAAAAAAGTTTGCACATTAGTACACTGTCTTGTCCTTTTGGTGACACAACAGCAGCATTAAAATTTTATTAAATAGTTTGGGGGAAAAAGAAACAAAAAAAACAGCTGCTTCAGTTTCAGGGCCCCAGTATGACACTTTCTGTCTCACTGTTATTTTTCACTGAAACACTTGACTTGACAAGAGTCATAATTCATGTTATTAGTAACACCTCTGCTTTTCCTGTGACGCTAAGTCACAATATAATTAGACAGTCACCTAATCATACATAAGAAATGGGTGAGACTGAAGGGAAATGAACTGTGTCAAATGAAGAATCTCTATTTTTGTTGCAAATCGTCACCTTCTTAAAATAAGGGCCTAAATCACTTTTTGACAAAAATGATGTTTTTCTCCCAACCTCAGTCCTTCATGATGCTGCCCAACTCTGGTTAAATTGCCTAAATCTTCAGTTGAACAGATCATGTGCTACTGTTCTTGTAGTATAATCTCCTATGTAAAGAGTGAGAGTTTGGCTATTTTCTGAGAGTATTCAGAAAAAAATTTGTACAACTTGATCATTGACCTCTTAAGCTATTATTTTAAGAGGGTGATGAATAGGGGTGCACCGATCACAACTTTCTGGCTGATCACTGATCTTTAAGAAGCTTGACCTGCTGATACTGATTTTGGTAGATACCGATTTTTTTTTTTTTTTTTGAAACTGACGACACACACTTTCAATGCTCCAATCTTACTGTAATGAAAAACACTAAGCAATACTTGTGAAACAATACAAACTTTTTGTGTTTAACTGCACATGAGGTAGTGCGTGCCTGCACACTTGACATGGTGGGCGGGCCTGTCATTCTGGCAAAGCAAAAAGCTACAACGGCTGACTTTCAGACCTTTGCTGAGGTAGATAAGATCAGTGGATAAAATCTGTTTCATATGTAAAGATCAGCCAATCAACGATCCCCCAAAATTGAGGAAAACGGCGCCAATAAGATCAGCTGGACGATTTATCGGTGCATGTTTCGTGACGATATGCCCCAAAATGTAGCCCATGCAAAACAGATGTAGGAGTATTTGTGCAAGTGCAGGTTACAAAACTCAATCTGGCTATGATGTGGAGACACCAAAACTGGTAAAAGGGGGCAAATGGAGGCTCTTTACTTTCTTTATTTCAATGTCAAATACTGGATGAAACTGGGACCCATCAAACAAGAGCGATGAAAAAGAGCTAGAATAAGTGCTGATGAGGCACGTACATGGTCTGCAGTTACAACACGGCTGAAACTTCCTCCTTGCTTAATATGTCCAGCCAATCTAATAAAGACTTAACAGGTCTCTGGGGCCAAGGTCGCACCTCCCACCTCAAAAGAAGGGAAACTTCATTTGCAAGCCTAATCAAGTGTGAATGTCACAGAGGCTTAGCAAAGGGGGTCTTGGAACACTATTTTTGTTCAGGGGATCTAAGAGAGCTAAATAGTCTCCCAGTTTTGCCATATTAAAGAGTGTTGAGTTGTAAAGATGCCTATTAAAACAATTAACTAAGACATCCTTTATCCTCACTGGGTAGTAAGAGTGGATAGCTCTTGAGAGAGTGATGGAAAACGGCAGCCTCGAGACATCACCACATTAACTGAGCCCTTCAATGAGCCAACTGGATGGGAATGAACTCCTTCACGAGTACAATATCATTTAGAGGCTTGAACTGTTCTTCTGTTGAACCACTTTGCTGCTTTCAAAGAGAATCACACAGAATTTCCTCATAGAGCAACAAACACTCTAGAGGTAAGTGTTGGGAGATAGTGCTAAGATCATGACTGCGACCCTCCAAATTCATACTAATATATCCATACTAAACTGAGGCAAAGTTTTTAAACATAAATTGTACAGATTTCTGCATAATCTCCTGACATGTTTTCTGGGTTCTCTAAATACCTTGTTTCTAAACTTAGCCTGAACCTGACATCAGGTGCTGCCATCACATCAGGACAGTGTTTTGGGGTGTACTCACTTGACAGCACCAGTGCAATCTTTCAAATTTTGAGTACAGGAAAGTCCATTTCCCCTGTTCACATTTCCTTCCTTCTAATTTAGTATGTCTCAGAAAGACGCTGGTTGTGAAGGAAAGTCACCGTTATTTTCTCCTCCCAAAGACAAAGACAACAGAAAACAAAAAATCACTTCTTGTTTACTAGTCAATAGCAGCCACAACTACGGAAGATGAGAACAGCAATGGGTTTGTCTTTTTTATGCACCATTATCTTTGGATAACGACTTATTATCTTGTTATCTTGATATAACAAAGATCGTTTTCTGGTGATAACGGAAAGGTGTTTCAGCCGACCTCAAATGGTAACTTTTGAAAACGCCCTTCGGATTGGGGTATTTCTGAAACGCTGTGGTAAACTGCTAGCAGGGATTTTCAAGAAAAACGTCGGCACACTCAACTCTGTGCATGCGCATGACACCTTCAACGTGCATGGCAGTTAAATTTAAAGTATAATTTAAAGTATAATGAGCCTGCGCATAATGGAGGGTGCAGTCAGTGTTTTAAATGAAAACCCCGGCTTGCTGTTGACAACAGTGACTGCGGTGTTTCAGAAATGTCCCACTATCCCAATTTTAAAAGTTACCGTTTGAGGTCGGCTAAAACGTCATTTTCGTTATCTTGAGAAAACGATCTTTGTTATGTCGAGATAACAAAATTATTCTTTATCACAAGAAAAGTGCATTAAAAATAGGAGAGAAATCCATGGCCGTTCTGTACACAACAAAGCTATATGTGCTCGCCACTTCACTCATGACTCCTTTGTTAGCAAAGGCCAGTTAAGCTGGATTTGTTATGTCTATATAAGTGAAGTCATAATTAGCAGGTTGTTTAACATCCATAAATCTGTGAAAAAAGTAACACCCATGAGCTGTGCTGTGTCCAGCTTTGTATTGCTGGCGGCCAAAATGAAGAATTCAAAGGAGAGGCTGAAAAGTGCTGAAATGAGCATTTTCACAGATGCGAGTACATGATAGATAAGGAGATTTTTGAGCTGCAAACCATTCAGAGTTACTGTATGTGCCCAAGACTGTCAAAATGAAAGGTGAAAATATGTCTACTTTAGGTTTTATGTAGTTTCTTTTTGGCATCAAAGAAACAACTCATTTTTTAAGGAAGCCTAGAACTTGAATTTAAAGTAAAAGTTCAAACGCTGGCTGGCGTCACTTGTCACTGAAGAAGAATCCTTTTGCATTCTCCCTAATAGGATAAAGAAGAGGCTTTTGGGGAGTTGTTTCCCTGGCAAAGAGATGATTTCCTTTAGTTTTATGGTCTCAAAGCTACACAGCAGCATGACCCAAACTCACAATGGCCACAACTTTGAAGTTACGACCCAAAAAGAAAAAAAAAAAATCACAGAATGTCCCTTTAAATGCATAATGAATACAAAGCACTTGGATACAAACAATGAAAGTCGATGTACATGCTCCACTGGCACAGACAACAACAACCAAGGACACGGGAGACAAATATGCTGTTTGTTTAGGTGGTGCCAAGTTTTTTTTCTACACCCCAATTCAGCTAAGAACCACAACCATTTGAACAAGTGACTGACAGGAGAAGTCTGTAGTGAGTAAAAATGAAGTGAGAAGCTTTCAGCCTGTCAGCATAACACGAGGGGCGTTATTAACTTTGGGTGCACTGAACACAAGCAAAGAGAATAGACAGTATCTCCATTCACAGCGCTGATAAGACATTTGGGAGTCCAACTGAGGCGAGAGACAATGGAGTCTGAGAGAAAAGGTGCCAAATTAACGGCCTGAATGAGTGGTTAACCCGTGAGTATGATGGAGGAGAGGACAAAATTTTGGGTACTGATACTGTGAGAGAAGACAGAAGGCAAGTGCACCAGCATTTGACACATGATCATGAGCCAGCCAACTGGAGCATCCTGCTCCCTGTAGAGTGTTACAACTCCACGGAAAGCCTTAATCCTGCCTACGTCCACCATAAAAAAATCAGCTTTAGACATTTTCTTCTGAAGACTCATTCACTCAAAGCCAAAAACCTCCATGAATAATGAGACGGGAGCATGGGTCTATATCAGTTGTCTGCACGCCCGAGGGCAACAGGGGCCACTTTCTTTTGTTAAATGGGGTGGGTTGGTATTTAGCATAGAGGAGGGGAACAGAGGAAGGTGCCTGGGGTAGGGTTATGGCTCCAAAGTATGCAGACACAAGCTGTCTGCGTGTTGCCTTTGAAGCAGGCGGCGGTTGGCTGTACTGCGAGGGTCACAGGGCAAGGCTTTAGAGCAGCCGCGTCCCACAGAGAGCCTTGACTCATCCCACCCCCACTCCATCCACTGCCAAAAATTTGCACAGAGTGTGGGCTAAGAGGAGAAGCGTACGTGTTAACAAAAGCAGCAACAATGATGTGTTTGTTGAGTTGGGAAATTTGGGGTCTTCCGATCTAGATTCAACTGAAAGTCAATTGATTTGACAGTTTTCATCTTCACACCCACCTATTATTATCTATAGGCAACTGAGCAGAGTTCGTGCATTTTGGGGCTGGGTCTTACATCTTGTGGCTTTCAAAGAAGTGGACAACAGCTGATGGTAAGAGTCAAGCTAAATGTCTCTGTTATGCAAACATAAGCCAATAACTATGTCATACACTTTACCACAGTGATGAGAGGGCTCTAAAGAATTGCATTTTTGCAGGAATAGTGTGGACTCATTTTTTAATTACTCATGAAAAGTGTGGACACAAGTTGTGTTTGAATCCAAGGATTCCACTTCCTTCATATCTGTAAAAAAAATATGTATTTATTCCTCTTGTTGTCTCTGAAATGTTAATTGGTCATGATGAAGGCAGTGTATCGTCCAATAATGGACAATAAGCCTTATTGTCCATTCAATTATAACTTGGTGAATGTCTCACTTCTACTTTTAATCTGGTCTCGCTGCAAAACTACTCTAAATTGGCATCAAACTGACATTAAAGCAGCAACACGATGTCTGCTTTGAGATCATCTTCAGCACAACCTCCTCTGGGCTGTCAAAAATACATCAAAATACATGAGGGAGTCCACTCTGTTGGTAAATAAACAGACCTGTTATTGGCACTTCCTCCTCTGTCCAGCTTTGGACAGCAAAATCAAATCTCTCATATGATATGAAACCAAAATACCCCGGTGCAGCCAGTTCTCGCCAGCCAAGCTCCGTCTTGTATTTCTCCTGACATGAAGAGCTTATGTCCAGCTTATTCAAGCTAAATTTCCCTGAATTTCTCAATCTAATGACGGAGTGACCACTGTCATCTCGTTTAATCTCGATCAGCTTATCGGGCACATAATGCTTACAGCCTCACTGATATTTCCCTTCTATCTTCCTCTTGAGATCAACCATGAGAATGATACAAAAGAAAATCAACCCTTTGTCTATTTTCTCGTTACACTATTATAAAGTAAGGCAGACTTTAACAATTCCAATCACCTGAGAGTTTGTGCTTCAAACTTTTAGAAAATGTTTGTACGGAGCGAAACCGAGCAGCCCTTCGTTGGTTAGGCTATTATCAAGCACAGTGACAAACTGGCTTTCAACACCATTAAGGAAGGAAAATCTCAGCATGAGATCCTGGCACGTTGGAGGAGAGACATCAATGACATTTAAGCTCGCTGAAGGAAGATGGTGTAACAGCTTGAGGTCAGCAACTTCCACAACATCCCCAGCAGCTCTTAACTATTCTCTAAAATGGGTGGTGTTGTGCTAGAGAGCCACTTAGCTTACAGTATTCTCCTCTTTCTTGTTGTGTTTGTGCTCACTTTGTTCTGGGATACATCAAGGCTTTGCTTTGCAGGACTGCAGAGGCTCTGTGTTGTGGTGGATTACAGTCGATATTGTACCTTTTTGTCAATGGAGGAAAGGTGGGTGTTCTCACCTAGCAGGTTCAAATTAGGAGTGAAGTGCCCAGTTAAAAAGGAAACAGAGGACACCACTTGTTGAAGATCGTGACTCATGAGAGCTTGCACTACTTTATTTTCAAACTACCTGAGTAACTGACTTCATTTATGCATACTCTTAACTCTTTTTAAAACCTAAACAAAATCGAGCTACACTGAAGGATGGAGATTTTTCTACATGAGAGACGAAAATCTTCAACCTAATTTTTCCATTTGGACCCTGCAAAATCTGTGCTGGACACTCCCTGCATTTCTTTCCTCCCCCATGAGGGCTGAGGTGTCAAAGAGAGGTCAGCCTCCTGCCGGGGAAAAAGAAAACATCTAAACACAGGTCTTTTGTGTAAAGTGGGGTATAAAACTGGTCTGTTTTATGATATCTAACATCCACTCAGCAAGCTGTTCAAGAGAACAAGTGAATCACAGCAATAAAGGGTCCCAAAGGGCCAACATACACAAGACAGCGGCTTGAGGACGGAGGGATGTGAGGAGCAGAAATAAATGGCTAATTTAAAGAGGATTTTCTGGTCAACTTCTGCAAGAAAAAGAGCATCAACAGTGGAGCTGCCATCTGCCAGCTTAGTCACTAACAACCCACATCTGATAATCTCTCTTCTGCAAGGAGGTACGGGCAATATGTCATGAGTCTTATAATGGTATTTTACATTGATAACACTACAAAAGCACGTTCTATATTGAAATAGAAGTCTACGCACATATCATGGACTAATTATTGAATAAAACAATGTTGGATACAACATCTTTTTTTCCAGTTACAGCCATAAATTTGACAAATCAAACTGAATAAATATAAAATCACTGACAGCAATCTTGCAAAAGAGAAGTCCTGCCTCCAGGTTTGCAACAATATCCACGATGGCCTAATAAAAGACAAGGAGTAACTGCTTTGTAGAAACATAACAGTAAATCTCTACTGGTTAAGAAACTCCAATCATCCCATGGTCTGTAACAGAGAGGCAACTAAAGTCCTGAAATTCAAATTCAGACTAACCGACTACTCTAAAGGTGAGTAAACACTCAGAAAAAACACTCAAGATTGAGGACAATTACAACACCTAAACACGACATTGCAGTCTGAAAGAAAACTATACCAATCTGGATTGCTGTCTGTTACATTAGCAGAGCTAGCACCACCGGCCCTTAATCCTCCTTGCAGGTTAACGTCCACATGCCTGTGCTGGTCACACGCTGTCTCAGACCAGACAAATTTTGCATAATCTTTCCTGCAGCCTCAAAATTTTGTTAACTTCTTCCACCACATCCTTATAAATTAAAAAAAATGAAGCTTCAGTGAACATCAGGTCAGAGTAGAGCAACATTCAGAAGCATTGAGGTCTTAAAAGTTCATATATTACTAACATTTAAACTTAATTATAAACGCCAAAGACACCACATGAAAGTAAACATGAAAAATATTTTTTAAATCTGCTTATTATTAGTCAGCATTATCTTTTTTGGGCCATGGATAGAAAACAGATGGGAAAGCCTCTAGAGTGTGAGGAAAGACTCAGCCGCATGCAGACCTTTCCCTTTAAAGCTTAATTAAGATGATCAACACACTCCAAAAAGAGGTCCTGTAAACACAGATGAAAATTAATGTTTATTAGCCTCCTCTGATCAATGTGTTTTAGTTTTTTTAATTAATGGCAGGCTGATTACAATAGACGTATAGCAAATGGCACACTTGAAAAGCCTGTGGAGTAATTTGGATACATAAAACCAAACTGAAGAAAAAAGTCGGACAGCTGGCGTCTCACAGAGGAAGATGCTGAGGCCAAATGCAAACGACAATAGGAAAAATGTCACGCTGATTGTGGACCAACACACAGTAGACACAAGGTCTCCAACAGCTTCACCACACAGACACCAATTCGTTTGATTTTCAAGCTTCAGGGAGATGACTGTCTCCGTTAAAATGTGCAATTAGGAAGAGACATGCGTGTTTAGACTTGGTATTACATTGTAATAACAGGGAAGGGCACGCCTTTATAGCTAGATGGATAATTCCGAGTGCAGGTGGATCAAAGACAGCCAGCAGTTGCCTCAGGTTTGAAGCTAGTTATTACCACAGCAAAGGACTGAGCATGCTGCAAGTGGCATATCTAGTTTCTACTCTGCTCCCACTCTGCAGCTCAACATCCACAGAAGAAGAGTAAAAATAAGTCAAGTTAAATATAAGACACTCCAATCATTCAACAGCTTTGCGTCCTCTTCCCCTTTATGTTTTAAAAGGGCTGTGTATCAGAACCAAGAAGAGACAACTAGAGCCACAAGGACACTTGACTGTTTTCTACAGAGTGGTGAAATGTGCTGATTAAGGGCACTCATCAGAGAAGAGACTGGAATGGCTCTGGAAGGACATACATCAACAATAAATCAAAGCATACCGACATTAAACTGCACTCTGCCAAATTCAGCAGATAGAGCAAGATAAGGTCCTGTGATTAATTTTTACTGGAGAATAAACAAACTGAGCGGGGACGCAGGACCGTCACGTACTTAAAGGTGCATAATCAGAGGGATTTGGGGCCGTTTAAAGAGACGAGACACTATGAGGGGGACTATCACTATGTTTATGGTTAAGAGGTTAAGAGCAAAATAAAACTAATTGCCACTGCAGGGAGTCAAAAAAACTGTTTTGTCATATCAGCACTATTAGAAGTGCACAAATCAGCTCAACTATGTATTACTGAGATATTTTGCCCCATTCCTAAAAAGAGACCCTACAAAACTGCAAAATAAGAAATCTTCCTTCATGCTGTTTTCTGCTGGGAAGTGTCTCTTCTGCTGGGTGTATTTGCGCCACAGCAGGAAATGGCCCTAATACATCTAAGAGAGGTGGATGAAATTGTTTATCAATACCTGAGAGTAAAGGATTACTTTGCCATGTGCTGTGATTCATGGATTTCACTTTTCTTTATTATAGCCTAAATTGGCTGTTAGTCAGTTTAGTACAAAATCTCCTACTTTCCTAAATGTGGTGATCGAGTTCACCTTTATATAAAGTGTATTTCAGAGGAATAAACTGAACATATCCTCTGGGCATTTCTGTAAATTCTGAGTTCTGATTATCCGCCTGTCTAATTAGCAAGCTGCCAACTTCTGCTCCTGTTATTACAATCTGCCACCATTAAAAAAAAGCACAAATATTAACTATGTAGAACATGTTCTGTTGAAAAGTTTCTTTTGGGACGTTTGCCCTGGACATGAACTTACACAACAAACCACGCACAAACTTCTCATTCTTATTTCCATTAATTGTCACTAATCTGGTTTCTGGATTACATGCATATATATATTTTTTTTCGCTTGTTATCTCCAGCCAGCTGGTACAAACCAGAGGATCAGCTTGTTTTAAGCAGCTTTAGTCACTAAGTAGTTTAAAGCAGTAATTCTCAAAAACCAACACGCAAACCAGGAAACAAGCATCAGTATATGGAAATGGTTATGTTGCTACAAACAAAATCTACCTCTCCATGGAGACTGCTGAAATCACACCGAACAACACAACAGTGTCTGTAACAAATGACGAAACACTGGAAAATGAATCGCAGTGAAAGAAGTTATCTGTTCTATTAAGGTAAAAATAATCTGAACATTTTCTTGAAAACAGTAAGTGTTTGATCCATGAGTGTGAATACTTGCAGGCTGTGTGAATGGGTGTGTTTGTTTTATTTGTGTGGCTTAAAGTGTGAAGATCAAAAGTGTGAAAATTCTGTGTGTAGGAGACAAAGACAGCACACAAAAACCTACCTATATAGGTAAAATTTGTTATTGTTAATCTTCAGTTACATATACATGCCACTTCTCATCGTCCAGAAGGATTTTATAAATGTATAGCAGGTAGCAAAAAAAAAGTGGCACTTGCACCACAAAGGATGAGAGCATATGGAATATAAACATGTGGAAGAAAAATACATTTTTTTATTCATTCAATGTAAAAATATCCATCTTCCCCTCCGGCTCTAAAATGTGTGTGTCTTCTACCTCACTTTCCACTCGGGGAAAAAAAACTGCTTTGTGTCTGTTTCACTCCACTGCCTTTCTGGTTCACGTGTAAATTCAGAGCACCAAATGAAACCAGACAGCGCCCGACGGCAACTTTTAGAAACTGTAGCCAGGCTGGCTGCCAGTGATCAATGCTGGTTGCCAAAGTTGAGAGAAAAGCTGCCATGATAATATTGTTTACAATTGGAGCATGAATATTTCTGGATGATAATTTGTACCCCCATATTTCAATTTAATTTCAGTCAGAGTGACATTTTCTGAAGTTCATATGGCTTCTTTAAGTCCCCCTTTATTTTCTGAAGGTGAAGTTGGGTTTAAACATCTGTCACTGGATCAATATCTTAAAAGTTATCTAGATCATTTTGAGTTGATTTCCTCTTGCAAAATCATTGTGGATGCTTTAATGTCATAATGTGGCAAACCCTTTTTTTCCTGGAGGTTTTGTTTTCTAGATCCTAGTGACTGTCATAGGTTTGTAATGTAGTGAGCCCTCAGGACCCACAGGTGATTTACGTGCCACCCTTTGATGTTGAACAGGCCCCTGATAAAATGTTTGTTTTTGATTAAATTGTGAACCTCGTTTGGTGTTGCTCTGATATGAAACAATCAGATTAAACTGTTATCAGAAACATTTTTTATAATTTTTTTTTTTCAGAATTCAGAAAAAATACTGTATATACCTACATAAACTGCACCAAAAGCAGTAATCAAATAAAAAAAACTGATGAGTATAATCCTTTCATTGCCTCATCTGGAATAACAGGGGTTTTGTAAGCTACTGTCTGTTAATGCAAACGTTGGCTGAGCAAGAGACAAAAAGAAAAAGCGGCCGTCACTCGAGAGTATTCTTTACGCAGCCACCTGAACACAGTCCATTTATTTCACTACAGTGCTCCTGGAGTGAAAACAAGAGTTAAATGTCCATAAAGAAGTTTGTATCTTAACCTGCTGAAATGAAATCTTAGGTGACTGGCTGGTTGTTGGTGGAGTAGCTCGTTACAAAACACATTGAGACTTTTTGTGCAGATTAGATGTAGAGTAGGGTCAAAACAACAATCCTGTCTTACTTATTTTACTTATTACTAGGCTTTATTTTTATCATCATTATTTTTCAATACGGGCGATGTGTCACATTGATAGTGAGTGTTTTGATTTAAGATTTTACTGTGTCAAGGACTTCACTGCATACGGGTATGTGTGGGGTTCATGAGTGGCAAATAACTCTGATATCTGCTCTTGGTTTGATTTGGCATCAACCTGCTTTGAGCCAATTTATTTTCTTTCCCATGGGTGGAGTTTCCTCAGTGGTACTCAGCTGACTCCACACCTACTTTGTGATTCACTGTATTTGGGAACTGCGCACCTAATTTCAACAGAGCATATCAGTGTAAAAATTACACTGTTATTTGTCTGAATGGCAGACTCCCCACCCTGAAAAAATCCCAGGGTTTAACACAGAAAAATATTTGTAACTAAACCGAGTGGTTCATAGTGTCTGATTTCAGTAACTGTTCTTGACCCCTGCCAGATATTTTCATGGAAACTCCAAATGAGCACAAATCCAGGTGTGTGAGGAGTGAGGGAAACAGTATTTCATAAGTGAGGTGGAATTCAAAAAGCTTTCAAACATGTTACAGCTGGCTCTTTTGCCAAGTTAGAAATATCTAAGGTATTTGATAGTCAGCCACTGTAACGAAGAAACAACTCCCCTGCCGTGCAGTTTGACATATGAAATCCAAATTAATTTGCTTTAATATAAAAAAATGAATCTTTACAATGTGAAACTTCATCCCTCTTAACGACACAAAAGGAGCTGCTGTACTCACTCTTTTCTTTCACTTTGTGCAAGCACAGGCGTATATTGCATTTAGAACACAAGAGGAGCCAAGGACACTCCTTAACACAGTCTCTTGTGAGGAATTCAGATTCAGAGAACATCGTCTTAACAAGGTCCAGACCAGCAGACATAATTACTGCAGGTCCTCTGAAAACAAACAGCTGTATTCTTATAAACTGTAGACTTCGATCAAATATTTTCAGCTGCTTATGTTGCACCACTGAAACGCCAAAGCAGCTTTGAGCTAATTTGGGAAAAGAGAAAGGATGACTTTATCATTGTCAAGTTGCAAACTCACTAAAACTGTGTTTATATGTTTAGATATGCTTTATCTTTTCTGAATCACAGTTAACTCAATCAAATCTTTTAAAATTAAAAAATCACAATATCTCCTTCAGCTGAAAAAAATATTTTTCAATGGTGAGGCTATAAATAGGTCTTAAAAATTTATGGGAATTTTACCACATAATGCCCAGTTTCCAAAAATATGATAGTGTAGAGGATAAAAAACACCAAAGCCGGGTTAGTTTATTTTTACTCTCTTCTTTTAGAAGCCTTTCTGCCTGAACACTAGAAAGGCTCCTGCAGCAGACCTCACACAAACACGGGGTAAGAGATCATTCGCTGCTGTAGTGCGCAGTATGCTTCAGTCTGCCTTATTAAACTTTGGAGTTTTTTGTTGTATATTCTATAATCTTATACAAAGTATAGCCTCCAAATATATATTTTTTTAAAAATGTAACCACACCATCATTATCACACTGCATTTCTATTCCTTTATTTTTTCCACTTAATGTTTCGTAGCTGTTGTATGCGCTTACATTAGGAATAACCAGGCAATCTACTGCAATAGTTACTACTTTCAGGAAGCTTCTAAATTGTTATTATTTTTGTTGACATGGTCAAACGGGTTATAACTGTACTTAAATGTATTATTGAATATGCAGTGGATATCGGTGGAGTACTAGAGTGTGTCATATTTAAAGGTGTTCCTTATATTTTGTCCACTTCTTAGTTGACAAACACAAAAGAAACAAAATATACGGAACACCTTTGAATGTGGTGCAGTCCAGTACACAACTTTAACAAATGTAGAGGCTCAGAAAAAGTAGATTTAATGGTTCAAGTGTTCATAATGTCACAGTGACTTCCATCATTATCACAAAAACTACCATCAGTATTTATGGTGGATACAGGCACATACCTAAATGTCAGCAACCATAAATAGCCTGAACAATGCACCCTGTTAACAGCTGTGAAGTGACTAAAACAAGACAAAGGCGGAATAGACAGTTCAAGGTAAGTGCCCATAAGTGGTCTTTTACCTCCAGCCTCTAATAACGGGACAGCTGCAGAAATACGTGGCGCTGGGAAGTGGAAATATTATGTAAAAGGGGAAGGAGAATATCTTTGAAGCTGCAGCTCATAAAACGAGAAACTATCCGTCCACCAGACACAAAGAAGACCAGACTAAAACAATAAAAAAGTTCAAAAGTAGGAGCTTTTTTTCCTGGAAACAAACTGAAAGCAGTCCTTAAAACCACACATGACTGAGTGTCTGAAGCTAACCGGTGGCAGAAGTTAAGTTTGTCAGTTTCTGCTCCATTCACAAAAAACCAGACATGTCATTTCTCCCTCGTGTAGCCACAGCCTCTCAAACAGGACGACGATTAAAAAAACGCTTTCATTTCCCTATTTAGCTGGAAGCAGACTGAGCCTGCTATGTTGGTGAGCCAGCCAGCAGCTACTTTATACTAAGCAGATGTATCGTTAGCATACAAGCTAACAGGGGTTTACATTCCTCAGACAGAGTCAACAGTGAGCTCTGAAGTTCCCACAGTCCGCCTCTGGTCCCCTCAACACCAGCCCACCAACTGGAGGCTCACTTTGATACTTCATTATCAAGTGTTACGAGAGTAAGAGGTTACAGAGGGGGATACAAAGCCTTTGGAGATCTTAATGTTGTTTTCCTGATGTGAAACTGAACTGTGAAAATATCAGCTAGCTCTCTGCAAGTGAGTGTGTGCACAGACAGAGAGAGGCAGCAAGACTTCACGTTAGCGAGCTTACCTGCAGGAGCAAAGATGTCGCGCAGACCCGGACTCTGTTCGGAGACACCCGTGGGAGTTGTTTTCAGGCGGGGTGTTGCTTCAAAAGAGTCCTGTTTCAGCCCAGGCTGATAGCGGTTTCACCAAAGACACAGGCTGACTGTGCTGCCTCCCAGCCACAACAGCGACTGACTACAGTCCGGGCTCTGCCTCTCACTGAAAGCATCATCATTACCGCGAGATATGACGAGAACTCGGAGAAATCCACCAACCAATCACATCAGCCGGCTTGAGGCAAGCGTTTGTTATATCAGTGCAGTGTGAAGAGGATTTGAGGAGAGTCAGTGAATAACAGATGAAAATACAATAAAAATGTATTTTTTTTTCTCATTCAGAACATGAATAAAAGACACTATAGTCTGTCTTACTCAGGGTTTTTTTCTTTTGATAAAGAAAATCAGTAGTTAAAGAAAATATAATAATAAACTGATCAGACAAAAAGATAGCTAAAAATTGTTAAAATGTAATCACTCAACCCTCCTCCTGTGTTAGGGTCTGCACCGACCCGTTTTTTTATTTTAAATGCTTAAAAGAACCACTTAAATTAGCTTTTTTGCATCAAGAATGCTTGACTCTGTCAGGAACCTCTATTTTAACAACATAAAAATAAAAACATTTAATTGAGTAAATTATTATTATTATTAAAATTATGGCACTTGTCATGTTAGAGTTGCTGTTGACCTGGTTAGATCAATATCTAATCAAAGTAAGAACTGAAATCAGAAGTGCACTGTCAGGCACCACACTGACAGTCAGATCCTCTTCCAATCATGAGAGATTTAGGAAATTCTCATTTTTCCATGTTTTTCCCGGCACAACAAACAACATCGGGCAGGTCCAGACACGTGAGATCAATTCAGTATAGATGTCTGTATGAGGGGTATACTGACAAAGAAAGGCCCAGAGGACCAATACAAAAACTATTATAAGCAATATTTTCATGGATAATGAAGCCCAACAAAGTAACTTAGAGTTGAGAACCAAATTGGATGATAGAGAATTGTTTTTAGTGTAATTTACAGCTGATTTAAGACACATGCCAAAACTGACCCTTAACATAACACCTTAGTAGCCACAGCTGTCCTGGGGCAGACTGACGGAAACGTGGCTGCCAGTTTGCACCTATGGGCTCTCCGACCACCACCACGAAACACTCACATTCATACACCAGTGGAGGACACACACTGGGAGCAAGGTGGGTTAAGTGTCTTGCCCAAGGACACAACGGACAGGTTCAGTATAGGGGGGAATCGGACCACCAACCTTCCGGTTATTGGACAACCACTCTACCTCCTGAGTTACTGCCGCTCCAGATCTGCAAAAAAATAAATGAGACTATTTCATATATTATTGTGCTCATTATATGTTTTTAGTATTAAAAAAATCTTCATATCTTTGAAAACTGTATGTTTTGTTTTGTCACTGATACTCGTAAAACTCTCTCTTGTTTTAAATTAAGCAGCATAGGAAATTCAAAGAGCTAAAAACTGATTACCTGCGGGCATTTTTGCCTGAGTAAGCTTTGGTCTTAATGTAAGGCTGACACGATGCAAGAAAAACACAGGCTGAATAGTTTCTGGCACCATAATTAATTGGTTTACAAAATGATACTTTTACCACCTAAGACATATAAGAAGGCCCAGACAGGTGAGATTTTTTACTTCATCAAAATAATCCATCCATTCTTAATGAGTACTTTGGTTTCCCCTTGGCACCTTGGAAGGCATCACAAATCTTGCACAGCGCTCTGGTATTTTACATCACACTCCTGTCTCTTACAATAATGCACTTTACAAAATGTTCAGACCAGCTGGACAGACTCACCTTGTTAGGTCTGATTTCAACTCAGCAAGGAAGTTTACACGCAAACCAAGGTAAGTCATGACATAACACTGCATTATTTAGTCCCGTAATAAGAGGAAACACCATCGTCAGAAATTATTCATGAGAGTCAAAAACTGACTACAGCATTGCTTCTTTTGGTGATGGCTTTTGAATAGTGAGAGTTCTGTCATTGGTCCGATTAATTTTCATAGTGATTCATACACAGTCTTAGATTTGTAAACCCTCGATAGAAAAAATGTTTGTTTCTTCTTGTCTTTCCCAACTCTGCTGACTCTATGTCTGTGGTCCTTTCTTTACATTTGCCCCAAGAAAGGAGTATGAGCGCTAACAGTTGACTGATATTGGTTTTTCAATGGTCAAAAAAGAGCAGGTTGGCCAATAAATATATAGCCTACAGTGTAAATATTACCTCAAAGTCATGTATATTTCCATTATTCCAGGCACATTGTAATCTGATATATCCTTACATGGTTATCTTGGCCAGTATCATCAGCACACAGAAGCAGTATCAAATTGCATTGTTCTGTTCATCATAACAGAATTTAGGTAAAACCCAGCATTTTCCATTTTATCACCTTTGCTTGACAGGAGCCAGACTCACAAGGCTGCCTGCAGTGTCTGCAGATGTTATCTATCTTTTAATCGGCCTAGTGAGCTAAGACATCGGCTGATGCAAATTATTTTAAAAGCCATTGATTGGCCTCTTTCCACCTCAAATAAAAGAACTGAGAAAGTGGAGTGAAATGTAATCTGCAGACAAAGCTTCCTTTTATTCTGATCAATAAGTAGCCTGAAGTGTAATTGAGTAAGAAAGAGGTAAAAGGGAAATATTCCTATGACTGCAAATGTAGATTTTTCCCTGAGACACACTGCTGACAACACCAGAACCTACTTTTTCAGTCTGGTGCAGATTATCTCTCAGCCATCTGCATAAAAAGGAGAAAATGCATCAGGCCCTGTGTTACTGCGAACAATGAAGGCAGAATGTCCTGGGGTATTTTGGAAATGCTCATATTTGTTACATAAAGTGCAGATTCAAGCTTGTCTCTGAGTGCTAATGTCTTTTGCATGAGGCTGTATGAGGGTATTCCAGCAGAATCATAAATGAGATGTTCCCTTCTCTTCAGCACACACTGATGCTGAATCCCATGAAATAATCCATGAGAAAGAATGAAGAAAGATGATATCATCAAATACCTCAGAGAACAGCTTGTGCATGATGCAAGGCTTTAACACCGTACTTTCAAAAACAAAACTGTGGAAGTGTTCTCACCCTTTCATCATGAGTTGCTTATATCCCTGCATGAGCCAGTAGAGCTGTCACTAAAGCTATAGAGGAACTTCACAAAGATGTTCATTGAGTCCAATAGGTAGAGGTTCATCCGAGTTTAATGGTGCTCTGTTGGGAAAACTTATAAGTCAGTTTCATGGCATCAATCTTCCATTTGTGCATTTCAATCATTGAAAATAAATAAGAAAGCATTGCCAATCTGTTTGCAAATAACACATTCAGGTGTGACTGAAATCCTAGTTAGATGTGTGGTGATTCATGAGACACAAGGTCTAAAATATCTTGTTACTCCTTTAGGAATGACTTGTGTGATCACAACCTTCTGTCTTGAGCACTAACAGATCAAACAGTTTATTGACTTTATGGACTAGAATCACATTTTGTAAAGGCGCTTCTATATCTTATAACTGCCCACAGAGGTGTGCCGCAGGGCTCTGTATCAGGCTCCTTTTTGTTTAGTACTGAAGTGAACAATCTTGGGCATGTATCAGATGCTGACGTCAATTTTTATGCTGATGACACGGTTATAGACTGTTGTGCAGCAGCTCATGTACAGGCTGTTTAATATTTGCAGAATGCATTTGACATTATGCAGAACAGGAGTCCTGCTCCTCCTGGATAATGTGGAATTTGCATAACCACCTGCTCACTTTACATTGTCTCTTGTGTCAAATTCTCGGAGGATAAATCCAAATTTGGGGTGAAACAAGGCACAGTATTAGCGTTGTCATTGTGAGTGTGTTAGCATCAAGCTCAAAGCACTACTGTGAGGAAGTAGGAAGTAGACTCTTCGTTTTGTTTATAAATCAAAATAAAAACACAAAAATGATAATCAGCTGAGTAGGATTCTGCATATGCAAATAAGATGATGTTCACCAAGGTTTTTCTCTGTATTTATTCAAGCAGACTCCTTTTTATGGTCACATTTGCATTGTATTACATTTGTTGCAGTCTCTTTTGACTTTTTCTCATGTTGTTGTACAAGAGCAAGGACACCAGGTGATGTTTTTCTTTAAAACTTACGGTGAAAGGGCTTTTGTGTGAGGGACATTGTCAGTATGTGCACTGATAATACACTTCTTACCTTGAAAGTTCAAATAATAAGATGAGATGAGTTTTTCTTATGTAAAAGTTTGTAAAGAGAACAGAAACTGGACAAGTTTTATAAGACGAGTTATACTCTCAAGTGTAATGACAGCTCCAACACATACTGTATGACAGCTGACATAGGATAAAGATAAAGAAGCTAGACAATGATCTAGTTTTAAGATTTCTTTACTCATATATAAGATGTTAATCGATTCAAATATAAAGGAGCTATAGCAACACACTCTTTCTTTTACTCAGCAGACAGAATTTGCTAAATTAGTCACTTCCTTTATGCAGAGGAACGTTTTGCAGGATAGTTGCTGAAAGAAAGATTCACTGTGAGACTCAAGAATTTAAATTTATGATCAAATTGAGGCAATTCATAGCAGATAATTTCCTCTTCCCTTCCTTTCTACTTTTGAATGCAAAAGGAGATAGAGAACATGTTAGTGAGTCTCAAATGAGGATTCTTCCATCCACAAAGAATATTTCAGACCTTAATCACATTTCTGGTTGACATGCAGAGCAGCCATCTCCATCAAACCCCTCTCACTCAGGAATTTAATGGAAATTACCATCCTCTTTTTGAAATTTTCCATTCACAGGCTAATTAAACACACGCAGCTCAAAAGATTTATGCCTGTTTTTTATGTGGCTCGAACTCTCAAAGTCCCTTCTTACCTCCAAGTTCACTGACGCTTTTTAAAAACATAACTTCAAACACCAGAAGTGTACTTTTAAAACCTGTCAGAAATCATTCCAGGGTGACGGCAGCAGGAAGAAAAGGGATTAGCAGGCTTAACACTCTGTCTTAAAAATCAAATTCCCCCCTTTAAATGCCACGGAGTCAGATTAACTTTCCACAAAATGCCTTATAGAGGAATAGCGAAATAGAGCATTAGTGAAAAT